GATTTTATAAAATAAACAACATAATTAACATTGGAAAGTCAACTGGACACCGGTACAGTGTGATATACAAATTTGCTTGCCAGACAGAAAAAAACACTGGACTCGGACGTTGGGCAATGGGTTATTTCCACCCCTGACAAACAGCCACATACAGATGCATGTACATTCCTAACATAGTGTATTAACCCATTTCAACACCACCATCATACATGGTAGGGCAGACAAATTTGACTACCTATGTGAATTTCTATGATACTTTGCATTCTTTACACTATATATCAGAAGGAAGTCAGATCTTAGCAGAGGTTTTACACAACAAATTAATTTAAACATAAGAGTCTTTCATGTTTTAGCATGCTTGAAAATGTGATGTCATGGCTGTTCACCATCGGTGTCACAGTATTCAGTAAGCAGATTTCCTCCATGGAGATTTAGGTTAAAATTGGTCCTAACTAACCTATGTTTGTCATAAGTGACCATAGATGAGTGAGTGAGTTTGGTTTTACGCCGCTTTTAGCAATATTCCAGCAATATCACGGCGGGGGACACCAGAAATTGGCTTCAAACATTGTACCCATGTGGGGAATCGAACCCGGGTCTTTGGTGTGACGAGCAAACGCTTTAACCACAAAGCCACCCCACCGCCCGACCATAGATGAGTGATTTCTTTTGGTTGCATAACAACGTTTAGCTACATTATCAGAGGGAAAGACAGATACTTGACATTGGCTTCACACATTGTGCCTATGTTGGCCAGTCAAACCCAGGCCTCGACTACCAACTAGCCCGAGGAGGTGGTTTAAACAATTAGGTATTTAGGCTTGCTTGATTGTGTATCACCGAATCAATCACTGATTTGACCGGTCCAAATTCAGGTGTTTACAGGGGCTGTTACACACCTAGAATATTGCTGACTGCAATGTTAAATAACAAGCAAACAAAACACTTCTATACTTACCATCAAAAGTTTACACTCACTATGCATTATGTATATTTATATGGTTACATCGAAGATTGATTTCTCCACTAACTTGGGGAACCAACTGCAAACCTTATGCAGATGAATTGGACGAGGATCATGCATCAAATTGCTGAACAGCATGTGCAAATATCGTGCAAGTGAACAGCTGCATTTTGGTGTAAAGAGCTGTTAAGAATTTGCCAATTTATCACTGATTTTTGTCATTTATTGAACTCATGACAATAAATCTTTTCAATGTTACGAATTTGGTTTACAATACATCAGTTCATTAGTAAAAAGTACCTTTAAACAGTATGGAATATTTTGCAAAATCTAGTTTAGAACAATTGCCTGAAGAAAGTGGCTATATTTACACTAGTGAGTCTAAACTTTGGAAGGGGAAGGTATATATGAATGGAATATGTGAACAGAACAGATTCCTGTATATGAATGAGTGAGTTGGGTTGGGTTTTGTGCTGCATTTATCAATATTCCAGCAATATCACCATGGGGGACACCAGAAATGGGCTTCACACAATGTGCACATGTGGGGAATCTAACCTAGATCTTCGATGTGATGAGCGAACGCTTTAACCACTGGGCTACCCCACCTCCCCTCCTGTATGTGAAGTGACTATTCCAACAAAAGAAATGTCTATATATGAACTGAGTATTACGTAGAATCTTCACCAATGTTAAATGGTTAAGGACTGGCTTCTGTACAATGGTAGTTCTTATTTCTGTAGCATGAATATAGATGTATAAGCATGAAATGAACGGCAGGTCGCAGCACCAAAATGGAAAGCAATACCTTTAAATGCATTTCTTGAATTTTGAGATTCCAGCAAGGGTGATGAGGACTTTCAGTGCTAGGAAAATTGATTCCAGTTCTCTAAATTTCATTTTCTTCCCAAAAGAATTATTTGCCAACCCGGTAGTCCTGAGCACACATGGCTTTGCTCTGCAGGGAATCTGTTTAATTATGTGTTGTCTTCAAACACTCTCTTGAGGATTCAGTTCTTCTCCATTTTCGTCTTGACTGACAGAGCCAGAAGTGAAAAGTAGTTGACGATGTGAAAACTGGAGGAAAAACTGGGAATAATTTGATTTCTGCATCTCGGCTGCCGCACTGTCCCTGAAGACTGGGTTATGCATTTAACAGTCATTCTGTATGCATGTACAATTTGTGTTATTCTGTGGGTGGGTGAAATGAAGGCTGCCTCCTCCGGCAGGTCAGGAGAGAAGGTTTCTTTGATGTGGAAACTGTGGCTTTGAAGCTTTGTGAGCATTTGCTGTCATGTTGTTGAAAGTATTCGAATTTTTAAACAGTTTGATGTACAGTTTGATGCTCATATTCGCTTAATTCCAGCGTTAACAGTTTTTTGGAAAGAAATGCTAGGACTGGCAAGTCTTTATGGATGATCCACTTCTTTATTGTTCAATAGCGAGGGTCGGTGGGGTAGCCTAGTGGTTAAAGCATTGGCTCGTCACGCCGAAGACCCGGGTTCGAATCCCCACATGGGTACAATGTGTGAAGCCCATTTCTGGTGTTCCCCGCCGTGATGTTGCTGGAATATTGCTAAAAGCGGCGTAAAACCAAAACTCAGTCAGTCAGTCAATAGCGATGTTTGGGTATCGATACTTATACTGTTTTCAAGCATGAGGTGGTGAATGGAGACAGCAGTATGTATACCATCCCAAAAATGTAGGGGATATTGGATTTACAAGATTGATAAAATGCAAATGATGAAGCCAAGAAGGAAACAGATGATGAAGATAAATTTAAGGGAAAATATGACAATTTATTCCATTCCTTTGGAAATGTTTCATCTGTATGGATATATTACTTTTTCTCATATGCATTGGCATTGGCTAGTGGTATGCTCGCAAAATGGAATATCCCCTTCTTTTTTTGGATGGTATAAATAGGGTACATGAGGGCTGACAGGAAGGTTGAAAGAAATGCTGCCAAATGGTTTCAACAATTACTTCAAATTATGTTTTACTTTAAAGAAAATAGCAGAGATTTGCTGCGATAATTACACCCTTAAAGACATTAAGATTTTCAAAGCATATGTACAACTTGAGAAAAAAAACTGTGTGTAAGTGTGTGAATAATTGATGTCACGGCAGGAAAGTGCCCTTGTGTGTATGTGAAATGTTACGCCAGGAACATCCTTAAGGGAAAAACCTTTTGCTGAAATGTTACCAATGTGACCTAATGTGGATTACCAATCAATATTTGATGGTAGGAAGGCTCCCAGACAAATTTACCAGACTCTGTCATCACAGAGATATTGATTGTCCAGCTTGTCCTGAACATACCTACACAGTTGTTGGCCTATTGAATTAAATAAAAAGGAAGGAGAGTGCATAGGACAACATAATTCTGTACTGACCCATGACCAAGGGTTGCAGCACAGACCAGAATGTCACAACTTATGATGAATTAAGTGAGTATGGTTTTATGCCGCTTTTAGCAATATTCCAGCAATATCGCGGCGGGAGACACCAGAAATGGGCTTGACATATTGTACCCATGTGGGGAATCAAACCCAGGTCTTCAGCATAATGAATGGATGCTTAAACCATTAGGCTACCTTTAATGGACATGTTCGGTACAATAATGTACACTATATGTCACTCTTTTCAGAAATAAACTCTGTAACGATTACTCTTTCTCAGTGAAGTAGAGATTCAGGTACTTTTGGGGGTTTAGTCATTCTCAGAATCAGGTACCTAATCGCCAACTCCCAAAGTCATCAATCTCACCCACTCAGTGACCACAGCTTCCACAAAATTGAATGGAAATGAACCCTGGCTGAAATTGTTAAACAGAAGATAACATAAGAAGAACATAGCTGATCTTTGCATGGGTCTTTGGAGTATGTGTGGTTCTGATAAATGTAGAAGAATCTGGTTTGGTTTCATTTTTAATGTACAGTGTTGCATGTGTGGGATTTTATTACGAATAATAATTCTTCAACACATACGGCCATGATTGATTTTACTATTGTACAGCAGAGTCTAGACAGGAAGTACAATATATTATTAGGGAAACTGAACAGGATTCACATGTCACAAATTTGTCAATTTATGTCCATTTCATAGAGATCCTTTCTTAGTGATACGACTAATAGCATGCTAATACAATGCTTTCAGTTGTAAGATTTTTCTGCATAATTCACATTAGTCTTTAATCCATGACACAAATTCTAGAAGCATCATGTATATTGACAAGAGAGATATATCATATACACTCATATAACCTGCATGAGCACAAAAGGCCTGCTTCTGAGTGAGTGAGTGAGTTGAGTTTCACGCCGCACTCAGCAATATTCCAGCTATATGGCGGCAGTCGCCTACTTGTGTCCTAATTATACCACTCCATTTTTTATAGGAATATATCTTTTTATACATTATACTCAAAGCTTATTCTTATATGTCAACTGTATATTTAGATATATCTGATATATGGGGTTATCACCATTGCATATAATCACTGTTTAACCGACACATATAAAGAGAGATTTAATTTGGACACATGATACTCGCAAAGAAACAGTTCCAGTCTAGTTTCATCAGGAATCTTAACACAAGTTTTTAGTTGTGAAGTTGGTTTCTTTTCTAGTGATTGGAGTGATTATAAGTATGATGTCTGTGTAAACCTTGTTTGTTATACTTGTGAAGATGTTGTGTAGACTTAGAAGTAGCAATAGCCTTGGACCAAATACTTGTAGCCTTATGTTTTTCAGTAGTGCCAAAAATATTTGTGCTTACTTACTGAAATAGTCCTTTTTGTATCATTTCGGTAGATTTGTGTTAAATGTATTGATTGTGATCAGCTCATTACTCAGGAGGAATTTTACTAAACTCTGGTTTCAGACAAGTGGCAATTGTCACAGACAGTTAGCATAATGTAGAGTGTTGTCGGCATGAGATAACAATGCTGACTGTGGAAACTGTCCCAGGGATTATGTTCTTGGACATTTGTTAGGGGAATCAAGTGAATTAATTGTTTGTTGTTCGTCTACTTCAGGATGTTCCTCCGGACATCTCAGTGTCTGTGTTCGTGCTGGAACAAGCCCTTTCGGTCCACGCTCTACAAGAGATGGTCACCTCTACATCCCAAGATTCCAAAGTAAGTCCTTCTTTGAGTGGATAATTTGTCTCATGAAATCGACAAGCTCATCTCCAGTTTTGAACAATTTCTTGCACTTTTGAATAAATTCTAATCTCTTGACATTTAGTTTTTAGTTTCAAGGTGTTGACACATAATCAAATCCTGACATCCCGCATCACTTCTGTTTGATTGCTGTTCTCATTGTTAGCTAGTTTGAAATTGTATTCAACAGAAAACTGTAGACACTTTTAAGTATATGTGGACCATATTTGTTTCTTTAGCATTCTTTATGCTTAGTAGATTGACAAGGGGCATGCTTATTAAATCCAGAGACAATAAATTTAATATGCTCTCAGAGATCAAGCTGGTGTGAACAATGATATTTTAGACATTGCTGGAACAAACATGTTCTGACAATAGTCAATGTATACAAGAAAAATGTGCAATGTATACAAAAGATTAATGACTGCTATGTAGATTTTCATTCTTAGATGGGGGCCATATACATATTTTACTGACAGATGGCCTGGAGGATAGGCAGAGTGAGCTTATAGGTGCAGGGCTCTGATTACTGTTTGTCAAAAATGTTTGTTGCTTAAGTTGGGTCAATGTTGTTGGCACTAGTGTGGAGGTGTAAGTGGATTCAAACCAACTACTGGTCACTGGTAGTACGTGTTTGTGGATGTAGCATGACAGACTGCAGAAACACTAAATCTGTATGTACTTTAAAACAATTGACCTTTCTTCGTTCCAGGTAGCCCAATCTGGTCACAGAACATTGTTGTATGGTCATGCAATTCTTCTCAGACATCTCCATGGAAACATGGTGAGTTTTCATAGCACTTGTAAATTGTTGTCATTTAAACCATGAAATCATTGTCAGGACTCCGTATTTGTATACGGATGTCCTGTTGTCATGATGTGGTCAATATACATACTGCTTATAAACCATTGTCTAATGACCATGGAATATGTCAGTATGCAATGTTCTTCTAAACTGTCGTCATGGAAACAGGATCGGTGTACATAGTGCTTGTGAACTGTTGTTATGGAAACATGGTCAGTGTACACAGTGCTTGTAAACTGTTGTTATGGAAACATGGTCAGTGTACACAGTGCTTGTAAACTGTTGTTATGGAAACAGGATCAATGTACAAAGTGCTTGTAAATCATTGTTGTCTGAACATATTAATACTACAGCCTTCACTGCTTGAAACTTGATAACATCTGATGTCCAAGATATTTTTATTGATAACATCTGTCTTCATCATTGAAATGTTGACACCTGTTGGTGTCATCTTTGATTCTGCTCACGTGTCAACCATCAGTGACGAGTGAACAGGGCTATTTACAGAGCAGTGCACAGAAACACGATCCTTGACACACTTTCAGTGGAACTTTTGTAAACAGTTAGATGTGCATTGATCTGGAAATTATGACTTATTGTGTGTTTCTGTTTTCAGTATCTCTCCTGTCTTTCAACCAGTTCCTCCAATGACAAACTCGCCTTTGATGTCGGCTTGCAGGAAACTGCAATTGGTTAGATACATTTTACATTTTCTTGAAACATGAGAGTCGAAAATTGAAATATGTGACAATATGGCGCGCTTATATTAGGAAAGCAAAAAAAGTAATAAATATATCTGAGTGTATGAATTCAAATATATTTAAACTATTTATATTTAATTTTGTAAAAACATTTTTTGGTATAATTACAAATGACTTTCTAGTACAACTTCACTGAACTGTGTTAATGTTTCGATTTAAGTACACATTTTGTGGGCTACAATTTTAAAATTCTACAGGTGTGAAATATTGTTTGTGAATGTTTACCTGCTGTGTTGCCAGGGGAGTCATGTTGGTGGACAATCCATCCCGCTTCCAAACAAAGATCTGAGGGAGAGAAAGTACGTGTTGGGGATGATCTCATCCTTGTCAGCGTGTCCTCAGAAAGATACCTGGTAGGTGTTGAAAACACAAAGACAAGACCATGCCTGTGGACTTCCTCTGCTCAACAATATCTGAACTTTGCATTATTGCAGATTTTTTAAGCAGATTTAAAAGTAAAATCATTCCTTGTGTTCACCTTTTTCTTCTGTGAAAAAGAACACAGTGTGCCTACAATATGTAATTTTATTGATTGAAAGACTTGGTTTTTTTTTTAATATTTAATTCATCTGAGTCTGATTTGCAAGTAAAGATGGCTGCTGATTATCATCCTTGCCAGTTCAGATAAATGGAATAAGATCATCACAGAACAGTTGAGGCTATAATATCTGAAAACAGTTTGGCTATTTTATTAAAGTTATCGTCCAAAAAGGCAGGATAGCAAGGATTATTGTGGTTTGCTACTGAATAACTATATATCCGACCCTTTAATTGGATGTGTCATAAACTGACCTCCATGATGTCCATGCGGCAGCCATGCTTATCTGCACTTCATTTACACAGGACTGTATGATATTTATCATGATACATAATATCATATTGATAGTTTACCATCTAATTTTGTTTTTTTGTTACGTTTCACACAGCCATATTCCAGCTATGTGATGTGGCCAGTAACAATTATTACCTGGGCCAGACAAACCAGTGATTGCTGTTGTTCCTAAACCTGACCACCTGATCCAGTTGGTTGACTCTCCCAATAAGCATAGTTGTCTGCGAGTCAGTTCTGACCAAGAGATTCTTTGGATTTTACCATTTTGGCAGTTTATTAGTATTGTGCACTTGGAGAAAACAGTTCATTCATGAAGTTAACTGTTTCACTGTTTCAGCACATCGGCAGCGGCTCTGCAGTCATAGCATCGTTCCAGCAGACTCTGTGGACAGTGGTGCCTATGTGTTCTGGAGCTGTCAGGACAAAAGCCCTAGGTAAGACACAAGTGTTCATACTGATGCTTGTCATGGTCAACACACTGCAGCAAGTAATCACATCGATGTACCCTGTGGCTTCCAGGACAAAATGTAGCAACCTTGAGGAACTCATCACACTGAAGGGGCGGTGGGGTAGCCTAGTGGTTAAAGCGTTCGCTCGTTCAGGCCGAAGACCTGGGTTCGATTCTCCACATGGGCACAATGTGTGAAGCCCATTTGTGGTGTCCCCCGCCGTGATATTGCTGGAATATTGCTAAAAGCAGCGTAAAACCAAACTCACTCACTCACTCACTCACTCATCACTCTGAAATCCTCTGTTTCATTCTGTACATGTTTTTTTGTGTGTGTGATGTCCTTGGCATCATTTTGCTGGAATATAGCTTAAAATGTCATGAACCATATTCACGGAGTCACCCATCATTGACACAACGTCTTGGCAGTGTTGGAGGTGTGTCTAAGTGACCATGAGTTACCTGGACAAAATATCTATAGCTGTAACGTTAGGATAATTCTTATTAGACGTTTCAAGCGAGGCACCATTTCTTGCACTATGAAAGCAGAATCATGGCGTTGGACAACAGTTGAGGCTGGAAACTGAAACTTAAGTAATCTATGTGAGTAAGCATGTTAACTGTTTCTGTTTCAGCCAATGTGTTTGGTGGAGATGTGTTGAGACTGTTCCATGGACACATGGACGAGTGTCTCACAATACCAGAAGCTGGCAGTGAAACTGAATTCAAGTAAGATGCAGTGAAATTCAGCTTCTGAAATTGAACATAACTTCATCATCTGTTTGTAACCTTCCTTTGTAGAATGCCATTTTACTATACAACTTTACAGTAATATTGTATTAAACATGGTAGCATTACCAGAAACAGACTGTAATAATTTTACTTATATGGCACTCAACTCCACGCTGCACAGGCATGCTCTAAGTGTATACAAAATGACAGGCATTATCACCCAGGATGACCCAAGCTGCCAAGGTGCAAGAAGGTTAAGTCCTATGACTTATTCCACCGTACTACTGTAGATAGTGTATATCATGTATTTTGTGTTGCAGTGCTGTGATGTATGAGACTGGAGCTGTATGCAGCCATGCTAGATCTCTGTGGCGACTTGAACACATCAGGACAAAGTAAGGACCTGTTTCTGAGTCCCAGAGTCGTACAGGTCTCCTGGGCTGATTTGTTACAGCAGTCATTTGTTTGTTTGTTGCTTGACGCAACACTCAGCAATATCCCAGCTATAGGTGTTGGTCTGTAAATAATCGAGTCTGGAACAGATTGTTTACTGATAGACATTGGTATTGATTTCTTCAACTGGGATACGATGACATGCATCAGCGAACCTGACCACCCGATCCCATTAGCCCCTTCTTACAACAAGAGTTTCTGAAGACCAATTCTTCATGTGTTGCCATAGTAGTGAACTGTCTGTGGAGGGTATAGTGATTTACCGAACAAGTTATTCAGAAAAGTGAATTCTGGAAAACAGCAGTTATCTCCCTTACTTCTTATCAACTTATCACACAGTCTGCTAAATCACAGGAGGATGTAGATATTTTATACATTGTCATGATGTAGAGTAACTGCAGGAGGCTTGGTAAAGATGATCAGGAAACTATTGATATATGTGACCTTCTGATTGTGTCAGTGGATTAGGGGCGGTGGGGTAGTCTAGTGGTTAAAGCGTTGGCTCGTCACGCCGAAGACCTGGGTTCGAATCCCCACATGGGCACAATGAGTGAAGCCCATTTCTGGTGTTCCCCGCCATGATATTGCTGGAATATATTGCTAAAAGCGGCGTAAAACCAAACTCAGTCAGTCAGTGGATTAGGTGTGACTATTGAGCAAACTATCATTTCCATTTTCTTTAGATGTTTTATGTCATGCAAACATTGTCATGCTTGTGTATTTTATCCCATGTGATATGTTATATCTGACTGTTGGTTACGGCATGTATTTACTACCTTGTTGCAGATGGGCTGGTGGTTTCATGGGATGGGGACAGCAGTGCAGAATTCGCCACGTAACATCTGGCCGCTACCTGGCGGCCGTCAACGAGAACCAAGTTCACACCGTCCATCGTAGCCATGCGTCAGAGGAGAGCACAGCATTCTTTGTCAGGCAGTCAAAGGTGAAAACAGCAGTTAGAGTAGCTGCCATAATTTTCTGAATCTTATGATGGGATTCAAACCACAGATCTTCTGATCTGAGGTCGGACACCTTATCCACATGACCAAACTCCATCAGCAAGTTAACATGGATATGATTTTTAAGATAACTTCATGTTGTGTGTCATTAGGAACTTTCATGCAGGAAGGCAGTTAGTATCCCTCAGCTGTACCAATTAAATGCCACTTTGTGCAAATACTAATGCTCAAAGTGAACATACTTATGGGAGAAGTCTGTTTAGTTTTGTGCAACAATTCGTAGAATTCTGGCAATATGACAGTTAGAGACATCAGAAATTGGTTTCAGATTGTACCCATGTGGGAATCAAACAAAGGCTAAAGCCTGACAAGTCAATACTTTGGCATGAGGGCTATCCCACAGCCTTATAGGCTAAAGACAAAGTACCCAATAATCTATTTTTGCTACCATCTAGTTTGTTAAATGCTATTGTAATCTTCATGCATTATGACCTGATACCCATTTAAGCAAGTTAATTGTTAATGCCTATCAAAACACCTACCGAAACCTCTCCTTCAAGACATATGTTATCATTCATAGACTGATCTGGATACATTTTATACAAGCTAATGGCTAAAGTCAGTGTTATGGTAATATATAACCCGTCTCAATTATCCACTTCCGTGATGTGTCACATGGATCTGTGACTATCAGTTATGACACCAGGTGTTTGCCTTGTTGATTGTTCATTTGGTAGATGTGATGTTAAGCTGTCCATGATGTTGTCTGCTGTAGGATGACAAGAAGATGTCGGAGGGTCATGAGGACGAGGGCATGGGTCGCCCTGATATCAAGTACGGAGACTCCATGGTCTTCATCCAACACTGTTCCACCAGTTTGTGGCTCTCCTACCAGACATTTGAGACAAAGAAGAGAGGCATTGGCAGAGTGGAAGAAAAGAAAGTAAGATTAAAGTTCTCATGACTTGAACAGTTAACTAAATCTGAAATGTACATTCAAACTTGGTACAAGTGGACTGTTTCTCCCAATATCCAGCCGTGCTTATAGTTTATAGCTGTTATGTTGCAGCAAGATGTTCGCAATGAAAGCAACACACATTCCACCAAATATACTACTCAAAATATGTTAGGGACCACCATGTTCTTTCATATTCCTCTAGTTAATATGACATGAATATTTTTTGTTATTTGTAATTTTTTTACTTTACTCTTTTCAATCTGACATGGCATTACAGATAAGCTAAGGAAATATTAAATAATCAGAAGTTGTTAACTTCTGTTGTGTCATAAATATCAATGTTTTATTGGCTACTACCTTTGGTCTTCTACTCAGGAAGATGATGTGCTAGACCCGCATAGTCTCATCAAATATGTCTATTGATATAAATGATGATCAACTTGGTATATTATGCAAATGTATGATCAGAGCAATTGAGTGAGCTCTCCTCTGAAACACGTCTCCATCGGAAAGGCAAGTAAAATCTGTCGGAGCTCATCATTAGCTAAATCTTGGTGTTCTCCATTATAACCAGCAGTGTTGCCGTCACTGATCAAGTCATTAGTCAGGCAGAAGACAGGATTCTCAGGTCTACCGTAACATGTTATTTTATGGATGTAACAAGAACTGCGACTAGATGTGTTTCTTCTTGTTGTCAGGCTGTGATGTTGGTTGAGGGTCACATGGACGATGGTTTCACCTTGTCGAGAGCCCAGGAAGAGGAGTCGCGATCTGCTCGCGTCATCAGGAAGTGCCAGTCGCTATTCACAAGATTTAACAAGTGAGATACCTTGCTTTTTCTCTGAACTGTCGTATGCAGGTTAGATTTGGGTTAGAACTGGTCTTTTTAGAATTCATGCTTGTCGTAAGAGGCAGCAACAGGATGCAGTGGTCAGGCTTTCTGACTAGGATGTTATCATATCTGAATTGTATGGATAGATGACATCAATCACTAGATTGTCTTGTGCAGACTTGTTGATTCTTCAAATCAGCAAAGATCTTGGAATATCTGGGTTGCATTGGTCTTCATCAACACATGCTTGTCATAAGACATGACTAGGTGGTTGGGCAGTCAGGTTCACTGACTTGGTAGACACATGTCATTGTATCCCAATTGTGTAGACCAGTGCCCATGCTGTTTGTCTGGTTCAGACGATTATTTACAGACCGCTGACATATAGCTGGATTATTGTGTGGCGTTAAACAAACAAATTATATTTTAAGCCAGCAACTGCATTTTTCCTTACAAAAGTTAAAGATGTTTCCCCGAAATGTTCTGAATGGCATCGTCCTGAGTATTAAACAAACAAATTATATTTTAAGCCAGCAACTGCATTTTTCCTTACAAAAGTTAAAGATGTTTCCCAGAAATGTTCTGAATGGCATCGTCCTGAGTATGACTTTCTGTTTGTTGTATGCAGAGCTCTGGACAGCCTGAAGACAGAAGGTCGGAACTCCCATGCCTGGGGTCGGATAAGCTTATCGGAGGTCATCAAATGTCTGGAGGATCTCATTGACTACTTTGCTCAGCCTGGAGAGGGTGAAGGTTGGTACACCAGGATGTTTTTAATCTGTGTAAGGTTGACAAACCGGAATATGGTTTTCAAGGATATCCTGATATGTTTCACACCTTGTTAAAGGCTGTGAATGTGTATTTTCACTATTACTGAATTGTGTCTTGCTTATTTTCAGAACATGAAGAAAAACAAAATAAACTTCGTGCTCTACGCAACAGACAAGATCTGTTTCAGGAAGAGGTAAGGTACATTTGGTTGTGGGATATAAATAATCTCATGAAATGAACGAATTGTTTTTGCTCAGATAATGCTTTGTGAAATCTGAGTTACAGAGATTTCACAATAAAATTGACGTCACCAATCTCCGGCACTGAAACCTGTTTACTTTTTACTTGAAAAACACTGTTTATTACTGTTTACAAACTGTAAAAAGTTGGAAGATTGATAGGAAAGATTTTATCCTTGTGTGAAATATATTAACATTTTGATACAAAATAAAATTCGGTTCATTATGAGTGTGTTTGTTATAAACAGTTTCTGGATTGACATTGTGATGCTGTTCTGTTATCAGTGAAAGGACAGATGATGATGAAACATTATTGTTCACTTTGAAATGTGATTTGCAGGGTATGATTGCTCTCATCCTTGAGACAATAGACAAACTGAGCCAGTACAAGAGTAAACAGAAATTTGCCCACTATGCTGGAGAGGATGCAGCCGAGAGCTGGGACGACATCTCCTCCTATCTGTATCTCTTACTGGGTAGGCTTTGATACTTGTTTTGTATCAGGTTCTCTGGTATTCATCTATAGATTAATGTATATCTGTATCACTATATCTCTTTTGGGGAGGACATTAGGCTTTAGCTGGTACTCCATATAGTGTTGTTACTGCATTTAATATTTTTAGAAGATTTGGATTGTTTGGCAAGTGCGCACACCTATGTGGAGCAGGAATTAATGGTACTCAATACTTAAGTTCTAGAATTTTGAGTACTGTTTTGAAATGTCTTTTGGATTTGTATCTGTGGGGTAGCCTAGTGGTTAAAGCATTCCCTTGTCACACCAAAGACCCTGGTTCAATTCCCCACATAGATACAATGTGTGAAGCCCATTTCTGGTCTTCCCGGTAGTGATATTGCAGGAATGTTGCTAAAAGAGGTGTAAAACCAAACTCCCTCACTCCCTCACTTATCTGTTAAAACCCTGTGGGTTTAAGTTAGAATCAGTTCTCAGGACCCGTTGCATATTTTTATTGTGAGATAAAGCAGATGTCCTGAAGAGCATTTTACATTGTTGCAGCGTAATACCAAACTCAGTCACTGTATCTGATCAAAATTAACCTATAGAATCGGGTCTGTCACAAATGCATGGACTGGTAGCGACACATATTGTGAGGCACAAAGGACATGAACAACCACGTGACTTAGATGTTGTGTGTTTCAGCGGCCATGATCCGTGGTAACCGTGCCAACTGTGCCCAGTTTGCTCAGTCCTACCGACTGGACTGGCTTGTGAATCGTCTGGAGAGTCAGCAGTCTTCCAAAGGTGTGCTTGATGTGCTTCACTGTGTGCTTATTGACTCTCCTGAAGCTCTCAACATGATCAAGGAAAAACATATCATCACTATCATATCTCTCATCGACAAACATGGCAGAGACCCAAAGGTGAGTCTGTCTTTTGTAGCACTTGGCGTCCCTGCTGACTTCCAGTGATCTATTTATCCATTTTACACATTGGGGCGGTGGGGTAGCCTAGTGGTTAAAGTGTTCCTTCTTTGAGAGGCATTTTAGAAGCTGTATAGATGAAGGAAAACCAAGTTCTATGGATAGTCAACTTCTTTATTGCAATGAGTGCAACGTTTCGGTGTAGGTACTAACACCGTTATCAAGTAAGTGATCACTGCGTTAAAGTGTTCGCCTGTCACGCCGAGGACCCGGACTTGTTTCCCCACATGTGAAGCCATTTCTGGTGTCCCCCTCTTCTCTCTGTATTATATATTGCTTGCAGCAAGGATCAATGTTCACAATATCAACCACTGGGTGTCTGGTCCAGAATCTGTTAGTTACAGGTCATCATATAGATGCTGTATTTCATTAAGCAACCAATGCACATGAACTAAAGGTATTGTCTAAGTGCTCTGATGATCGTTGAGTGTTGGGGTAGTGGTTAAAGCATTTGCTCATCATGCAGAAGACCCGGGTTCGATTCTCCATGTGGGTACAGTGTTTGGAGCCCAATTCTGGTGTTCCCTGCCGTGATATTGCTGGAATATTGCTAAAAACTATACTCACTTACACTCACACACTATTTTTCACATGTCTTTTACCTTTAACATGCTGTGAGATCTAATTTTAGTGGAAGGTTGAGACAGTTTGACATCATGTGTTGTTTCAGGTTGCAGTAGTTTCAGTAGTTTTAAAATAGCTAATTATTTTGCTTTGTCTCACAATCATGCCATTCAGAGACTTATGCAACTACTGATGTTTGTTGTGCAGGTGCTAAACGTGTTGCGGTCTCTTTGTGTTGGTAACGACGTTGCTGTCCGAACCAACCAGAATCTCATCTGTGATAACCTGTTACCTGGACGTGATCTCCTGCTGCAGACAAAACTTGTTGACCACGTGACAAGGTAGATTGACTTCACACTTCAAATGCAGAACAGAAAAATAAAAGTGATACCTAGTATTACGTGAACATTCTCCATATGACAATGATTCTTTCCTGAGGGGAATATCATAAACATTTTTTCTGCCATCTTGTATCAGGAATTGGCCAGGAAGCCAATAAAATAGTTCACAGCTCTGGATTTTCATCCATTTGAAATTCTGGTACAAACTTATTCACAGTTATCTCGGCCTGTAATATGTGTTGAACAGATCACATGGTCAGGCTCTGTGTTTTGACAATTGCATGTCATCAAGTCATTGCGTCCCGATACCCTCTTTAGGTCACTGATTTAGGAACCTGTGAAGATCCGGGGTAAAATAGGTCTTCAGCAACCCATTCTTGTCATAAAAGGCGATTAACGGGTGGTCAGGCTCGCTGACTTGGTTGACACATGTCATCGGTTCCCAATTGCGCTGATCGATGCTCATGCTGTTGATCACTGGATTGTCTGGTCCAGACTCGATTATTTACAGACTGCCGCCATATAGCTGGAATATTGCTGAGTGCGGCGTAAAACTAAACTCACTCACTCACTGATTTAGGTCAGATCCACGGTCATGTCCCATAAACTGATCTTGGCTCCCATGCTGTACATATTTATGAAAGTCTAAGGAATGGGACCAAGCCTTGGATGTATACAGGTTGTCAGTGAAAAACTGAATAATTCTGAGTCAAGCGATTGCTCACTCTTAAAAGGTGATGTTATGTGGAAATCACACAAAACTGTATATTTTGTTTCTAGTTTGCGACCAAACCTGTTTGTTGGCATCTGTGAGGGATCTCCAATCTACAAGAAGTGGTACTTTGAGGTTGTGATTGTGAACTGTGAGGCCTCAACACACCTCCCACCCCATCTGCGTATCGGGTTTGCCAACACTGAGGGTTTCATGCCCTACCCCGGGGGAGGAGAGCACTGGGGGGCCAACGGGGCTGGGGATGACCTTTACTCTTACAGCTTCGATGGACTCAATCTCTGGACTGGTGAGCTCTTCTTGTTATTACTCCTTTGTTACTTTAGTGAAGAGGTCCACGTCCCCAGAGATGTTTCAGTATCAGTATTGTTATTGGATTTGGTCAGGTGTTTGTTTTCTTACCATTGTTTATAATTGTATTTGCTTCATAATGGCCTTAACATTTAAACTTTGGAAAATATTTTGAGGAAGTCTTAAAGGTATTTCAGATTTTTAGATTTTGCAAGATCTAAACAGGTAAAGTGCTGCACATCTTTTTTGAAATGTGTGCATTTTGTCGCAGGTGGCAAGCCGAAGTGTGTCCGACCAGGAACAGTGAACTTCCAGAAGAATGACATCATTGGCTGTGCCCTTGACCTTTCCATACCACAGATAGTTTTCACAGTGAATGGAGTCAAAGTTCGGGGCATCTTCAAGGACTTCAATCTGAGTGGCATGTTTTTCCCTGTTGTCACTCTCGGAGCCAACATCAGGTCAGTGTTGTGTGGATGTCAGTTCAGTGGTGGTCCTGTGCACAGAGCTCAGGTCACGAATCAGTTGAAGTTAAGCAACGTCGAGTTCGGACAGTCCTTGGATGGATGACCGTGTTTGGTAGCTTGACTCCTGAGAGTTTCTAGGACTTCAGTCCTGGCCACAACGAAGCACATGTGATACATGTGGTCTCACCTTAGGCAAGTGAGTTTGTTCCAAATTGCCTCTGTTCACCCAGCAGAAAATGGGTACCCAGTTGGATAAAGTCATGTGACTATAACCTTCTAGCGCCTAACAGGCAGCTTCCCAAATAGCAATCAGACGTTGGCCCAACATTGGCAACGTTGGCAAAACCATTGCCAACGTTGGGCCAACATCTGAATGCTATCTGGGTTGGGTTATCCAGGGTAATATTAATCACAATCTGATTAAGCACTGCAAGCAATCACTTGGTGTTTGGAGACTGTGTGCTATAAAAGATGACTTTTTATTGTGTGGATGTTATGTCGGTGTTGTGTGGATGTCAGGTCAATTGTTTGATATGTAGTCAGTCAAGTCAGTCATATGAATCTGAAGTTATGATTCAAGGAAATTAACAGTTTTCAACTTGTTTCTCCACAGTATTCGTTTTGTATTTGGCCATGATCACGGTCGACTAAGGTATGGACCACCAGAAGAGCATTCCCCAATCATTGAATCCTTGCCGCCAAAAGAAAAGGTGAAAATTGAGCCATATTTCTACTTTGGGAACCTCACAAAGAACATGCTGAGTGGCCCAACAGAGACAATGGATTACGTCCCCTTTGTGCCAAACCCAGTCACAACTTCAAGAGTAAGTTCAATGAAGTCGACTCAATGTATGATGATAATAATAAACTAATCATTTGATCTTTATTCCCCTCCATTGCACCATGTAACACCACTCATCATTATATTTTCCAAAATTTTACTGCCTGTGTTCCCTTCATTCTTTGCTTAATGATACACACTATCGATAAATAGACCCACTTAACGAATATGTTTAATAGGAATGATGTGAACAGGGCTCTTGTCTAGATTATTGCATAAAAATAGTAAATATATTGAATAAACCTTCCTAACTTGAATGAAACGTCAATTTTTTATTCCTTGTGTCCTGATGACGGCCTTTCTTCTGTAAATTCATTCCATACAACTATTGTATAATGACACGTTATGAATTAACACAAAATCACTTACTCCATAGTGTTTTCTTTCTGGTTTGTTGATTTTGGTATTATTTTGTAGATTCAGCTTCCAGCTTTCATAGAGAACGTGCGAGACAAGCTAGCAGAGAACCTTCATGAGATGTGGGCCATGAACAAAGTGGAGCAAGGATGGACATATGGAGAGGTAGATTGGCTTATGAAGCTTGGGTGATTTGAGCTGTTCAAACCCTAAATTCTTAGAGTGGCATTTTTAGAATTTGGGGAGTCCTTCTTATCTTTGGGGTGGGGTAACCTAGTGGTTAAAGCATTTATTCGTCACGCTGAAGACGCAGGTTCGTTTTCCCACATGGGTACAATGTGCGAAGCCCATTTCTGGTGTCCCACACTGTGATATTGCTGGAATATTGCTATAAGTGGCATAAAATCAAACTCACTCACTCACTTATCTGTTAAAACCCTGTGGGTTAAAGGTAGGATCAGTTCTCAGTACCCATTGCATATTTTTATTGTGAGTTAAAGCAGATGTCCTGAAGAGCATTTTACATTGTTGCTGTGCTAAAGCATGTTTTGACAAATACGCTCTGAAACAGTGAAGATATGACAGTTTTGCATTTACCATAGTCTATATCTGTATTGCATATTTGAATGTTTATTCCAGGTGCGAGATCCAGATCGCAAGAAGAATCCTGCTCTCACATCTTTTGAGAAGGTCCCCATCTCAGAGAAGAAATATGTCATCACAGTGGCCTTTGAAACTCTCAGGTGTGTTGTGTGATAAATAGAGAATTTTGTTAAGAATTTTGAATATTTTCTATTAATACTGTTTGACATTGATGATAAAGAAACAGAATTGAACTATAGTATTTTTCAGTTCTTAATGCAGTAGAGGTTCAACATGCCTATTCATGTAGATGATAGATGTAACTTAAAAAATTGTGTATGAATAAAAAGAAATTAAGTGAACCGAGAGATGATGTTCATTCCCATTATGACTGTAGGCAATAAATTGAGCTACTCAGTGTTGAAAATAGTTATAGCATTTCCAAATTTTCTATGATTCTAAATTTCTTCAGTATTGCCAGACATATGAGTTTAAGATCTTTCTCTGATTGGTATCCTGTGCAAGCACTGACTGATGAAGTTCAACTGTGTATGTAGTGGACAGATGATGTCTTTGCCTTCAGTCTTGTCCACATTGAAACGTAATGTCTGGTTGTGTCCCACAGAACATTGTTAGCCCTTGGCTACCACATCTCCATCAACCCCCAGCAACAACAGAACAACCGCATGAAGACCATCAAGTTGGGCAACAAGTGAGTACTCACAGAGCCTGTCTGAGATAGAATGCTACATGGTCAACTTGTTAGAAAACATTCTATCTGGTTTGGGATATATTATGATATTTATTACTAGGATGCTGTTGCAGTTACCTTAAGCATTTAGGTTCCAGTCACCTCTCTGGATCTGACAAGGGAACAAACCAACCTCTTCTGATCAGAGTAACAAGCTAACACCTCTGGATCTGTCAGAGATAGAATGTGTCAGGTTGTAATGCTTCCAGAGTTATGTCTACAAACCAACCCTTAGATCTGTCTGGGAATGCATGTTACAGGTTACATGTGTCTGTTAGAGCTTCCTCCAGGCTAATGGCTACAAGCCAACTCCCCTGGATCTGTCTGGGATAGCATGTTACAGGTTACATGTGTCTGTTACAGCTGCATCCAGGCTAATGGCTACAAGCCAACCCCCTGGATCTGTCTGGGATAGCATGTTACAGGTTACATGTGTCTGTTACAGCTTCCTCCAGGCTAATGGCTACAAGCCAACCCTTCTGGATCTGTCTGGGATAGCATGTTACAGGTTACATGTGTCTGTTACAGCTTCCTTCAGGCTAATGGCTACAAGCCAACCCCCCTGGATCTGTCTGGAATTCAGCTGAATGATAAGATGGAGGAGCTGGTGGAGCTGCTGGCTGAGAACACCCACAATGTCTGGGCCAAGGACAGGATCAAACATCACTGGACATATGGCCTGAACGAGGTCAGTAAACTTGGTAGATGACTTCAAAGGCACATTTCATTCATCTCTTTGTCGGTTTCTTGGATTGAAAGAATCCCCCTAATGAAAACATGTGAAGTAGGGCTAAAGTGGTGATTGTCATAGAGGATACCAGACTGATTACAGGAAGCTTTATGTGATTGTTTCCTGTTTGCAGGATCCTCTGCACAAGAGAAGTCCCCATCTTGTCCCCTACAACAAGGTAGATCAGCACATCAAGAAGGCTAACAGGTGAGTTAACATCCATCTTGTCCCCTACAACAAGGTGGCTCAGCACATCAAGGAGGCTAACAGGTGAGTTAACATCCATCTTGTCCCCTACAAGGTGGATCAGCACATCAAGAAGGCTAACAGGTGAGTTAACATCCATCTTGTCCCCTACAACAAGGTGGATCAGCACATCAAGAAGGCTAACAGGTGAGTTAACATCCATCTTGTCCCCTACAACAAGGTGGATCAGCACATCAAGAAGGCTAACAGGTGAGTTAACATCCATCTTGTCCCCTACAACAAGGTGGCTCAGCACATCAAGAAGGCTAACAGGTGAGTTAACATCCATCTTGTCCCCTACAACAAGGTGGCTCAGCACATCAAGAAGGCTAACAGGTGAGTTAACATCCATCTTGTCCCCTACAACAAGGTGGATCAGCACATCAAGAAGGCTAACAGGTGAGTCAGGGCCCAGGTGCTGATGCAGCTCTTAGAATGTGTTCAGTGTATTTTGTACGCACATCCATGGTGCTGGAGTTCAATAAGGTCTTGGATCAGTTAGGTCTTGGATCATGTTTGGTTTTATCTTGTCGGTGGTGCTTTGTTGTAAATATGGAGTCATCATGATTCTCTGCATATACTTCTCAGAGTCATCAACATCAAGAGAGTTATACTAAAGTATTTTGATGATAATGTTTTCATGAATATTCTGTTGATTGAAATGTGTAATAGTTTAGCTCCCTGGGTGTGTTTGTAGGAACTAGCAAAAAAGAGGTTTTCTTGAATATGTGAGTGCATTTTTTTGTGGTATGACTCAAAATATGAAAAATATGATCATGCATATATGGGATTGAACTATGTCAAATACACAACTTTCCTGAACAGAAATCCAGACATCAATGTCCTTTGTTATATGAAAAAGGGCGGTGTGGTAGCCTCGTGGTTAAAGCGTTCGCTCATCACGCTGAAGACCCGGGTTTGATTCCCCATATGAGTACAATGTGTGAAGCCCATTTCTGGTGTCCCCTGACGTCATATTGCTGGAATATTGCTAAAAGTGGGGTAAAACCATACTTACTCACTCACTCACTGACTATATGAAACAGCTTCTAAGTGCCAGGTTTAGATATCGTACAGTATGTATTGCATGACTGTAATCTGTTCCCAGGGACACTGCAAGCGAGGCTGTGCGGACACTGATGGCGTACGACTACGTGTTGGAGCCCCCTACCAGCGAGACTGGGGAGAGCGGTATGACAGGTCTGTTTGCTTTACGTGTCACTAACTGTTCTACCTGCTAACATTGCCATCATCATCACTGTGAACAAAGGTTGACTCGTCAGTATAGGATCATATGGTTGTCTTCATAGAAACAAATCTATCAAATGTATGGCGCTGAAAAAGTCAAATTTTGATATATATTTGATGTTATGCTTTCTTGAAATATTCATGTGTGTGAAATCATTTGTGATAATGGAATTCAAATATATAAGTAAGAAGTTATATGTATGTCCTTTTGTTAGAATCTTGGAAAGAATTCCAAATGTCTTTTAGATTATACTTAGATTATGGTAAATCAGTGTTCATTCTAGATTGCCACATCAATTTTATTAATACTGGAAGATTTATCACGTAATTGCAACATGCTTGGCAGGTGACTTCAAATACATGTCCATCATAAACATAACAATAGACGTTACAAGTGTAGACATTTCTCATTCTTTATTTACCAAGCAAAAAACATGTATTTACATTGGAAAAATGCAGCGTGCATACTACACTACTCGTATTGTGTTTTTATTTTAGTATATATATATTCTTTAAAAAATAAAAATAATGGACAAAATGTGATCAATGGGCAAAATAATTGTTCAAGGAGCAAAATTTGAAGTGTAAGTTCAAATTGACTTTTTGTGCCAATAATAGATTTTGCTTTAGTCTTAGTTTAATAAAAATGACCCACCCCATATTTGAATTGACCTGACATTTTTCACCAGAAGGCCAAAGTGTCTTACAAATCCTGCAGCTAGATTGAACACTGGTGAACTGATGGTACATTATACGAAGTGTTGTGTCACCTGTGCTTCATCACTGCCCAGGCTTCAGTGGTGTGTGTAGAATCTATTTCATGTTGTATCCATCATCATTTACTGCTTTCAAGGAAGTAAATTACAAGACCGATTAGCAGCCCTAGGTCTGCGTACAGGTAACATACAGAACATTATAGTCCTATATCTCATTACCAATAGATCGTAGACACAAGTGCACAAAACTATCAGCATACCTATTGCTATTACTATCGATCCTTTTAACATTTGGGTCACTTAGCAGACATCTTATTTTGTCACTAAAAAATTACCAAGATATATGAGAGTATTTTTATTTATTTAAATTTTTTTAAATAAAATAAAATTTTGATTCCAAATTTAAATGTTTGATTGCTCTAAGCTCACCTGGTCATTGAGTTCATATGATTCATGATCAAAGTCTATCAATCTGATGTTATGTTTAGATTTTAACTACTTTCGGAATTCAATTGTACATTTTTGCTGAAAATTTTCATGTTTGAATAAAAAAAAATCATTTTCAGATGTATTTGGTTAATGTTTGATTTGAAGTGACCCAAATGCTAAACACTCTCTTTCTGTAAATTCGATGTTTTAAAGATGAAATATCCTAAAAGCACTTTGTACATGTTTTCTTTCATGATTGTAATACAGTAATGTTGCAGTAAGACTAGACAACTTTAAGAAACTGATTGTCACATTGTAGGCTGTGAATAAAAGACTTTGAACTGTTTTAGGATTCAGTACAAGTGGTAAATGTTTTCCTGATCTTCTTAACATTTTCATGCTTGAATCTTCGCATAAAACAATAATTTTTGGTACTGACTGACTTGACAGTCTCAAACATCTAAATGCTAGCTGCAGATCTGAATTCAGTGGTTATTGGTTGTGGAATGAGGTTTGGCTGCATAAATGCAAAAGAATACAGGACTTGAAAAAATGGCTTGCTTTTCTGTAACTGACACAGCTACTTAAACATGGTGCTAGTTCTTCTGGTGTGTATTCGTTTCAATATTTGCAATAACCTCTTAACTGTAACATTTTATGAGCAGTCTTTAAGATAAATGTGCATATTGTGCTACTCTGCATCAATTAACCTGATAAATTAGCATGATAAATGGCAATAGAAGCTCACCTTACTATTCAACCCTGTGGACATGTTGTGTATCAATTTGGAATAGCTTCAATGATATTGAAAAAAATGCATGGAAAATTAAATTTTCAATACAGCAATATAATCATGGTTTTAGGTTTATGGTTTTGGGAAATATTTGGATTCATCTGAGCAAAGAACTGATTTGAGCTCAAATCTTTGAGATTTTTCTTAACTTGTCGTATTATCCAATTCTGAAATGCATGTGTCTTCTATGTATGATATTTACCGTGGCCTACTTTTTTAGCATGATGGTTGGTTTATCATTGGTCTAAATGTTTAAATGGACAGAGTTTAAAAGCACTTTAGATGATAATCTTTATGGTATATACCCAATTTGGTGTTCTTGGTACTGGTTCTTGTTCTATTGGATACTGCAACAAATCCCGGTTTTCAGGGTTATCCCAAGTTGATATACACGCTGTGTCCCACATGTATCACTCATTGTAGTATATCTGTTGTATATCATCATATATCTCCTCCCAACCCTGTACATGTCTGTGATTGGTGTATAATTGGAATATTTGGCTTTCATAATGATCTAACAATCTGATAAACAGCTCGGCTACATCTTCTATGTGTTGGTACACATCACTTTGAACTTTCATCGGAGATGCACTTACTTTCAGCTGGGGAGAAGCATTTTGAAAGTTATGTTTCATTTTTTTTTTTCTATCAGCACTCTATGATTATAACTTCTTCATAAGCCATGTCTTCAATCTGTGAGAAATACGTTTCAAAATGGAAGTGTTTCAGGATTTATTATTTAACATTTTTGAACAAGGTTAATTAAAAGTCACATTCATAGGACCTCAGGAGCAGGTAAGAATAAAGGAGATTAGTTTGTTCACAGGGATGTAGGCCGGAAAGTGGTAATCTCATTTTTAGATGTTAGATAAGGATTTAGTAACTGGGGACAGGATAGTAACTGGGGACATGAGAGTAATGGGGGACATGATAGTAACGGGGACAGGACATGATCGTAACGGGGACAGGATAGTAACGGGGGACAGGATAGATATGTATGATGGAGGCTAATATGTTTTTTCTGTATTTCAGCCATGACACGAGAAATCTCTGAGACCTCTGTAAACACAAGAACATACAGGGCAGAGCTAACTTACGCTGTGTCTGGAGGAAAATGGTAAGTATTTGTACATTACCAGAAGCCTGTCACTGTATGCAAGTCATATTCTGGTTAATTCATAGCCTCTTCAGTTTCATATTTAAATGTTTTCCTGTAAGATTCAGTGACAAGAAACATATCTGCCTGACTGTATTGCTGGAGGGATGAATTCACCTTTCCAGAAGTCAACTTTCCTTTTATGTTGACCTATATACCAGCTTGGTATGATGAGGTCAGGCCGCAAAGATCAGATGTTCCTCATTCTCTGGACAGTGTCTCTGTCTACTAGACCACTGAAGTAGCTAAATTAGATAGATTGTAATGGTGTTAAGATGTTCCTGACGTGGGCCCCATTCAACAAAGAAATCATGGGGTTAAGAAGAATGTAACGCGAGGTGGACAGTCATAGCCTTAGACTGCTTAGTGGAATGGTACCTTAGATGTTTAACCACACTTAGCTACAGGTATATGAACGTCTCTGTCTAACACATCAACATACACTGTAGGTACTATGAGTTCGAGGGTGGTGACACCCGGCTTCATGAAGGTCGGGTGGATGAAGAAGTCAGCTGCTCCAGGCGTGGATATCGGTCTGGATGGGATGTCGTATGGGTTCGATGGATATGTGGTGAGTACTGACACAGGTTTAAGGAATGTGTACGGTGAGGCAGCCTCTAACATTTTCTGAGGCTGGTGATGACCGGCATACTGTTATTGTCTGGGGTTGCACAAACTATCCACAATATACATAGTCTTGAAAGTTTTTAATCAAGGCACAAGTTTTTAAATTTTATGCTTGTAATATGATTGCTGTCTGTGAGAGTAAAGGACTGTCGCACAATTACATAGTCAGTATTATGTCTTTTAGCCGCTTTTAGTCAGTATTATCCTATATTTCATTGCATAGCAGCCATTCATATGATGACCCTTACTGAGATGAGGTAGTAACATCTGTTTTGGTTGAAATATTTAATTTCTATTCAAGTTTAGCAGTTACATTGATTGTCAAAATATTGTTGAAACCATGAATTCTTCTTCATAGAGATCGTCCTTGGGGTACATATTATGCATTTTCCAAGCTGAAAATGTCCTGTGACAGTTGTATCAATGTTTTTTGAATAAAAAGATTGTACAATAAATAAACTCTTTTATTTACTATACGGCCCCTACCTCACAGAGTTACCTCCCGTTGCGCATGTGCACCAACTGGGTAAGCTCCTAGACCCGTATCATCATTCCTTCTGCTGTCACTGCCGTGAACAGACGTCCATGAGCCGTACAGCGCTGAATTTTCTGATAAAGAAAACTATGTCTGAGACTACACCACCTGTATGTATGGTCTTTATTTGCCTATGAAAGGAACAGTAAAGCTTTACAGTTGGTTGTTTCATAATTGTGACTTTGTATTAATTCTAATACGCTAACTTTCCCGTGGTTTACGCACATGTTGCTCTGCCATGGCGGGAAGTTTAGCGTGCCATGTGGTCGTAATATTGCGTATTGAACCAACTCTTACTTCCCGTGGTAGCCTTCACGTATTTTTCAATGTTTTCTACGTGTATATATGTTGCTGGTCCGCCGTTAGCTACATGCTTGCGTGTTTGCTTTCAGGCCTTTTCCTCCTGTTCGGTCTGTGGACAGAGCATTCCACGGGCCGACAGGCATGACCAATGTGTAGCCTGTCTGGAAAAGACCGGCCATGACGCCGAAGTGTGTCCAATATATCTTGGGTTTTCCCCCCGTGCCCAAAAGAGGAGGGCGGCTGACACTCTCTTTTACAAGGAGATGCGAGAGGCGGGAGGGGAACTGACCCAGGTCCCCCCGTCTAAGGCCCAAAAGCGGTCTCGTAAGGGAAAAAAATCCCACGGCCAATCCCCCTCTCCTGCTTCTACTGGTGGGTTTGACATGTCATTAATGGATAAATTGTTTCAGCCACATATGGACTCCGTGAAGTCCCTCGTCTGTGAGTCTGTTGGAGGGCTCCGGCAGGAGTTCCTCGGTCACTCCCGGACGGGGGGCGGAGAGTCAGGGGGTGGGATCGCCGGGCTCGGCTCGATCCCTCAGCCTTGAGGCGTCTGTAGACCCGTTGCCTCTGGCTTCGGGTCCGGACGCCTCGGCTGCCCCGGAGGGGGAGGTGCTCCCAGTCCCCCTCTCGGAGTTGGCGCAGGGACTGTTGAGTATTCCTGGGGTTCCGATCCCTGCGCCCTCCCGCCCCATGAGAGCGGAGGCACCAGTTCTGCCTGGTCTGCCGCCAGCGTCTCGGGACCGGGGTCCGTGCACGCTTGCAGGCGCTGACGCGGGGCACTCTGTCTGCTCCTCCCTCTCTGTGGTTCCTAGTGCTAGGCCGCCCACCGGGTCGGGGTTAGGGTCCTCTTTCAGAGGAGACCCAGCCTCAGACTCGGGCTCGGGCGCCGAGTCGATGGAGCTTGGGGAGGTAGAGGAGCATGACGGTGCTTTCCGTTTTGCTTCGGCTCTGCGGGAGGTCCGGCAAAGGATTGCTGAGGGCCTACCCCAGGCCGCGGTGCCTGTTGGCAGCTCGGACTCGGCTGAGTTCCGCTTGCCAGGCGAGGCGTTTGCCCCTAGGCAGCCTACGCAGACGCAGCTCCGCATTCTGCCCTCGTTGGTACAGGACGTGGTTGATCCCCTCTTGTCTGGTTCCCGTGTCCGGTTCGACTTGCCGGAGCTTGTACGGAGATACCAGCTTGGGGAGGAATCCCTGTTCGTGGTACCCATCGTGGACGAGTGTGTTTTCACTTCCGTCGCCCTGGGGGGAGGCTCGGCTTCCTCCGGAGCAGCTCCGGCTGCTCGGCAAGGGCGTGTTACTCCTACGTTTGCCCTCACGGGCGCCCCCCTGAGGCATGCGTACCGGACCTACGAGGAGGTCTACCGGAACGCAATGCAGCAGGTCAGGGTGGTGGTCCATGAGGCCTACCTCTCCTCGATACAGAGGTCGGCCCTGGAGGGGGAGGGGCATGCTGGTGACGTTTCGCCGCATGTCGTGCTGCTCCGTCAGCTATCGGAAGTACAGGCCCACCTCGCGTGCGACTCTTTGCGGTCTGCTGCGTCGACGGTGATGTGCGCAGTCATGGGGATGCGCAAGCTGTGGCTGTCGACGTCTCGGTACTCAGCAGCGACGCAGCAGACCTTGCTGGCCCTCTCCTTCCGTCTGGGAGCGACCCTCTTTCCAGGGGCACAGCAGGTCATTCGGGAGGCTGCCGCTGCAGCTACCTCCTTCAAGGACTCTAAAGGCCTTGTTGGAGCACCAGCGGGTGTCTCGCCCGCGGCTCCTCGTTCCACCTTCCTCCGCCGGGGTGCAGCCTACACCCGAGTCTGCCGGGCTGGCTTCGCCGCTTGGTAGGGGTAGGCGGAGGAACAGGTCCGCCAAGGGTAGGGGCAAGGAGCAGTCCTCGACCAGCTGCCAGCCTTTTCGGCTGGGCGCTGGAGGTCTGCCCGACCTCCCGTTAACCCATCAGGCTCTCGCTCAAGCCGTGTCACGCCCAGTCAGCTCCGCTGCTTTCGACAACGACGCCGCAGCTCCCTACCCCATATCCCAGTGGGAGGTCGCCTCTCTATTCCTGCCGGAATGGGAGAAGGCTACCAACAATGCTTGGGTGCTGGCCACCGTCCAGCATCGGCCATTTACCACTGTGGAAGCCCGGTCGGCCCGACTTCACCGGCATACGCCCGCACTCCGGTGCCGTCATGTCAGGCAAGGGCGGACATATTGCGCGACGAATATTCAGGCTCTGCTGGACAAGTCCGCCAATCGGCGCATTCCACCGGAGAGGAACAGGCGGGATTTTACTCCGCGTGCTTCCTCGTCGAAGAAAGACGGCGGGTTCCGTCCCATTCTCAACCTCAAGGGTTGAACCCGCATGCTAGAAGTACCATCCTTCAAGATGGAGACACTGCGCTTCGGTGATCTCATCTGTTCAGCCCGGTGATTGGCTCACGTCAATCGACCTAAAGGATGCGTATCTGCATGTGCCCATACATCCATCATTCAAGCAGTACCTTCGGTTCTCTTCACGGCGGGGATGTGTTACCAATTCAGGGTGCTCCCCTTCGACATATCGACTGCCCCAAGGGTGTTCACCAAGCTCATGTTAGTCCCAGCTACCCTCGCTTCGTTCATAAAAGTAGGCGTTGTTACCCTTACCTCGGCGACTGGTTGCTTTCGGAGCACTAACACAGCCAGCGAGTCTAGATGCTACTCACACAGTGATAGACATTCTAACTCGACTGGGGTGGATCATCAACCTCAAGAAATCCGACCTGGTACCCACCCAGGACTTGGTTTTTCTTGGGCGATTCTAAACAAACAAGGATCTCGTTTCCTTGTCGCCCGACCCGGATCACCAGAGTTAGGAGATGGTATCTTCATTCCTCTCCCAGCCCCAGGCACCAACACGGACTTGGCTCCGTCTACTGGAGCCATATGGCGGCGACGATCTCTGTCGTGTTGGCGGCGCTTGAGGATCGCCCTATACAGCAAGCTTTGGCTCGGCTGTGGGCTCACTGGAGGATCTGGGCGCAGTCTCACAGTCCCAGTGGTTGACACCTCACCTTCAGTGGTGGACAAATGTCGGGAATCTCACCAGGGGATCCCTTGGAAATCCCGGCGCCAGCTCTCACAGTTCAGACCCGATCGTCCCTCACGGGCTGGGGGTGTTCTGGGCAGTCTGTCGGCGTCCGGACTCTGGTCGAAGCGAAGCCCGCCTTCACATCAGCGTGTTGGAACTGAGAGCTGTGCGGTTGGTTTTGGCCTTCAGAGAGAGCATGTCCGTGGCCAGGTAGTCCGTCTTCAGTTGGACAACCAGGCGGCCATGTCGTACATCCTGAAGCAGGGCGCACGGTGTCCCCAGCTCCTCGGAAGGCGTGGGACTTTCTCCTCTGGTGCGACCAGTGCGACTGTCATGTACTCCCTGTTTCTCTCCGGGGGAGAACGCGGCGAGCAGATGCGCTCTCGCCGGATCCTGGCCCCGCGCAGTGGATGCTCGACAGGCAGATTTTCAGAGTAATCTCCCCAGTTGTACGGGTCGTTCCAGGTGGATCTGTTTGCGTCCGGCGGGGCGCATCGACACCCCGTGTTCTGCTCTCGAATACCGGACCCAGAGGCGTTGGCTGCCGGCCTTCCTGCTGGATTGGACGGGCAAAGTGCTCTGGGCGTTCCGCCCGTTACCACTCATTCCGTGTCCTTTCACAGCTGTCCACCCAGCCAGCTCGGCTGCTTGTGCTACTGGCACCGCTTTAGCCGTCACAGAGCTGGTTTCCGGTAATTCTCAGGTTTCTGGCTCAGCCTCCTGTTCTATTACCTTTACGACCCGGACATTCTCACCCAGAGCGGAGCGCTCCACCCAAATCCACAGTTCAGTGGGTGGCTTGGCCTCTGTCAGGTCTAGCCTCGAGGCCGCTGGAATTCCTGCAGCAGTTGCAGACACAATTCTGGCTTCGAGGGATTAGACAAACGTTCAGTATGAGGATAGGTGGTCCCGCTATGCGGCGCTGGTGTTCAGATAGGGGATTGCAGATCCCTTTTCTGCGGATTTAGTCCGGAGTATTTTTGCAAGCTCGTTTGGAAGAAGGCCTGGCGGCTTCGACCATTAAAATGGCTACTCCACCGCTATTTCCACTTTTCACACCCCTGTCGATGGTGCTCTTCTGGGGCAGCACCCTCTCATACAGTGCTTTCTTGCTGGCGGAGCGGATTCGACCTGCTCTCAGGCGAACCAGTCCACCTTTGGGATTTGTCAATCGTGCTTTCGATTGGCTGTCGGGTCCAACTTTCTCACACCTATCGGCTATTTCCATTCAGTTGTTAACTTGGAAGGCTGTTTTTCTGGTGGCGATAACATCTGGGCGTAGGGTCGGCGATTTACATGCTATGTCGTCCGACCCGGCGCTGACTGTGTTTCACACTGATCGTGTCAGCATTCGCCTACTGGATACTTACCGCCCGAAGGTCGATCACGCTTTCCATGTGACAGCTCCTATCGAACTTCCTACTCTTACCCAGCCTTCCACATCGGGGACCACTCCTACGAGCACTCACCCGTTGGATGTCCGTAAGACGCTCAAAGTCTATATCAAACGAACGCAGGGAATCCGTACGGGTACCCAGCTGTTCTGTTGTTACGGTGGCGGGACTTTGTCTCGCTGGCTCGTTTCGTGTATTTGTGCCGCTTATCAGGCTAAGGGCAATCCTCCCACTGAGGGGTTGAAGGCTCACTCGGTCAGGGCAGTTGCCGCATCAAAAGCTTTTGCATCGGCACTCCCCATTGAAGAGATCTGCTCTGCCGCTATTTGGAGCCGGCCAAGCACGTTTATACGACACTACCAGCTCGATACACATTCCCGTAATCGTGCGAGCTTTGGCCGTTCCGTTCTCTCCAGTGGACAGTTTCCTGCCACCCTGACCGAGTGAGTCTTGGTTTATTGGTTTGTTATTGACGCTGCTGTACAATAATTGAGTATTATTGACATGTCTGCTACTGTAAGTTAACTACCCCCTTTCGATTCTCTCGGGAGTAATTAGTCGATTGTGAGCGGTATTGACATTCCCCCCTATGGTGCTCACTAATCGACACAAGGTGGGTGGGGCTTTGTTGACATTCGTACATGTGCGATTGCCTATGCTAAACATATGGAGGTCGTCTTTGAGCACAAATCCTCCCTGTCAGTTCCCCTCCCATCATGCCTCTCGTGGAAGCGCAACTGGGACAAGTGACAGGTGAGTGTTATGGCGTCTGTTCAATTTTTTTCCATGATATGATCGCTATATTTTGTGTGTGCTTGGACAGAATTCCCTCCTCCCTGGCCTCCGGTCTTTGGGAGTCTGTGTTTATGCATAATATGTACCCCAAGGACGATCTCTATGAAGAAGAATTAACCAAACCTGAAGAGGTTTTCAATTCTTCGAAGAGAGTCGTCCTTGGGGTAGGGCCTCCCGCCTCCCCGCAATTCTGTTCACTGATATATTCAGCAGAAGGAATGATGATACGGGTCTAGGAGCTTACCCAGTTGGTGCGCATGTGCAACGGGAGGTAACTCCGTGAGGTAGGGGCCGTATAGTAAATAAAAGAGTTTATTTATTGTACAATCTTTTTATTCAAAAAACATTGATACAGCTGTCACAGGACATTTTCAGCTTGGAAAATGCATAATATGTACCCCAAGGACGACTCTCTTCGAAGAATTGAAAACCTCTTCAGGTTTGGTTAAGTTTAATGAGGGAATGATGCTATGTTACTGTTCTTTTCAGGGTCGTAAGTGGCATGAAGGATCCGAGCAGTATGGCAAAGTGTGGCAGACGGGCGACGTCATTGGTTGTCTCCTGGACATGAGTGACAAGACAATCTGTAAGTGCTATGAGAAAATAAATTTTTCAAAAGATTTTTGACATGATGTTGTGATGAAACTGGTTTTGTTCATGCCGTGTCTACTTGCCTTGTTTCAGCATTCTCGCTGAACGGTGAGCTGATGATGGATGCTCTAGGACAGGAGATTGCCTTCAGAGAGGTGGACGTGGAGGAATGTAAGTCACATGTTCAGTGGAATACACGGAAACCTGATAGACTTAAGTCAAGTTCTCCATCTTAGAAATGAATATAGTTAATAGATGATAACAGTTTTTCCAGGACCATCTTTGCAAGTTTCAAAGATAATTTGACTTGGTGTAATGTTTAGAAGGATGTATGTATCAAATATGTTTCTTAACTTAAATGCCTTATTCAAGAATTATAGGATGGATGGGTAATGGTGTGTTTGGTCACTGTTCTGGCAGTGATGGGGGCACTGTTGTGACTTGTGAATATTTAATCATTTAAATGCCTGATAACATGTGCCTACCAATCAGTAAACTCCATTTAACCTCTCCCTGGGCTTCTATACGAGGAGAAAATGTCAAATTGTGTAATGTTCTTATGAGCTTAAGTATTGAAAGGTGATGGACAAAAAGTTCATCCAAGTGAATGGTGTATGAGACTTGTTATTCATGATTCATGGCCGCTGATTATCGGTCTGTTCTTCAGCCTATGTCCCTGCCTTGACACTAGCAGCTCATCAGCAGGCCAAGTTCAACTTCGGGCAGGTATTGAAAACAAGCAATCACTGACAATTGATTAAAAAATCGCCTTTTGCTTTCCATTACAGATTTGTTGTTAACTCGATAGTTTACACGTTAAGTCATTGCAATCAATTTAGATAACACCTACTTTCCTTATTTGTTGCTATTAGTCTGGTTACTATAGTAATAAGAAATACAAAATTCAGAATATTCATAAAGATAAAAAGTTAACAAAAATCATATTTCTCATGAAATTTCTGGTTTCTATGCCAACCTGTTTTCTGTAGGATGTGAACACACTCAAGTACTTCACCTGCTGTGGTCTCCAGGAAGGCTATGAGCCATTCTGTGTGTAAGTAGAGCTTCATATTATAATTTGGCATTAGTAACAGAGGCTCATTGAAGCCCTAGGTTAGAACGTATCATCGACACTCTAACGCTAGTTGTGAGGTGACTAGTTTGAATCCAGTGGTCGCAATGTGGATCATACCACTTTGATATTTTCAGCAGTCTAATGCTAGTTTAAAGGTGACTAGTAATACAGATCAAGTAGGAATTTCACCTCGCCTCCGGAAACTCAGGAAAACATACGAGTAATTTTGAGTGTCATGCAGGAATTATTTTTTGGTCTTTCACTGTTTTCTGTCTATAAAAAATTGATAAGAAAACCTGTGTGATTTGTTGGTATTTTATCAGACATGTACCCTACTTCATCTTGCTATTGTGTCTTCACCACTAGATCTGATCTGACATTTCCTGATGTTTTGAACTTGCAAGTCAAGGTGTCTAAATGACAAACAATGATGAAACTGTATTAATCCGCCTTGATGTGTTGCCAGGAACATGACCCGCCAGATGACGCTGTGGTACGGGAAGGAACAGGCGTTGTTCAAGCCGCTGGAAAACCCCAACCCCAGCCTTGAGGTCGTCAGGATCCCTGGAGGGTCAGTATGCCGGAAGTATAGGTCACTCGAATTAATCCCTGTGCAGATTAAGTACAACTTAGAGAGGAATACCATATTTCCTCAAATAAATGCTCAGAATTACTTTTCTTTCAGACACTCTTGGTATTTAACTGCAAAGATATTGATGTGGAGACATTCTGGAAGCAAAACTACCCAGCATTTAATGGGCCTACTATTTAAATAGCTCCTGGTTTTCATTTGTGGATGAGTTTTAATTAAGGAAATCAGAAGTCATTCTGATAGGAGCAACTGTGCAATTATTTTAAATGGAATGCATTATGATAATATTTTCTGCGACTGGAGATGTTTCTGTAATGTGCTTTATGTGCGTATAAGGTATAAACTCCCAGTATTATTTTTACTTGATGCAAGCACATCTATTGATCTGGAATAGAAACTATGAAAATTCCAGAGCAAAGGTTGCTAAAATGTTTGTCATCTGTCTCCATTTATACTGTGTATCTATCTTTCATATATTTTTAGTGATATATTGTTTCCGTTTCTTTGTGCAGGTCAAATGTGACTCCAAGCCTGAAGGTCATGTCAAAGACATTCGGGACACTGGAGAAGGTTCACCTGGACTACTTCCGTCTCAGTCTTCCGGTCAAGTGCAATGATGAGTTTGTCACCAGGTAAGATCATATGAGAGCCTGCCCTAAACCAACATTTCCTACTTAACCTGACTCACCGGTATTCATGTATGTAAGGGATTGCAATTTTCACTGTTCATGTATCGAAGAGATTGCAACTTAAACTATTCATGTATAAGAAGGATTGCCACTTACACTGTTCATGTATAAGAAGGATTGCCACTTACACTGTACATGTATTGCAGGGATCGCAACTTAAACTATTCATGTATAAGAAGGATTGCCACTTACACTGTTCATGTATAAGAAGGATTGCCACTTACACTGTTCATGTATTGCAGGGATCGCAACTTAAACTATTCATGTATAAGAAGGATTGCCACTTACACTGTTCATGTATAAGAAGGATTGCCACTTACACTGTTCATGTATTGCAGGGATCGCAACTTTGCTCAGTCTGTGCTGGAGAAGCGGTTGAACCTGGAGAACCTACGTCGCCGCGATGTGGACATCGAGGAGGAGGCTCCAACAGGTGGGACGTTGTCCAGCAGTCAGGAAAACTACAGTGATGCTAACATCAGTGATGCTTCTCTAGAGCGTGCTAATAAAACTACCACAGGTGAATGGCCCCACTAATAGCATGCTCGGGCAAAGGCACTGTTTTACTTTCAGGGAGAAAATTGTATTTTGCATGTTAGAAATTCTAATTATTTTATTTGAAGTTAATTTAATTTCTTTTGGGAATTTGGATATATTGAATCTTTGTTTTTCATTTAGAATTTTGTAACTTTTATTCATTTTGCTGGACAGTGTGTGGATTTCAGAATTGCTGCATTTAGTGAGTAAAGGACACAATTTTATTTATTTTATATTTTTGTATTTTTTCTATCATGATTATGCATATTGAGGGCATTTCTTAAACATTGCCTTTCATTACCATGTTGATATATCCTTGTGATCCAAATCCCCTCCCTTGCTGGCCTCATAGAAGCATAGGCATCAATACTGATGGGAATGTAAAGCATGTGATTGGTTAATGATATGGAGCATATGGTTTTGTAATATCAGAATGCAGTAAGTTATATTTATTACAAACAGCATTATAACAAACTGATGGATATAACGAACAGATTCAGGTCCCTGTCATGAGTATATTTCAGTAAAATGCATGTAATGCACTACTGTTATAATGAACTCAAGTTAGTGGACCCTTGAGTTCGTTACTTCCGTAGTTTACTGTATCTGAAGTTGATTTCATCTGCCTTCCATCTAAGCACAATAAGAAGAAGAACAAAAATATGTACAGTGGAAGCTCTCAAAACTTGCAGCCCTCCAATCCAGCATGCTCTCAATATCGGCACTAGAATTTGGTCCCGGCAGAAGCTAGTTAATTTATGATCATATACACGCCCTCTAATCTGGCGTCAGTCTTTCGGCACAACAAAGACCACCCAATTGACTTTTTGTACAGTAATTAATGCTTTCTAAACCGGCATCCGGTATCTCCGATTATACAGTGGATTACCATCGACTCATTGATGTTGGCTGATAAAAGGAGTATGGATAAGGATTAGGCCTAAGTAGGTGAGGTAAATTGGTGAGTGACACGTGTCACTTGTATACTTGCTTGATATGCTGAAAGACATCAGATACTTTGCTTTGACAAGCGAAGTAAGGTTATTACTCGCAACACATTGTTCAGTCATATTTTACGGCAAAGGGAAGATCATTCTCAGGTTGAAAACGGAAAAGTTCTCTAAACCAGCACACCCTCTATACTGGCAACGTCCCAACGAATGCCGGCCTAGAGGGCTTCCACTGTACTTGAATCTTTCATCTTGGTACATGCCGCATCCATGTACTCTATTACTGGTTCTTCCACTCTTCCAACCCCAAATTTGTGGACTAAATGACAATTTGTGAAGACAGCCATTCTTTGCTTTGGCCAAGTCAGTACGTCTTATTAAAACAGGAAATACTGATTGATGTGTAGCAGGCAAAGTATTGTACATGGTATAACAGAGATTATTACACTGCCAGATGTTGCATACTGATTTGACAACAAGACTGTGAGATTACTAGTATTTCCCGAGAGAGGGTAATAAATCAATTGTTACAGGGATTTCGTAAAGTCAGTATGACACACATGTGAGTGCAAAATTTACATATTTTCCATTACTTCCTAATCCTTTCAAGTCCCTATTTAGCAAAAATGAACTGATCATGATTGCCATTCTTGACAACCACAACTGTTGAATAACATCAACATTCTAACGCTATGATGTCAGTTCTAATGGGATATCATTCTGTCTCAATAAGATTTGAATGACCTCCGCAATGTGATACGGATGACGAACAATACATGGAGGTACATGATGTGATATTTGCACTTTATTACCCACGTGGTCAACGTATTGGTAGTTGCATACTAATCTCGTACGTCACACGAGTGTCGTATCGCGTTGACCTGTGTCGTAACGACTTGACCCGATATTCTAACGATTTGATTGGATAACCGATGACCTGTCAGTTATGTCACGTTGTGTCGGAACTATTTTTTCATTCATAACAAACACGTGAATTCATTCATTCTACAACTTATATGCATTGTGGGAATGTAAACATTGCAATCGTTGCCATATCGCTGTTTAATTGTGAGTCGAACTGAGATATTATATGCGTCGAAAAACATAAATGCAAAGTTTCCACCAGTGATGTTAGCCGAGTGAAGCAACTGCAAACCAAGAAACGGCGGGTGCTACGGGTAGTATAATGTAGGAGGCTGTGCGAGGCGATGACAAATGACATGCATCGTGGCGTCGGGTTACCAAGGGGGCAGACGAGGCAGAGCGAGTAGTGGCGTCATAACACTGTGACGTCATGCAAAAGTGTTCTACAGAACAACATTCTTCCATAACCTGTTTATGAAACCGGTTTCGGTTTGAAACCATAAAAATAACAAAAATATGCTATTTTGTCAATTTAAAGCATGTAGGACGTGGGTAATAAATAAAATACCACACTTTCGGTCTCATAACATATGAATTATCTGAAACGAGTGTCCTTCCTATGGTATCTGATCTGACTAAAGCTCGGTCAGATACCATAGGAAGGACACTAAGTTTCGTATAATTCGTATGTAATGAGACCACGTGTAGTATTCTCTAAAATGCACATTTAATGTTTTTTAAATCTTTGGGCAGTAAAATACAGTAAGTTTGTAATTGTGAACATTGCTTACAGTTTGTGAAGAATTTGCTGTAAGAGTTGTATAAAATGGTCATATATTTATTTTTGGTAATACCATTGATACTCTTCAGTGACATTGTTATTAATTTATAGTTTGGTTTGAAACTCAGACCTTCATTAAACAACGTAGTAAGTAATAGAAGGCCATAGTTGGCTACTATGTAATTTCAAGCTGTTTATTTTAATATATGCCTATTTCATGCATGGTGTGTTTTTAGCATACAGAAATGTTATTATTCATGTTGGAAACTTGTTGTGATGTTCTTGTCTGATTTGGCTGTCTATTATATCAAATATGAACTATCTTATTAAATTAAACTATCAATGTTTGGTGCTATAGGTTCTCAGACCTGATATGGGGGTGGTGGGGTAGCCTAGTGGTTAAAGTGTTGGCTCGTCATGCCGAAAACCTAGGTTTGATTCCCAACATGGGTCATTCTGGTGTCCCCTGATGTGATATTGCTGGAAAATTGCTAAATGCTGCATAAAACTAAACTCACTCACATTCACTCAGACCTGATAAATAGGCAATTTTATAAGTGAATTTGTAATAACATTGAAGATTTCCAGCTCAGACAAGCGATGACTGTGATGTATATTAATGAATGTGTGTTGAGAGCTGAGTGTGTTTAACCCCTTATAGACCAGAGTAGTGAGAGTGGGTCGGGCGAGCATGATGACCGTCCCCACCATAACCATGTCCCCGACAGCATACTGGAGGACACCATACCAGAGGCTAGTAAGTCCACTATGTCATCACAGATTCTTGTTGGTTACCATGGGGAATAATTAGGGACCGTGTCAAAAGTTATTAAGTGGAATATTTGGATTTGGATATGAACATTGAGAATCATAGGAACACCACATTTATGTGAACAATTTTATTTTATTTATATGAAATTAAATATTTAATAATGGACTCTTATTGTTTGACTTATCCAGGAGTGTTTGAGTGGAATATTTGGATTTGGGAATCATTGGAAGATGACATTTATGTATACGATTTTAATTAAGTTGATTTAGAATTAACAGTTTTAAAAATGGACTCTTAAGAGTTGGACTGTGTCAAAAGATTTTGAGTGGAATATTTGATAGATTTGAATAAAGTTTATTCAAAGTGAAATATTTAATAATGGACTCTAAAGGGTAAGTTCATTTAAATGGAATATGTTTTAGACTTTGGTCAGGTATATGATGTGAATAATATATACTCATGCCAATAATGGTTGTCACCACCTTCAATTTTTTTAATTGGAGAGGGGGTGTGGGGTTGTGGTGGGGAGGGGGGTGACAACCATTATTGGCATGAGTATATATTAACAATAAGATGGTGAGTCTCAGAAGCTTTTTGGTCAAATCTTATGGTATGGTATATTTACATTTGTTGCAGTTCCTATTTTGATGTTTATGTATTAGAAGCAGGATCAATATGCATGCACTAGTGTTACACCTTTTAGAGCTCTTTTTTCCTATTTTGGTGCTGGTTAATTGATGCTGGTATAGTGTTATAGCATCCGAGTTTATGAAAAAGTATTGGCAGTTGGATAGTGGAACATTTCTGTCAGTTGTATCTGTCATTATCGGTTTACTTACCAAAAGAACATATTCATTTCAAGATAATGGTTAGTGTAGAACAAGAAAATGCACTAGTTATTGCAAAATGGATATTTTGTCAACAGGGATTAAAATTAAGATGTTATGACCAGTTTAGAGAGGAGCAGTAAGATTAATTCTGGGAAGCTGAAATTGTGGCTTTTGCATGAAGGCATCATGTGAGATTGAAGGCATAATATTCTGCATTGAGCTGAGACTGTAAGATCTTGAATTGAAGCATAGTAAGCTGCATTGAGCTGGGATGGTGTCTAATGCAGCATGTTTAGAATACTTCATCAGACAGAGTTTGAATAGCATGTTTCATGTATATATGATACTAAGTTTGAGCATCATGTTTTATTCTACTATAAGTATAATTATTTGCAAGTAAAATACAGAACATGTAAACCAAAAAGCATCTCAAAATGAGACTAATTTAAGAGAATGTCATGTAAAATTATTTATGTATTGTTTTAACAAATGTTTTATTTTTTTTTGTTTTCATGAAACCAAAGTCTTCTGTCATAAATGGCGGTCATTACATGATGACATATACAAATACATGAACATAATCAGATATAACCAAATAAGCATCTCAAGAAGAGACTAATTTAAGAGAATGTCATGTAAAGTTATCAGAGTACTAGAACAATATTAATTTGGAAAGAAAGTATTTCCCTGAGCTGTATCATATTTTGGATATAATTGTTTTCCCAAAAAAAAATTCAAACTATTTTGTTGTTCCTGGTGGTTGTTGATGTTGTTGCTGATGGTGTTGTTGTGATGAACAGATGAGGAAGACTATACACCAGAGGAAGGCCCTGATATGCTCAATGGTGGACCTGATCTCACTCTCCGGAAAAGTAAGTACGAGGCATCATCATGTCATGGAGCATGTACTCATGGTCTCACTTTTAAAAGGAGGCACAAGAGGCCAGTATGATGCTTCCAACAGTTTTATCCCTAAACTTTACTGGATACATATGATAGTGGGTTTGAATCCCATGTTTGCCATGATTATATTTATTTGTTTGTCAGGACAATACCCATGCTCATTGTTTCATCAATGTACTAAACGTCTAGGACCTGTGTGACTTTGAGCTCTCCTCCCAAATTAAGAAACTTCACAGACATGCTGTAAGTGCAATTTAGATTTTGTACCAAAGGTTTCAAGACAAACTCACTCAGAAGTATCTTCTTGTTATCCCCCGCCGTGCGTTTAGCGCAAAGCGGGGGATATAGTATGAGGCTCCGTCCGTCCGTACAAATTGGAATATCTTAAGAACCGTTGACTAGATTCTTTTCATATTTGGTACCTAGGTTCATCACAGTATAAGAAAGGTCCAAGTCAGGTTTGGTGACCTTGACCTTCATTTCAAGGTCACAAGGTCAAAGTCAGTCTTGAAAATATGTGTGTGTTTGAACACCTAAAGAGCCAGATATCAAGAGAGGTTGACAGGTCATGTTTTGTTGACATTTAACTTAAACTCTCATTACTTTATAAGTTTGATTTGATAATTTGCGGCGGGGGATTATGTCAACTAAGTGACAATGCTTGTTCTCTTTTCAGCTCTTCTCCCTAATTCAGTTGACAGATATGCTGTTAATGCAATTTAGATTTTGTTCCCGAAGGTTTTAATACAAAGTCACCCAAAAGTATTTTCTTGTTTTCTTTGCAGCGCTCCACAGGGGTCTCACTGATGATAGTTCTGTTGATGATAGAAGGAAAACCTTCAGACAGACGGCCAAATCTGGCAAAGGACGTTCTCTAGATGACACTGCCATCACCGACAGGACAGGAGGAGGTTTGAAAGCAGCTGCTAGTGAATCTCAACTGAATGAGTCATCTGATTCTTTCTTGACTCCACCCAAAGAAAAGAAATCTGGATCCAAACTATCCCTCCTCGCAGACAAGATGCTTGACTCTGCCAAACACATTGGCGATAACAAGAACACCAAACGCGGCAAGTCGCCATTCACATCTATCTTCAGGAGATCCAAGTCCCGGGGATCCGTCTCCCAACAACATGGGAAGAACGCGTTCAACCGAGTACTCCAGCTTGGACAGGAAACATGACATGTCCAAGAGGCTCGGCAAGGACATGCAGAAAGCTACACCAAAGAAATCAGCAACGCTTCCACCAGTCAGGATCACGTCTGGTTCCGACATTACAGACTCGCAGGACCTGGACTTAGAAGGAGAATTCATCCCATTTGAGTTTCAGGACCAGATGAAGCGGAGACCAATGTTGCCTGAGTTTCCTGAAGGGTCGGAGAGTGGATTTGAAGAAATGGCAGAGTTGAATGCCCTGGCTGAACAGATAGATGAGTATTACTATGCTGTGAGGATCTTCCCAGGTCAGGACCCATCACAGGTGTATGTCGGCTGGGTCACAACCAACTTCCACTTCAATGAAACGTCCTTCGATTCCAAGAAGATCAGGCATATTGTTTTATCCACTATGGACATGGACTACAAAATCAAATCCAGGTATGTAATGGATCGATGGATGGATGGATGAACATATTAATGAACAGTTTTCCTCTCTTCTCTTGCATTTGTTGGTTCTACATTTATTATTAGATGTTCAAAATGTAAGGTTCAACCCAGTCAAATGTTCCTTCCACCTCTTAAACATTTGTTCCGTAATTTGTAAACACTTGAAAAAAGTATGTAGGACATTATAAAACCCCATAAAAATCAAGATTTCACTCAATTAAAGCTTTTTCATTATAGAACACTTTCCAGCAAATGTCAAAAACTTAAAATAGTTCACTTGTGTCTATTATCTTATAGCACAATGTTTCCAATATGTTTGACCTTCTTGTGAATCTGTTCCTCAGGAACAGCAGGAAGAACTTGATATGGCTGGAATATTGGTAACTGTGACATATACACCTGTTTGACCTCCATGTGAATCTGTCCCCCAGTGTCAGCAGGAAGAACTGCTACATGGTGTCAGCAGGAGACCTCCAGCAGAGATACGCAGACTCCAACCAGGAGATGTCAGGCAAGAGGTCATCACCTGGCCTCGTCATCGGCTGTTTCATCGACTGCTCCACCGGCATGCTCAGCTTCACCGTCAATGGTAAAGAGGTCGCCAACAAGTTCCAGGTGAGTTCAGGACACTACTAGTGGATGTGGAGGAGATCAGAAAGATTAAAACCTCCCAACCACTTTGGCTCCTACACCCAATATATATATGTTGTACAGTCCCACTCTATCAACCCCTACACTTCTAATGTCAGAAGCGGTGGGGTAACCTTGTGGTTAAAGTGTTCACTTGTCACTCTGAAGACCCAAGTTTGATTCCCCATATAGGTACAATATGTGAAGTGTATTTCTGGTGTCCCCTGCTAGAATATTCTAAAAGTGACTTAATACCAAACTCAATCTAACACAATGTCAGGATAATCCTAAATCACAAAGTGAAATTGAAAGAAGAATACATACATTTACTTCCGATATGTACATATATTATTTACATTCTATCAAACACTATTTTTAAAAAAGTGTTATCAGAGCGTGTATAAGTGGTAGTTATAACATTATTTCAAGACGTCACTGCTTGCGATGTCTAGTGTGTACGTTGATGTCCCCAGGTGGAGCCAGGCACCAAGTTGTTCCCAGCTGTGATATGTGAGCCCACAATTAAAGAAGTGTTCCAGTTTGAAATGGGCAGCCATAAGGTGAGTGCAAAGACACATTCAGTCAAAGTAATCATATTCTTATCAAGCTTCACCCTGTTTGCACATACACTGCAGTATGTGGACAGGGGGGCTTTGATAATTTTTGTACCATACACGTAATCTAAAAAAATAATAACCAATATGTTTTTCACTTTTTTTAAATGTTGAAGGTCTTTTCATAAGTTCAGATAAAAGAACTATTTTAAGAACTGTTCAAGGAGAACAATTGATGTGTACCTTTTCGATGTGTTGGTTGATGAAGGTGAACATGGATTCCTTCCGTGAGTCTTACTGTAAAGCATTGTTTGTGTTGCAGACGTCACTGCCACTGTCGGCTGCAGTGTTCCGTGGCCCCAAGTCTGTGATACCTGGCCCACAAGTCTGTGATACCGATGAGTCCACCCCGCCTGGATGTCCAAGTCCTTGCTCCATGTCACTGGTCACGTGTGCCCAACATCGCTGTCAATGTCCACACGATGAAGCTGTCCGACATCAGAGGACATAGCATGCTGTGTGAGAAACCAGGTACGTTAACGTTAGGGAGATGTGTTACAGCTGGTGGACAGTAATTTGTTAGCTCACATCTTAATGCCCAAGTTAGAAGTTGGATAGAAAAGAGAAGTGATATCAGCCTCAGACTTAATTTCTTCTGAATTACCAAATCTGTAAGAGTTCAAAATGTTGTTTCTTCACAAACTGATACTGGTAAAAGGACAAGGGACAGAACTCTAGATGTAGATTTCGTTTCCCTGGTTATAATGTCACCCTGGTTATAGCATCATAAGCCTTCCTGTATATTATTTGTAGAACTTCAGCAATCAGATTGTTTTGGCATTATATTAATGGGAAATTCTAGAAACACTCAGTAATAGCAAAATACTTAATATACCAAATACGCTAATATGATACCCTGTTATTTTGTCATTGCTGAAATGATTTTGATAATACCATATTTGACATGTTTCAGTTGCAATGTTGGCCATCCATGTACCAGAAGAGAATCGATGTCTGGACATTCTGGAGCTCATAGAATATGAACATCTGTTGGAGTAAGTAACGGTCTTATTGGGATGGATGCTCATGTGGCTTAGTCATCTAAAAAGCTGTCCTTTTGATGTTAAAATTTAATTCCTTAGATATTACAGAAATCTATGATCTTGGGTTTCAGTTTTGTATTCACCCTTGATATGTCCTAGGATTGTCAGCTCGAAATATGTGCTTGTACTGTTCAAAGCAACTTTGATCAGATGCACTAAATTCGTAACTCTTTCTTGTGTATTTAGTGGGTTAATGATTGTTAGCACATAGCATACATTATTCAAATTGGTAGACTTATTAAGGGAAGTAATTGATTGATATTTTTACATGTGCATTTGAGTGCATCCCCTTGCTTAATGAACAGTTTGTAACTGCTTGTTCTCTCACTGGGATGTATTTAAATGTAATTTCTGGGATATAGTTAAATGTAATGTATGGTTGTAGCTGTTGTCTACATAGTATGTTTTCTGTTCCAGTTTCCATGCTCGGACTCTAGATCTGTACATGGCTGTCTGTGCCCATGGCAACCACCGAGTAGCCAACGTTCTGACAAAACATGTAGATGAGAAACAACTTATGTACTGTATCCAGAGTGAATGTGAGTGTTAGATGAGAAACAACTTATGTACTGTATCCAGAGTGAATGTGAGTGTTAGATGAGAAACAACTTATGTACTGTATCCAGAGTGAATGTGAGTGTTAGATGAGAAACAACTTATGTACTGTATCCAGAGTGAATGTGAGTGTTAGATGAGAAACAACTTATGTACTGTATCCAGAGTGAATGTGAGTGTTAGATGAGAAACAACTTATGTACTGTATCCAGAGTGAATGTGAGTGTTGATATACTGAAGTTCAAGCTTGAGACAGTTTCTAATAGTATCGTCTGATTATACGGTTTGGGGCAGCCATGTTTGTTGTGATTAATCGCACTGTAAATAAAGGTGTGGAGTTGCAAGCATGTTTATATTTGTATGATGACTGTTTTTAAGATAAAATTGTCTTTTACGAGTAATTGAGATGTTCATTAATTGTTCTTAAGATAAGTGTTATAGATTTTTTAATGCTTGAACAGTAGTTTTCTCCTACTGTTTAAGCATCCGGAAACATATAATGCAAGGACATTTAGTTTTTGGCCAAACATTTAGTCAACTTAATGGCTTGCTTGAGGAAATAGGAAGCGGAATCAAATTCATTTCATCCGTCTCTGTTATGTAACCCCTTCATCTTGAAGATTGTTTTTGAGAAGAATGTATTTAATTGAAACTGATGTATTGTGGATTGTTCTTCAGACATGTCTGGTCCCCTGAGACACGCTTTCCACAACCTCCTTGTAACTATGCATCTTTCATCACATACAGCTGCCAGGTAAATAGTATTTTGATAAAATTACCCGTGAAAATCCGGGTTAGAATTGGTCTTTAGTACCCATGCTTGTCGTAAGAGGCAACTAATGGGATCGGTTGGTCAGGCTTGCTGACTTGGCTGACACATGTCATCGTATCCCAATTACATAGATCGATGCTCTCGCTGTTGATCACTGGATTGTCTGGTTCAGACTCAATTATTTACAGACCGCCATCATATGGCTGAAATATTGCTGAGTGCTGTGTAAAACTAAACTCACTCCCTCACCAACATCCTGGCTACAATCATAGCTATTAATTCAAGCATCGATTGAATCTACCACTTCAAGCATTTTCCCCAGCAAACCATAAATCTTTCATCACAAACAGCTGCAAGGTAAATAGTATTTTTATGTGTTCAGATATTCTATGACGAAATACAGTCAAACAATGTTGTGTCAATGTTAAAGGGACCTATGTTGATACTTTGAGTTATCCAGCGTATGACCAAAAATGATGGGGAAAAAAAAGGAATAAACAAGTTTTTACTTTGAGACAACTTATGTTTGACATATCATAGATCGAAACAACAGTGTTTGTTAATATGCAGTCTGAAAATACAAGCTTTGTGTCTCACTTGTGTGTAATAACTTGTCACTGGTAGGAAATAGAATATAAATATTTTCAGATTGCTTCAATGACACTTTGATCTGATGAAGTTCATGAAGATCTTTAGAACATTCATACTAAATTTAACATTTTCCGTTTTATGTGAAATGATAATGATCTCATGCCTCCATATACCCTTCTTTTGTGGCAGCTGTGCAGACATTAAAATATCGAGTTTGTGCTTGTCAGTGTCTATTAGACAGGTCAATTTGAAGTAGCATGTAGATTTTTGCCAAGAATACATAATGCCTGTGATTGTTGTTTTTTTAAATACTAGCTATGCACAGATTTGTTTGTTGATAGTTGTTGCCCATCATGTACAAAGCTGTACATGGTACAGTAACTTGTGGAGATTGACAATATTATCTCTTGGTTCAGGATTCTCACCCAGAATGAGTACATCATACCTCTCACACCGAACACCAAATCACTGAGTCTTTATCGCAAGCTGAGTCCGCTAGCAGATAGCTACAAGATCAAGCACCAGATCCCCAGCATGGAACAGAGTGTCTCCATCAGACCGATTCTGGCACTGTCGGACAGAGACATAGATGCCAGGTATGTATGGTCTTGGATTGTTTGTTTGGTTGGTTGGTTGGTTTCTGTTTGGCACAGCAATATTCCTGCTCTGAGACAGTGGTTTTTAATGATTGGGTCGTTACCACACATGGACAGTGAACAATGATCTGCAAATTCATCCAAGCAATTCAACAGTGAAAAATTGACATGTCAAAGAAAACCGTCAAAAATCGTTTTGATGGAAAGGATGTCATATCCTCGTTTTTGATTGGACAGTAAGTACTACTCAAGGGCAGGTATTTGAAATTGTGGGCACCACAGATTCAGGGGTTAGTCGGGGTTTCCTGAAATGTGAGCCCTGGAAATATCAGTGAGTGAGTGAGTATGGTTTTACGCCGCTTTTAGCAATATTCCAGCAATATCATGGCGGGGGACACCAGAAATGGGCTTCACACATTGTGCCCATGTGGGGATTCGAACCTGGGTTTTCGGCGTGACGAGCGAACGCTTTAACCACCAGGCTACATCACGCACCCCCCCTGGAGATATCAAGGATTGTTGGTAGGGGAACTTTCTTGATAGTGACATTTAAGTGAAAGGCCATAATATTGCTGTACGCCAATTGTAGTTTATGTTTTTCATTACCCACAGTACGAACCATGGTATTATATGGTTTTGTTTTACATGTGATGTATCTGAGTTTTGCATAATCAGTATGCAAACACCAACGCCCTTTACGACATCAGTATTGGAATATTCATTATGTGTCTCTCATACTTTAAGGGTACAGCGCGATGGCAAGGACTGCACCTCACCTGTGTTTCCACTGGCGAAACTGAAGTCCTTCATGATGCAAACTCTCAACATTGCTGCTGAGAAGGGAGCTTCCCATATCAGAGATCCCATTGGCTGGTCCAATGCCAACCTCTTTGTGTATGTATTTTACATATGAAGTAGATTTCGACAATTCCAGTCATCATTTCATTATAATTTCATGTGTAGTTGCAGAAATAGAGTTCACTGTATATTGAATTTTTAAGTCTGCATTGTTTTGAACCTATTTTCATAGGGATTTTCTAGCTCTGTTCATCCACTAATTGAGTACTCTGAAGAAGGATACAGTCATACTAGTGCAAACCTAGCACCAACCATGGGTTGAATACTCCTCAGTGTACTGAATAGATGATGTAACATTGACCATAGCAATAACACATTATGGTCTTTGATTTTACCTCGTGACACTGTGTATTTGGGATCATGAATTGTGTCTTGTTTCTAGCCCCATCCTGAAGGTGATCGACAACATGCTGGTGATGGGTTTGATGGATGACGAAGACCTCAGCCAACTCCTAATCCTCCTGGAGCCCAATGTCTTCGGGGACAGGTTTGTAAGACGTGAGTATCTACTGCTTCTGCCTTTTCATGTGTTGTAGATGGTAGTCTTCAAGCTGTAACCTTCTGTTTGTCAGTCAGTCTGTTGGGTCATGGACATGCTGCTGTTGTGGATCCCACAACACAGGGTGCTGTTTTGGTTGAAAAGACATTATGCATTGGATTCTGCAAACATTAGTACCGGTTCTTAAAGTCTGCCTCTGTGGTGCAGTGAATAGTGCAACTGCCTGGAGGTCCGAGCTTTGATCTCCCAGATCTGTCACTCCAAAAGATGTTAACAGATGTTACCCGGCCTGTTGATCAGCTTTAAGGATATTAGACAAGGGGGGCACTTCAGGGCCCCGTTCCTCAAAGAGATTGTAGCGCTACGACAGTCATAAGTCTATGTTAAAGTATGGGAGTTACGACTGTCGTAGCCCTACGATCGCTTTGAGGAACGGGGCTCTGAACCACATGCAGACCAGCACATGAACCTACACAATCACATGAATCCATTTATATAATAGTGCATTTATATTAAACATGAGATGAAATCCAAATACACTTCACGTGAGCAGGCCAGTGAAGGAAAACGTCAAAGTTCATACAATTGTAGTCACTGGTGGTAACGAGGATGCAGCAACTTTAGTACATCTTGTCGTCATACCTTGACAGCATTCACATCATGAATGGGCACTGAATGTTTTAGATGTCTCTTGATGACTCTGATTGTCCAGTCATGATGTAGATGGGTTTGTCTCATATTCCAGAAAATGCTGTGGGACTGGGACTGCTGAACATGAAGTTGGCTGAAACAGTCAAACTGGAGGTAAGGAAAGTTCCTGCTTGACAATGCCATAAAAATATTTAATTACCATTGTATATATATCTCCAGCGCTATCTTTGAACTAAGCTGAAACTAACATGTGGATCTATTCCCAGGGCTGAATTTTATTAAGACATGTGTTATCTATCAAACATAAGGAAATGGGTAATGGACTTGCAGTTGTCAGACTTAATGAACATGAAGACATCCTTTCCATCAGATAGATTTTAGGGCTTTCTTTTGCTTGTCAGTCAGCTTTTCAACGTCCAGTTTCTCGCAAACTCTTATCATCATCAATGGAGCGGGTCACCTTGTTGTGAAAAGTGCTAGAATTGGGATGGTTGAGGTAAATTTGTGTCATGTTTAGCTCTGAAGGTGGTGCTGCTCCTGTCTTCACTGATACTGAGTTTGCTTCTGCCCTGCAGGTGTGCCGCATCCTCAAACATCTGTGTGACATCCAGCTGCGACACAGGGTCGAGTCCATCATCGCCTTCTCCGATGGTTTTGTACACAGCGTCCAGAGTGTAAGTTGATGATTGGATATTGACAGGTTTATTATCCCCCCGGCATGTAATGCGGGAGGATATAATCATCGCCTCATCCGTCCGTCTGTCTGTCCGTTATCATTTTGCTTCCTGAGCATAACTCAAAAACCGTTCAAAAGTTTTCAACAAAAATTGGTAGAAATATAAAACATATCCTAAAGAAGTGCCTTTTGCTATTTACAGATTTTTGTCATTTTTAATTTTCTCGGTTTCCATGGAAACGTTTTGGACTTAGTCTTAAAGGGAGGGGTGGGCTCGTTTCCGGAGCATAACACAAAAACCCTTCAATATTTCTCTGCAATACTTAGTAGATATATACAGAACCTAAAGTGGTGCCTTTTGCTCTTTACAGACTTTTGTGATTTATTATTTTCTCGGTTTCCATAGAAACGATTCAGAATTAGTCCAAAAAAAAGAGGGGTGGACTTCGTTTCCAGAGCACAACTCGAAAACTTCTTAATATCTTTCAGCAAAACTTGGCAGATATGTGAGGCAGATCCCAAAGTTGTGCCTTTTGCTATTTGCAGATTTTTGGCATTTATATTTTTCTCGGTTTCCATGGAAACGATTTGGACTTAGTCTCAAAAGGGAGAGGTGGGCTTCGTTTCCGGCGCACAACTCGAAAACCTTTCAATATTTTTCAGCAGAACTTGGCAGATATATGAGACAGATCTTGAAGTGGTGCCTTTTGCTATTTGCAGATTTTTGGCATTTTATTTTTCATGATTTCCATGGAAACGAATTGGACTTAGTACCTTTTAACAGTTTGGGATTTTTAAAATAGTGCATATTTTAGTTTCCGAAACAACAAATTACTCTAAAAATTGGTGTAGTTATGCAATCTGTACATATAACATATTTGCGACTTTTGATTGTGTAGGACCAGAAGCGTCGTTACATTGAGATCAAACAGGCTGACCTACCTTCATCAGTGACTGCCAAGAGAACAAGGGAGTTCCGGTGTCCACCACAGGAACAGGTACTGCCAAGCTGTCTCTTCTATGCTGTAGGAAGTATATAATGTGGTATCTGTATCTTGCATGTTGAGTAAAGTGAACAGTAACTGGTCAAGATTATCACAAAGTTTTGCTTTGCCTGGTTACAAAAATGATTAAATGTGAATGAATTTTTTGAGGTTCAGGATTGTTACATTGTAACAGATGTCTTGACATACTTTGCCATTAATATGTTTTGCAAAATTGTTCATAAAAACTGACGATACAGCCATTTTGGATGAAGAAATATCCTTCTTTGAGAATGTGCTATGGTCCTAAATTTGCTATTGTGTGTTTTGATCCATAATAATATCTGTGTGTTCTGGGTTTTCAGTCGCTTTAGAACATTTTCCTGATTATCACATGAGCAATTGTAAAACATGCCACCAACTAAAGACAACGTTATCTTAAACACATGCCATAATCCAAGTATTTACAATGTTCTGTCTGACGCTTCTTGCCTTATTATAGCAACAGTAAACACTGTCATCCGAAAAGATATACTTCGACCATACATTTGTTGGTATGATTTATGGATAAAGTAATTTAAGTGACCCCATATTTATGATGATTTCATGTTCTTTCTGTTAATGGCTGGACTCTTCTGTTCAGATGCGGGCACTACTGACCTTCAAGGTGGTGGAGGAGGAAGAGGCTGACCAGCAGTGTCCGTGCCGCGAAGACATTCGCGAGTCTCTCCGCATTTTCCATGGAGAACTTCTGCAACACTGTGACATGCCCATATTCGAGGTCCCGGAAGAAAAGCCAATGGAGGAGGAGGATGTGCCAAAGAACCTTAGCCTCAAGGACAAGCTGATGCTCATGGTGGGACTCAGCAAGGGTCAGCAGGAGAATATTGAGAAGGCCATCGATGATGGGCTTAAGCCAGGTGGGTATAGTGACTCTATAATTTGTGGTAGTCACCATAGAAAAGGCCATCGATGATTGGCTTAAGCCAGGTGGGTAAAGTGACTCTATAATTTGTGGTAGTCACCATAGAAAAGGCCATCGATGATGGGCTTAAGCCAGGTGGGTATAGTGACTCTATAATTTGTGGTAGTCACCATAGAAAAGGCCATCGATGATTGGCTTAAGCCAGGTGGGTATAGTGACTCTATAATTTGTGGTAGTCACCATAGAAAAGGCCATCGATGATGGGCTTAAGCCAGGTGGGTATAGTGACTCTATAATTTGTGGTAGTCACCATAGAAAAGGCCATCGATGATGGGCTTAAGCCAGGTGGGTATAGTGACTCTATAATTTGTGGTAGTCACCATAGAAAAGGCCATCGATGATGGGCTTAAGCCAGGTGGGCGTAGTGACCCTATAATATATAGTTGCAGACATAACGATATACATTGGTGATTGTGTGATCAAGCCACGTGAGAATCAAGAACATGGTGAATAATTCTATGGATATACAAGCTTTTTGTTACAATATATGCAAATGCTTGATAACGGTGTTAGCATCTACACCTAGACGCTGCATATATTGTAACAAAGAAGTTGTATATCCATAGAGCTATTGCCCTTATTCATCACACCAACTTCTAAATGCCACTTAGAGAAGGGGATCAAAACCTAGATTAATTGGTGGCTTCTTTGAGAAGACCATTGATGATAAGGGTAATGGTATTGCCTGAGACTGAGTTTGGTTTTACGCCGCTTTTAGCAATATTCCAGCAACATTACGGCGGGGGACACCAGAAATGGACTTCACACATTGTACCCATGTGGGGATTCGAACCCAGGTCTTCGGCGTGACGAGCCAACGCTTTAACCACTAGGCTACCCCACCGCCCCGGTAATGGTATTGAGATGTGTAGTGTTTCTGAAAATAGGTAATGACTTACAAATGGTTGATTTCAGATTCCATGCAGAAACTCATAACACAAACAATGGTGAAATGGTCAGAAGAGAGCTTCATCTCCAACCAGGACCTAGTGAGGGAGATGTTCAGCTTGCTCCACAGGCAGTACGATGGTATTGGGGAGGTAGGTTCTTTGTGCTGTTCTGGAAACGTAGTGCAGCATCTCTGTTCAAAACAAGTTGACTATATCTTTGAACTCATGAATGATACAAATATCCTTAAAATGATATTTTGACTGCTAAGAGGGTAACAGCCTCAGAAACTAAATTGAAAAGATTAAATGTCTTAACGATACTTTGTCCTCATTGTCTAAATAACTGAATGTTACTTTCCCCAGCTGATGACCGCTCTGGACAAGTCCTATGTCATCAGCTGCAAGAGTCATGAGGATATCAACCTGCTGCTGAAGAACCTGGGCATCATCAGATCCCTGCTGTTGGTACAGGCTGGCCCGGATGAGGAGGAGCTCATGAAGACCAGTCTCAAGTAAGTAGTATGATCTCTTTGGCAAGCCTCAAGCAAATAGCAGGCTGTTGGTGGCAAGTCTTAAATAAGTAGCAGGATCTTCGTGACTAGTCCCAGAGAGGTACCAAGCCACATGTGTTTAGTCTCAGTAACAAGATCTTGGTGGCTAGTACTTAGCAGGCTATTTGTGGGTAATAGGTAGCTGAATGTCTGCAGAGTAGTCTCTAGTCTTTAGTCACAGATTTGACCACAAGGATTTCTCTGTCACGCTATGGGGCAGTGGGGTAGCCTAATGGTTAAAGCGTTGGCTCGTCACGCCGAAGACCCGGGTTCGAATCCCCACATGGGTACAATGTGTGAAACCCATTTCTGGTGTCCCCGCCGTGATGTTGCTGGAATATTGCTAAAAGCGGCGTAAAACCAAACTCAGTCAGTCAGTCAGTCTGTCACGCTATGGCCCAAACTGTAGTTAATTTATGATCTTTTATGTGTTTGTCAAGTATTTACCATTTGGTTCCCTTTCTTTGTGTAGGAAGATATGTGTAATACAAATAATCTGAAATAGGAAACTTCTGAACTGATTGTTGAGGATGGTGGAGTAGCCTTGTAGTTAAAGCACTCATTGGTCAGCCAAATATCCACATTCAATTCCCCACATGGGTACAATGCGTGAAGCCCATTTCTGGTATCACTTTGCTTCGATATTCCTGGAATATTGCTAAAAGCGGTGTAAAACTATACTAAGTGACTCACTCAATCACCCATTCGTTGACGTTTGTCTGCAGTCGTGCCATGGACAACAAGGTGTTCTTCCAGCACCCTGACCTGATGCGAGCCCTGTGTGTCCACGAGACCGTTATGCAGTTGATGGTCAACACCCTGAACAAGGCCCAGCAGCAGCAACAGTCCGCCACTAGTGGAGCACCTGACACTACAGGCCGCCAACCTGCAACCACGTCGGAGACCATGGACAGCATCGCAGAACAGAACAAGGTAAGCTTTACCAACTCTACATTTTCCATTTTCCTACATATCGATGTGATCAATGCTCTTGGTAGATGTACACTGTTCAAGCTTGAAATAAGACAGGATCAAAAAGAGGGAATGACCATTAAAAGAATATTGAGGAAATTGTACTTTTTATGGTTTATGCAATAACTCTTATGTGATGATTCATAAGTTTAAAAAATTCTTTATTTTTCAATGATATATAAATTTAAGAATTTGAAATTTTAAAATGTTATTTGGTTTTAATTATTTTTTTTCAAAGAATATGGTAGAATAAGCTTTACTGTACATCTACAACTTGTGAACATTATAATAACGACTCATTCTCATTTAATTTTCATTGTTCATTTCTCACCTCAATATTTGCATCGTCAACTTCCTAAAGGATCACCAGTTTCAAATTTCTCCAACCTGATTATGCCACAGAAAGCTTGACCTTTACACAGAAAGCACATTCAGTGATTAACTCACCTTTGCTTCTGTTAATGTGATCCTTTGGTTCCAATTTCATCTTAATGCCATTCATGCGCCAAGAGACAACTATTGGTACTGATATGAGTTGGGACTGATTGGTAGCATGGTAATACCAATTCCTGATTGAAGGCTTCTTGGAGAATTGTCAGCTCTACAAAACAGAGTAACTACTATCGAATATGAATAGAATAATTCTCAGTCACATTTCTACTTTCTTGAAGGAAATGGAAGGTTAATATTTTGAGATGTTTGGTCAGGGGTGTATTTGTTCATTTGGCACTACAACATGAATACACAGAACCAAATTGTTGGGGGATCAAAAATAATTTCATGGATATAGATGTTTTCAATTTCACGGATATGGATATGGAATTGTATGCTTAAATCTGTAATACCGAAAATATTCTCCAAAATATTTTGATCTTGAACTTAATTTCTTCAAGAGAAATTTAGAATATGGTATGATGAAGAGAAACAAAGTATATAACATAACATGACAACTTATTATAGCAATGGAGACAATGTTCTGGTGTAGATGCGAATCACTTGCTTAATAATGGTGCTAGTATCTACACCGTAACCTTGAATCCATTGCAATCAAGAAGTTTGTCAGACCCCTATAGCTTGTTCCTCTTGATCTTTCACTTGTTTATGATCAGCATATTTTAGAAAAATCAATGCTGCTTTTAAAATGGTTTGGGTTGGTTTGGGGAGAAAATAGAGTCCCATTGCCATACATGCCAACATAGGCGGATCCCGAGGGGGAAGGGAGGGTGTCCCCCTTCCCCGTTTTGTGCTGAAAGTTTGTTAAATGACCATTGAAACTCGGGTGAAAATGAAGTGTGCACCCTTCCTTTTCTCAATAGTGTGCACCCTCCTTTTCTCAAAAAGCTGTATCTGCCCCTGTGCCAACCAATCAGCTGTTGAAGCGAAGAATATCAATAGTTGTCACTTGGCTACCATACACTAGAGCGTTGCCTTCATTTGCTGTTCGTTATTATTGCCTGAGCTTGTAAACCATGATATACCCTCCAAATACTCCAGATACAAATGTGCGTGTTGCTTCCGTTCGTTTCTGAGAGCCATGCACATCATATTTATGAACTTTTTAATTAGCAATCAAATAAGGAGAGGAAGAAAACGTTTTGGGTAAGTGTTTAATGGGCTACTTTTGTCAAAGATTGTAAGTGTATATTTGGGTGCGTAATTCTGTGTAGAATGACATCTCAGTGCTATGTACTTTGCTTTCCATATTTGATTTACAGTGGTCAACTTTTTAGGGAGTAGTGTCATCAGTTTGATTAATGTAATGTGGTTTAGATGAAAATTCATTTGCCATATGACTGCTGAAATAGTTTTTATTGTCAGTATTTTGAAAGAAAATAAAGTGCAAGTTCATCACCCTCAGAAGAATATTTTTATCCATATTAATTGAGCTTTGTAACATATAGGGACATAAGCATTCCAACTGAAGTAAACTGTTTTCTTTAAAGAATTCTTTCTTTTAGTCAACTTGTGAGGATTTGTGATCATTTATGACAAATTTAGTCATTAATGACTGGAAGTCATTCTTAATTGTCTTTTGGCATATTGAGAACTTCATGTCCAAATCTTTGTTATCAAACTTGATACCATGTCAATAAAAACTGCTTATGAATTTATTGATGTCCGCATGTTTTAAATTGATAAACACTAAATGAAGAAATACATTTTGCTATATATTTTAAGTTCATGTTTTTTAACTTTTGGGTTTTACTAGTCATTTATATTTGAATGCATTGCCTCAAGCATTGTTCTCTGACATCTTCTTTATGTAGTTTCTCCATCACTGCATGTCGTGTCACGTTCCTGTGTGTACTCAGAGTATTGACTTTGGGGATGGTTTTGGAATTAAATACCGGATGAAATTCTTTTGAGTGTATAATTTACTTCATTAGTCTTATGAACTCAACTGTAGGATATCATGGAAGAAAACAGTTTGAGCATTTGAAATTGATTTATTTCTAAAATTGTTTCTTTTTGGATGCATGATCAGGAGATAATGAAATCTGGTCTTTGAAACAAGGGAGATAATTCAATTATTATTTTTGTTGTTGAAATAAAATTGTAAAGACATTTTTCATTGTGAAAATTGATGTTGTAAAAGTTGCGTGCGTAAAGTGGTCTGAGCTTGTAGGAAATTGTCACAATAATGTCAGTGAGTCATTCATACATCATAGCATTTTGTCTGTGGTGAGAGAGAGCATGTGTATCGAGCGAGTGGGAGACGATGTCATTTGGGGCTGTTTGTTGTTACAGGATGCTGCTGCGGAAATGGTGGTCATGTGCTGTCGATTCCTGTGTTACTTCTGTCGGACAAGTCGTCAGAACCAGAGTGCCATGTTCGATCATCTCAGCTACCTGTTGGAAAACAGTAGCATGCTTCTAGGTAAGGAGATCATGTTGTACGTATCGTGTGGATGGTCGGTGGTTTCATCCCGGCCCAATCGTACCTGTAGACATTGTAACATGGTAATTATTGTTACCCTGCCTACTGTTTGGCAGTAAGGTCGTAGTACAATGAGTGAATGGCACAGAGTTGTATTCGGTGTCTGAGTTGGGTATCCATGGGCTAGGAAATAGACTATACAACTAGCAGACATGTGCAGTTTCATGATTAAGTTCTCTTCTATGTTATAAGGTTTGTAAACTGACCTCTTGTAATATATTATGAGGAATCAAGACTGTATTTAATTTGTAAATGTTTCCCTTGATGTATATATTCCTAACCTTCCTAACTGACCAATCATATCCTTGTGTACACAGCCCGACCTTCACTGCGAGGGTCCTGCCCACTGGACGTGGCGTGTGCCTCTCTGATGGACAACAATGAGTTGGCTCTGGCTCTGCGAGAGTCCCACCTGGAGAAGATCGCCATCTACCTGTCCAGGTGTGGCCTGCAGACAAATGCAGAGCTGATTGAGAAGGGTTATCCTGACATTGGCTGGGATCCTGTGGAGGGGGAGAGGTTCCTGGACTTCCTCAGGTTCTGTGTATGGGTCAATGGTAAGTTGAGTCATGGTGCCGGTATGGTAATGTGTCAGTTTGCCAAGTGAATGAGTGAGTGAGTTTAGTTTAATGCCGCACTCAGCAATATTCCAGCTGTATATCTGTAAATAATTGAGTCTGGACAAGACAATCTAGTGATCAACAGCATGAGCATGGATCTACACAATTGGGATATGATGACATGTGTCAACAAAGTCAGCTAGCCTGACCACCCGATCCCGTTAGTGGCCTCTTACGACAAGCATTTAACCTGGATCTTCATGGGTTGTCAGTTTGCTGTTTGCTGCTTGATTATATACAGGAAACTATGGATATTATGAACTCAAATTGACAACTAATTTCAGTTATAAGCCTAGTTCATTACTCACATTTCGACTAAAGTATGCAGACTTCAGAAACAGTTTGCTATATCCATCAGTTCGCTATAAGTGTTTTACGCATACATTGTAACATCACCTATGGTAGTTTAAACATTTTCATGGCAGTAGGCATTCTGGGATAGATATGGTCCAAAGTAAACTATGCTTGTTGAGAGTTGAGACTAAAATAGAGTTCTGCTTTGGTGACTTGTCATTTTAGGTTGGTGAGTGAGTGAGTAAGTTTTAAGCTACTTTAAGCATCCAGCTTTATCTTGGGACATCTTAAATCAGCTTCACACATTGTACGTATTTGGAAATTTGAAAACCTACCTGGGTTGAGAGGAAGTTTGCTTTGTTCTGACAACACAATCAGGTGACATTGTTTACAAGATCCAACCAGATTAGAGAATGTATTGTGTGACCTGGATGATTAGCTTGACTATTGTTGCTCATACAGTCAGGACAATGATCAGGACTGATTATTTACAGCTGTAGAATGACTTACCTAAGTCTCAACTCAACTTTCAACTATTTACTTCTAAAGCCAAAATTCCAACAGTTATTGGCTGAGAACAACATGAAATAAGGTGTTTTCTCAAATTTCCTTCTTGATTCCACTTGTAGGTGAGAGTGTGGAGGAGAATGCCAACCTGGTCGTCCGTCTGCTGATCCGCCGCCCCGAGTGTCTAGGCCCGGCCCTGAAGGGTGAAGGAGGAGGTCTTCTCAAGGCTGTCAAAGATGGCATCCGAATGTCGGAACAGATCTCCGCAGCCAGAGATGGAGCCTCCAGCAGCTACCTGGCAGCCATGAACGATGATGATGACACCGGAGGCAACTATCTGTTCCAGAGGTAAGGGTTGGGGAAGAACAGAATTTTGTATATCAGTTGTCTGTTTTTGTTGTATAATGCTGCATACATCAATATTCCAGCTATATGATGGTAGGCTGTAAATAATAATCTGGACAGGACATGCAGTGATTGGTATAACTTAAGCTGACTGACTGAGTTTGGTTTTATGCCGCTTTTAGCAATATTCCAGCAACATCACGGCGGGGGACACCAGAAATGGGCTTCACACATTGTACCCATGTGGGGAATCGAACCCGGGTCTTCAGCGTGACGAGCCAACGCTTTAACCATTAGGCTACCCCACCGCCCCACTTAAGCTGAAATAGTCACTATCCACAGTAGTGGTAACATAACGACACCTAAAAAGAGTGGAAGAGTATGGTTTTACACTGCTTTTAGCAATATTCCAGCAATATCATGGCAGGGAACAATAGAAATGGGCTTCTCACATTGTATCCTTGTGAGGAATCAATCTCGGGTCTTCATCATGACAAGCAAACTCTTTAACCATTAGGCTACCCCACCGCTTTTGAGCTTGTGCCCTTGTACAAATATCTATCATGTAATGTGGCAGAATGGTGACTTAGATATCAGATGTAAAAACAGAGCTGTTAAAGTAGAAGGATTTAGCTAAGCTGTTTCTGAAAATGACTTTAGTTCCTTCATGATAAACTGTTACATTTTAGGTTTGATTGCTATTTATATCAGATTAAGTTGTTAACTTTGTTGCCACTTGGTTGTTATCTTGTCACTCCTATTCTGTTACAGCAAATATGATTTCACTGCTCTCCCCTCTGAAGATGACGAAGACTACATAGACATGGGAGGAGCCATCTTGAACTTCTATGCCAGTCTGGTGGACCTTCTCGGTCGCTGCGCCCCAGACGCTGAGACCATCAAGCAGGGCCGCAGTGGTTCCCTGAGGGCTCGAGCCATCCTCAGGAGTTTGGTATCCATGGAAGACCTGGAGGGGGTGCTGGGGCTCCGCTTCATCCTCCCCGTGGGGCTCAATGCAGGAGGAGACCAAGATGGTGAGTCAAACCAGATGCATGGAGGTCAGTTTCTGTCTTGACATTGGTACTATGTGTAACATTGGGACTAGTGCCTGGCGTTTTTGCTTGGAGAGTAGTTATTTTTCAGGTATGTCTGCAAAACTGGATAATGTTTCATTAAAACTGAGAACCAGAGAAAAAATCATCTTGCCACAATGTACTTTATGTGACAGACAATTTCTTCGTTTTTGTAAAATGTGAAGCATACTTACTTCATTTGAGTAACTTCATTCTTGGTCAAATGTTTTAACTGCAAGTATTGCAATCTTTTGTGGCTGACCATTGCTTCATTTTGTCAAAGTCTGTATCACAATTAGTTTTTCTTAGGCATTTTTGTCTGTGCAAGTATTGCAATCTTTATATTCATCTATGCGTGTGTTTCCTGCAGCTCCTCCTGCCAGTGACCTGCCCCCTGGTCTGTTGCCCAACCACAAGATGTCAATTGTCATGTTCCTTGAGCGTGTGTATGGTGTGGATGACCAGAGCACCTTCTTCAGAATCCTGGAGGAGGCCTTCCTGCCAGATCTCCGAGCAGCCACCACACTGGACTCGGTGAGTAGAAGCAGTTAGCAGTTGCCCTTTTATTTAATAATGAAGAATACAAGAGGATTGCTAGAAATCATTACCCCTCAATGCAAGTTGTGTAATTTTGAAATAATTATCGGTAGTTCAGTTTCTTGTACTGTTACACATGCTTAAATGATTTGTACTATTCCAGACACATGCTTGAATAATTAATTTCAAATAAGAAGTACTGCCTAAACAACAAGGAACAGAAACTTATCCAAATCCAAACTTTCACTAAGAGAGGGTCCAGATGTACAGTTATACCGGTAGTTATAAATGTATGGTGCCTCTATCACTTTGATGTTAAAACAGCTGGGATACATCTAGCAGTGTTTATGGTAATGCTGATTCTACCTGACTGATCCAAGGTTTTCCTTTGCCGATTCTACCTGACTTGTCCATGTTTTCCTTTTCTGTTTGTGACTGACTTGTCCAATATTTTCCTTTGCTGTTTGTGACTGACTTGTCCAAGTTTTTCCTATGCAATGTCTAACCAGCTCCAACTGTTTTCCTGCAGGCTATGGCATCGGAGAGTGACATGGCCTTGGCCTTGAACAGGTACCTGTGTAACTCAGTGCTGCCAATGTTGACCCACAACAGCCAGTACTTCAGTGATGCCGACCACTTCTCTCACCTGATGGACTCCCTGCTCCACACAGTGTACAGACTGTCCAAGTGCCGGACACTGACCAAGGGGCAGCAGGAGACTGTGTCCGACTTCCTTGTCTCCTTCACTGGGTGAGTCAGTCTGGTGGTCGTGTTCACAGGAACAGTCATTTTGATTTGGTTACATCACATGTTATAAATGCTGTGACTTCCAAGTGTGTGTGCTGGTATAAAAGTCTCTCATTGAGGTAGGACATTTAAATAGCAGTAAATTCAGTTCCATCACACTGGAGACATGGACCTTGTAAATAGTTGTCAGAAACAAGAATTTGTGTATTACATATGCACAACCAAAGCACCCAGTATCTGATATGGCTTTAAAATCTATGTTCCAGGCAACTGAGGCCCCCAATGATGACCAGTCTGCTGAAGAAGCTGACCAGAGATGTTCCAGCATTGTCAGAACATGCCATTGTGCCCCTCAGGGTAGGTGGGAGTCAAGTGTTGGTCACATGAAAGAAACGTTCATTTCCAGAGAAGCTTCACTCAAAGTGGCTTAAAAGACCAGTGCCTCTGGGACCAGTTGAGAGTTGTGTGTCAACAGTCTGACATTGGTCATTCCATATTAGAAGGCTGACCAGCAGTGTTGACGGTATCATGGTGACCTGTTTGCCATCAGTACTACATTGGTCATCCCTTTAACAACTTCTGGATCACAATTTCTTAGTTACTCAACATCATTCAGCAAATAGTTTGAATTTTTGGTTTTAATGTACATTATTACCAACCTTTGCAGGGGTGGAAAGAACTTTAAAATTGCTAGTGTACTCCGGTACAGTGGCACATGTAAAATTACTTACCCTGATAATTTTTCCACTATACCGGCCGTTTTCTTGTTGATTTTTTAAATAAACCACATAATAAATATTGGAAAGTCAACTGGACACCGGTACAGTGTGATATACAAATTTGCTTGCCCGGCAGAAAAAAACACTGGACTCGGGCATCGGGCAATGGGTTATTTCCACCCCTGCTTTGAGACAGGTGACATTACAACCTATTGGCACTGAGTATGATTTTCTAAATGATATATTAATGATCACATGAGTGCTATTGTTTACCTTGTGTAGGTACTGACCGGCTCACTACGAACGTAGTGGTCGCTACTACAGCAGTGGAGGTGGAGGGTATGGGTCCGGCACGGCCAGCGAGGAGGAGAAGAGGCTGTCCATGATTCTCTTCAGTGGAATATTTGACTCCCTGGCCAAGAGGGTAAGTGAAGATTCTTAATTAGCATAGATCCTTACCAACCTGTGCTTGTTGAATGAGCCAATCAAATACCTCAGGCAATTTGACAAGGTTACTTAGTTTATTGCAGTTTGTGTCATATAGTGATGGCATGGGATGCTGTTGGGTGCCGTCTGGTGGTGCATTAACCAACAGTCAATGAAAAAAAATAGAAATTACATGTTTATGATCTATATCTTGTGCTGATTTAAGTGCATTATCAAGGAGTCATCTGGATATATTCTATATGTATAAATACTAATACTATCAACAAGTAGCATTACTATCAATGTTTAAAACTCCAAGCCAGACTGCCGGAATTACCAGTCCGGATACAAACTTGCCTGTCCGGTTTTCAACAATGAAAAAAATTAAAAAACTCAGGTTCCTGAATACTTTACTGTGTGTAGGCATGACAGTGAACAACATAGCACTAACAGGCACTGCACCCAGTTTAGGTAAACTGAAAGTACATGTGTTGTGATTGGTTATTGTAAAATGAACTGTCCAATTGTAAATAGTTTAACATAATTATCATAATACCTTAATCACCTCAAACTGACGACAAGAGAACATCTACCAGACCACCGGACTACCGGCTACTTTTGAAATTTGACCGTCTGAGATGAAAACAGACAGTCAGGCACGCGGGAATTTTAAACGCTGTTACTATACTTGCTATACATTGGTCCCTCTATTTTTGGCCCCCCTGTTTTTTAGTATATTTGTCCATATAACTGAATTCGCTGCATGTAACACTCTGAATATAAAACATTTGTTTCCTGCAGGCCTATGACCCAGAGCTGTTCTCCAAGGCACTGCCATGCTTGTCAGCGATTGGGTGTGCCCTGTCACCTGACTACTCTCTGAGTCACACTGACGCCACCTGGTACCAACAGTCTAGCAGCGACATCGAGGGCAACTACATACCTCAACCCATCGAAACAGCCAGGTACGTGCTCAATGTGCATACGTGTCAAAACAGCATGGTAAACCATCATTAATGGTTCAAACTGGAAGGTAAGGAGCAATCATGCATCAGTTTTGACACAGTTAGGTATGGATTAATCGTCAAAAGAGCAAGGTTCATGGAACAAATCCATTGTATGATTATTTGATTTTCTGATCTGGAAGGAGGGAACAATTCATTCTGAAGTGAAAACAGACCTATTGGATTTCATGAAAATGGTTTGATATTGTTCAAGGTTATATTTTCAAAGTTCAAACAATTCATACAGGCAAAACATCTGCAAAGAAAGCCACTTCCCTGGCAACTACTAACATTTGACTTTCCTATGACATACATTGTAGGGTTATTTACTGATCATGACTCTTTTCAGAGTGAATCTGACTCCATCATTTGACAACACCCTCAACAAGTTTGCCGAGCACTACCATGACAGCTGGGCAGTCAAGAAGGTGAGGTGACTGGGTAGTGTTAGTGAGGGCAGGAGTCAGGACAAATTGTTTGGAACAAATGTCTTATTATTTATTGCCTTTTTTCACATAGATGTCAGAGAATAAAACTACCTCAGCATGGAGTAAGTTTCAATGCTTTTAGCAGTATTCCATAGTCATGCAAGAGACGGCTTCACGCATCTACCCACGTGAGAATTGAACCCAGTTCTTGGGTGTGACAAACCAGTGCTTTAACCACTGGGCTACCTAACTGCCCCCTTTTGTCGAATATGCTATAAACTCTGTATGTTGTGTAATAATGAAAGCAGTATTTTGAAAAGATTGCCAGCATTACATTATCCTGTGTACTTTCCTCTTTTAAAAGAGTGTGTATATGATTTCAGCTGGAGAGTGGGTGGTTGTTTGGCAGCATTACATTATCCTGTGTACTTTCCTCTTGTAACAGAGTGTGTATATGATTTCAGCTGGAGGGTGGGTGGTTTTTTGGCACTACGTATGATGAAGATAGGAAACTTCATCCTCTGCTGAAACCGTACCATCTCCTAGATGAGCGGGTGAGTAATAGAGCATTACTTATGAAGAGGGTCAAACATGATTCCGGTAATGCATGATGAAAAGTGTGATGTGTAATAATGTCATACCCCATTATGTCATTACTTGCCACTGTTTTACATCAACAATGAGTTTCCATTTTCATTTACTCTATGACAAGCAACCTGTTTTATTGTTCCAATAATGGTATTCCAGAATCAAGAACAGATTTCTAGGACTTACTAAATGACAGTAACATATATTCCTACCACTGCTGGAAGTCACATAAAGTCAGGTGCTTTAATGTTAAAGTGGTTCAAAAATAGTAAATGCTGGTTCTGGTTTCATAAGTTTAATTCATAGGTTCAGGTATCAAATACAGCTTCATGGCATCAAGGTGTCACACACACCCTCACTCAAGAGCACATGTTGTACAGCTCACATGGCCTCAGATACAAAAGTCGGATTCAAGGGTGGAAGGTTATATTCCCTACAGTTACTGGGTGGATTATAAAAGGGTATCATGGAGCGGAATCGGATTCACAAATTACTTCTCTTTAATAGTGGTGCTTATTCTTCAGGCCAAGCGGAAGTACACTGAGCCAGCCCGGGAGACGTTGAAGACGATGTTGGCCCTGGGGTGGGGCATTGACCAGGACAACTCCCGAGGCCCCACCAGACAAGACTCCATCAAGCGTAGGGCATCAAAGGCCAATGTGGTCAGTGAGAGAAATAATGTGGTGCTAGCACAGAAATAATTATATTGTAGTGATTTCTTAAATCAAAGTATGGTTTATGTACCATTTCTTGAGAAGTTTGCATGATGAACTATATTTGTGTTGGTTTTGCTTGCACAAAATGCTTGGCCAGAATAGCCAGAGAGTTAATAATTCAGAATCAATTGCAAAAATAGCATAACATCATTATGGCCATGAACCAAATTTTTGGGTCAAAACTATGAGTAACATGAAATCCACAGATTTAATCAAAACCACGCTGTCTATGTTAGCTGATATTTGTGGTAAGAAATGTGAAACCATCAGACTGTACAGATATCTGTACTGAACTGCATTTAAGCTGAATGCCTTCCTATATGTACTTCATTTCAGTTTGAGCAAGGCTACAGTCCACGACCTTATGATTTGAGGAATGTGACCTTGACAAGAGACACTCAGGTGAGATATTGGAGTTTTTGTAAACTATTTGGTATGGTGGGCTTTTCAAAAGCATGCACCCATGAAGATCCGGGTTAGAATTGCTCTTCAGCATCCCATGCTTGTAGTTGTAAGAGCTGACTAACAGGATTGGTCAGTCTCCCTGGCTTGATTGACACATGTCATTGTATCCCAGGTGCATAGATTAATGCTCATGCTGTTGATCACTAGGTTGTTTGGTCCAGACTTGGTTATGTGCAGACAACCACCTTATAGCTGGAATATTGCTGTGTGCAGCATTAAACAAACAAAGAAATCAAAATCAGCCATATTTTCATGTTGTTGACAAAGTACTGAGAGATGACCTCTGTTGCAGACAATGGTGGATAGACTTGCTGAGAATGCTCATGAACTATGGGCCAAGAGGAAGAAAGCAGAACTAGAGCAGATTGGTGAGGGCTATATGACACTTTCGCGCATGTTTATTTTCTCATAAACTAAGTCAGAAATGGCAATCATCTGTACTTCTTCTTACAGATCAACGAGTGAATTATTTACAGTTTTGATTCAGTGACTGAAAGTATTGTAGTTGAAACTATTAATAACAGGAATAATATGTTAAATTTTTTGTGGTTTTAGTTGTAGCTTTCATTATATATATTTCAAAGACAAACACCAAAAATGTAGCTCTTTGGTATAATGTGAGATATATTTTGCTTATTGAACAGTTTGATGAGTCACCATTAGGGGCTGCCCATGGTCTTGCTGTTTTGGTATAACAAAATGGAATAGATAAAATGACAAATGTAAATTGTTAAATGGCCTGAATAGGTTATGAGGAAACGTTGCATCTTCCTTGAATATAGTAGAGGTACTTAAATGACTACAAGGAACTCCGGTTGTGAGAGTGGGTAAGTATTTCTGTGAATCTGAACTGTAAATTTGCAACCAATAAAGAAGCCCATTGATTGACCTCCCACTCTGTTGTGTTCCCTAGGTGGAGGGCTTCACCCCCAGCTTGTTCCCTATGACATCCTGACGGACAAGGAAAAGAAGAAGTACCGAGACCATGCCCTGGAGCTCCTCAAGTTCCTTCAGTTCCTCAACTTCCGCATCTCCAGGTACTTCATAATGACCACCTCTTTCCTCAGTCGGTGACACGTGCCACCATCGGGGAAATGGGTTTCCTCAGCAGACGTAGGAAAGATCAGAGCGCTAGCAGATCCAGCAAGAGATGCACTTACATGTTAACTGCATCACCAGCTAAGTTATATCATGACTTGGGTATTATGTGCATTCCCTTCTTCAGAATCTTGGATCCTCTCTGAAGCGTCCAAGTCTGTCTGGATGCCAATATTTAAGAAGATGCTCACTCTTCAATGCTTGATAGCAGTGTATGAAATAAGCCAAAAACCCAGCCACACATCTGGGCTGGTAACTTCGAAAACTTACCAGCCCAGAAGAGATTTAACCAGTCTGTCTTAAATACTAAATAGACAGTGCCAGTGGACACGTTATTTGAATATCTTTTTCACCTGTCCATTGGGCTGGCTAGCTGTAACATTAGACCGTCCAGCAGAAATCTAGCCCGTCTCGGGCTGTCGGACGGGCCTTATTTCATACACTGTTAATAGAATATTACAGCATTATCTGTAATAACCAGGTTCTACTGTGATGGGGTATTATTAGCAGAAGTCGTGTCTTGGGGTGTCAAATAGTGAATGAATTGTGCAGAAGGGTTATGTTTCCTATGTTAGGCAATAAAAGTGAAACCATCCAACTCTTGGTATCTTTAGGTGATATTTCTGTTATTGCTTAAAATGGTATAAATAAATATTCATTCATTCCTCCTTCAACAAATCAACATTGTTTCTAATTTAATGTGTATCTATTGAAATGGATTTGAGAACTCCTGTGGGAAAAGTTATTTGATATTTTCTATTAATGATACAGATTTGCTCAGAAATTTGTTCATAATTTTTGGTATTGAAATGTATACAGTTATCTGTATATGTCTTCTCTGCTTCCTGTTTTATTTAATTAATCTATTTTCATTTCTTCCTATGGCACATTCATGGACAAGATTCTGATGCACAGATATTGCAATAGAATATTTACATTCTCCTGATTTCAACATTTTTGCTAATGCACAATTTATCTATCACACTTTGGTGTTTGCATGTTCAAAATTGTCATTGACATGGAAATATTGGTTACTTTTATCTGTGTCAATTCCATTCTAGGCATGTCTATATTGTAAGCTGTTGTCAGTTTCATTGTCATCATCATCTTCATCATCGTGATGTGCATGACCCATTTCAAAATTGTTTCATTATCAAAACATATTTATCATTTGTTCATTCCAAATTGATCATTATTTGACACAAAGTTGATAATTATGGAATGAAGTAAGTGTATTAGCTGATGTCGTATTTTAATCTGAGGAATAGGATAGCTAAGCGGTTACAGTGTTCACTTATTACACTAAAAATCTGTGTTTGATCCAATGGAACGCGATACAGTGTGTTCACTTTTCGGTGCTTGTGTCATAATTTGTTTCGAATAAGATCTGAAGTGCTAATCCATTCTATACAGTTATTGAGGCTACGTATTAATATAAGAGATATTCTGTCCAGCAAACCATAAAATTTCCTTTATTCCAAGAACATTATTTTGTTTGACACTGTTTATTTGCAAATTTGATGTGTTTACTCAATATTCCAAACCACGTTTTGAGTGTGTCATGCTTCAATGCCTCGTCTGCCTTTGATGTACGTCACTGCAAGAAACTGCTGCTAAATGTTCACTGAAATCAGTTGAGCTGTCCTGATTTCTGTATTTTCAGTTTGGTTACAAGCAGTAGCCGAGGCTTGCAGCATGGGTGTTCAGGTATGCATTGTGTGTTCACCTTTTTTTTCCTTTTCTTCCGTTCTTTTCCGTTGTCGAGTAGCGGTGGCGACCTAGGCTTGGATCGTAGACGTGAGTCTTCTTCCAGACATAACCCCAAGTCAGAGACGGATGGTGGTCCTGGGATGTCGGCCACCGAGAGACGTTTTGCTTACAGTCTTCTTGAGAAACTCCTGGACTACGTGGAGATTGCTTCAGTCAACATGCGGCAGACGCGGGCCCAGCTCTCGTTTCAGCCGCAGGGGAAGCTACACACAAGCGACAGAGGATGTGAAATTCTTTGGAAAGGTTAGAGTAGAAGATTTGAAGGACAAATGACATAAGTCATGATGTGTGCTGTTTCTAAAAAATATGAAACAACACAGGTAGAAGCAAAATGGGCCTACCACAGTATTTAAATCTTCAGACAACCCCTAATTTTCAAATTACTTTAGTGATAAGGGTCTGTCTCCTTTTTTTCTGTGATGAATGAACATCTTTATAGTAATGACTTGAAATGAACTATATTAATAAATAAAATATGCAGATATTCTTTTTCTTTAAAAAGCAAGTTTTGCAAACTATGAAATTGCTGCTTGGAAAATTAATGAAAACACAAATTTGCTGTGATAAGTGAGAGGTTGGCCTTTGCTGTCCTTTTGATGCAATGAATTGAATTTGTTCCATTGTATGTAGAAATGACATGACAGTGACGCCATTACGTCTTGTGCCTTGTAGGTGGTGCTGCCGTTTGTAGAGAAATACTTCCACGCTCATCGTGTCTACTTCATGGCGTGCCCAAATACACCTGCCAGCACCTCAAGCATGGCATCTGTCAAGGAGAAGGAGATGACAGCAAGGTAAGTGTGAGAGGAGGTCGCCAGGGAAGATAAATCTCCTATAAAACAAGGCAGTTCAGATTGTAATCTTTTTGTATTTCAATTGTATTCTTTGCGGATAGCTGCAAAATTGCTGAGTAAGAAATATTCACTTTACTCTCCATCATGACCGACATATTATTACTGGGAAGATAGTGAGGAGATTCTGAACAAAATCTTTATGTTTCAGCTTGTTCTGTAAGCTGGCCCAGACTTTGAGAGCCAAGATCACTGCTTTTGGCTACGATGTCAACATTTCCGTCCGTTGCCTCCGAGTTCTCGTCAGGGCTGTAGATTTCAGGTGAGTCCAGTATGCCTCGTACTCTTCGGTGGATTCTATGAACACATCAGCACACAAGATGGATCCAGTGAAAGATATTTGCCTTGTATGACTGTCATGGTGTGTCCTCATCGCAATAACAACACACAGTTTGATGAAAATTGGCACAATATAGGATCAATAGTTTATGATGCTGCTGTAGAGGATGGTTGTATGCTTAGTGTTAACATCACGATATGGCTGAGATATTGCCGATATGATGTTAAATCTTAACTCACTCACTCACTTAAGTGTTAGCTAACAATGTTATGCATATTATAAGCTGCATGTTTGGAATTCCACTGCAGTTTATGGCAAGAATTTGTGTGTAAGAGGTCTCACTGGTGTGCCTAGCCCAGAGTAAAAATGTGATAGTGGCAATTGTGCCTGACATTGTCAATGTGATAGTTGTTACAGTTAATAAATTGCCGTGACAAAAGGTTTAAGAGTCCCCTTTGAACCAGCAAAATAGAACACTGACCAGTCTAAAATATTCAATAATATTTTGAACAAACAATGAGCAAGCTACAATGAATGACAATACAGATATCTAGTACAATGGAGTCACAAATCTAAAATATTGGGTCACAAATATAAAATATTAACTCACCAGAGTCTTGACATTCACGGTGAGAACAGATATACAGATTGGAGGTTGTTTACAATGACAGTAGTTGAATAGTCAAGCACGGTCTTGAAATGTTGACAGACAGACTTGACGACGGTAGACAGATGTATCAGCTCGATGACGGCAGACAGATGTGTGTATAACTCCAGTCATGTAATAAGTCTGTGTGTCACAACACAACCAGCCTTTATATAGCTCTTACACAGTTCTCGAGCATTCTAGCAAAGCTAGGTTGTATCATTATTCTCTCAGAACATTCACGAAAGCGGTAGAAAACTCCACGGCATGTCGAGTCAACAACTTGCCAAGGGAGGCAACTCTGGGTTGCTAACAAAAAGGCGTGCCGCAAAAATACTATTGCCATTGAACATATATGATGCGAGAAGTGAACCAAAACCCACACTCAAAACTTTAAACATTGTGACCCATAATAACTATCACCTAATCAATGATAATACAAATTACAAAAAACACTCTCTCATAACATAGTGCACTTTCTGTGCATCAAAGGATTCTGGTAATTGCCACTGGTAATGTACAATTCATAAATTGCCACAGTTTGACTGCCTAGTTTCTGTCTAACTGCTATGGAGTCACAGTTCGAGTTTTTGTACTAGGCTAACGAACGAATAATTGACTTGCCAAATGAAAACTGTTTCCTGTATGACAATAAACAAAATGTGAATGATTTGTGTTGGCTTCTTGCAGGTCTGTTGTGAAGAATTGTCCAGAGATTGTCCGCTCCCACCTCCTGCCGTTCTTCAACAACGCTGCAGATGACCTTGCACAGGTCATGGACAATCTTTTGAAAGGTCGATTCAGCCATGTCAAGGGCACCATCACCCGTGGTGCCACCTCACTGAACTATGTCCACATGGTGCTACTGCCAGTGTTATCGGCACAGTTCGACCACCTCGGCAACAACAGCTTCGGCACAGATCTTCTGGGTCAGTCTTTGCAATGAAAGTCATCATAATGAAACTGTTCTAAGAACAAGTGAGGAAGGGGTAGTTCCAGGAATTGAAAGATATCGATTTGGGGATACTTTCTCATCATGATAAACAATTTGTGTGAGCATTATAAATATGTGGGAGATTAAGAAGCAAGGAATTTGTATTATAATGTAAGATATTTTTTACTGTAGAAGTTGCAAGGTAACATGCATGTGCTACAATTAGTACTGAGGTGAATAGTATGAGCTATTATAAGGAGACCATACTATTGGCTGTTTGATGCAATGCAATAGTTTATGTAATTTTATATAACTTTTATAGTTGGAGACATTCAGCTAGCTTGCTACCGCATCCTGAACGCCCTCTACACGTTGGGAACAAGCAGCTCTGTGTTTGTGCAAAGGTGAGATACCATGCTTTGTTCAGGCTTTGTAAAAGTTCAACGAGGTAATTATTAGTCTGTAAACTTTTTCAAAAGAAATTTCAACTTGTTACTTATCAATGCTTATTGTGTCAATGTTTCTCCGTTTCCATATCCCAACTGATTAATACCAGATACAATGAATGACTAAATTCTTAATGAAAACTGATTGTGAATTTTAGTTTTCATATTATTTTTATGCAATAATGCTGATAATCATGTTATATCACTTTATAAACTTGAAGAATCATTTTCATCTAATTGTCTTCTTACCTGCAGCATCGTGTACATATTAATGAATTCATATCAATATCAATTATCATTAATGCAGCAGACCTTCCAAGTCTAGAAAAGCTGACAAACCTAGGTAGATGATGTTTTCAGGTTCCTATCTTCAGGGCTTGCATGAGGCAATGCCTCTTTTCATCTCTCACACTTTTTTCATGGCCCCTTTTAAATTTTTGCCTAGTTTAAAAGGAAAGTAGCATATTTTCCATCTATGATATGTGTCTGCTCCCTTGGTTTGCCTTGGTATGGCTATTTTACATTTGAAAATTTATTGGAATGATATTTATTTTTTCATCTTAGTCTTTGATCAGGGTGAGACAATAGAACACCTAGACGTGTTACTTGTATCTGTTACAACTGATTGAAATCTGAGTGGATATTCTTCTACAATATACTTTATAAACTGGATATATGAGTATTTTATTTTTTGCTAAAATTGCTTGAGGTAGCAGGAATACCAACTTTTCAAATTCAACTTTCTTGAATAGTCTAGTTTTAGTTATTTTTAATGTAATGTTTCATAATCTGCATGGAGGAAAATATTTTATGATATTCTTCTAGATCTTATGCGACTAAGTATATTACCTGCAAATCGGTACTTTTATTGACATTTTGATTGCAGAAAACAGCTGTCAGGAGGAAATACAAAATGTGTTAAAATTTGTTATCTATCCTGTTCATATGGACATTTATTTACTAAAATATTATGTTGGGTATCTAACTAGTTGTAAGGAAAGTATCATCATCATCATCCGACATGCACCATCATCATTCACGCCAGGCTTTTTGGGTGTATTCATATCTTTCTTTCTCTTTCTAACTTTCGTGGGAATAGGGAGACAATTACGACGGAGCTTGCCAGGTACTTCGTTCACACTTGGGCATGAATTCAGTATTTTTACTTTAAGACTAAACTATTCTGCATATGTTCATAACCCATTGGCATTGCTGAATATTCAAATTTAATAACTTCTCTTGAAACCTTTGTGATGTTTCTTGTGTGCATTTCCTTATGATTCCAACCTAAAATGTTTTTGTGGGTCATTTGATATATTTTGTCTTTACATTCTAAATTCATCAGTGTCAAACTATCAAATTTTAAAATGTGTTTTTTTCTTCCAAAATATGTCATGTATATTTTAATTTTTTATAATGTTTTATTTAAAAATACGATGTAATTTCTAAAACCATTTTTTCAAAATTTATTTAATGAAAGTTCAGATTTTTTTTATGAAGAAACGTAGAACATCTGAGCATGATTTCACATGGAGAGCCATATCTTCTAAAGGAATATCATACGAGGTTCTTAAGATCTCCCACAATGCCTTCTCCGCCCTTCTGACAATGTGACGTGATGGGTTAGTTCCCCTTGGAGCAGTGTGTTAGATGGTTGTTCCACCGTCTAGTGTTGCTGTGTATCAGTAAAATAACAGTGGCAGACAGCAAAATCTTTTCTAAACATTCAGAGACATCTGTAGGGTAAATGGGACACTTGTATTGGATGCATTTATCTGAACGGATTCCCCTATAGTTTTAAAAATGATTATAACAAGTTTAGAAACAAAAACTTATTGGTTAGATCTTAAGTTTGGAATAGGTAAGGTAAATAAGTATGTGTTATTATTTACCTTAAAATCAGTTTAACAAAACAAAGGATTAAAAGATGGTGTGTATATTTTTTTTAATGGAACAGTTTCAGTTAGATTGGAAAATTTCAAGTGAATACACACATGGATTTTAGCATGAAAATGTCATTTGAATAAATAAAGAATAAATATTTTTGTGTTTGTGCGGAAAATATAAATATTTCATAATGTAAGGAAACATATTTGGAAAAATTTCGCAAAAATATAATGTTATCTGAACTTCCTGGGGAGAATCCATCTGAGAGTTGACTCTAGCAGTCTACCACTGTTGTTTTGCTGTCAAATTGCTTGTAGAGACCTGTTCTTCTGTCTGTTCTTCTTGCCTGTTGCAGCTTTTCACATCACAGTTATAGTAACTTCCCAGTTTCAGAGCCTCCACAGTCTACAGAATAACACTTTTCATTTTCTCCTTTGGAGATTATTTGATATTAATAACAATAATGAATGTCACTATAGGAGATGTTGACGTACATTTCATTATGATTATGTTAAATTTGTCTTGGCTTACATTTTATAAACTTTAGGGAGTGTAGTGTGTGGGTTTAATGGTGTAAGACACGGCACCTGTTTCCTCCTCCAAGATGTAACAACTTCACATGCACACTGGTGCATACACATGAAGAGATGGCAAATACTTTCTGAAATTTTGTACCTTTTACATCGCTTTTCAGAAACATTATTTTTTCCTTGTGAATTTACATTAGGATTGTTTGTTTGTTGTCATGTAAGATAATGTTTACTTTTGATTGTTTTCTCTGTATTCCTGTTTTCTTGGTAGATGGTGGTCCCTCTAAAGACCACATCAGGATTTGTCAGTGTTTAGTTTCGTTGATCACCACTATTTTCCTGTTTTCAATGTTAGGTGCTAGATAACCCACAATCAAGTCTTCTCAACAATACTAATGACAATAATCATTATAAATAATGAGGAAATAGTTTATTGAAACACAAACACAAAATTAATTACTTGGTTTTTCAACCAAATACCACCAAATAACCAACATGTTATTTTGAAGAAAAAAATTAATACGCACCTTTTTTACATTTCTTAAGTACATTGCAGGGATTTTGAGTATATTCACAGTGTGTTTTTTTCTGTTTCATGTGGAAGTGTCTATATACCTATGTATGTCCCACAGTGTGGCATACAGTGTCTGTATGTTCTGTATTGTGTACCGATTGTGTTGAGATATGTCTATTGTGTAGTGACTTGGTCGAGACAAATGTAGTGTATAGTTTCTAGCGTTGAGTATGATGTTGAGGTTTCTTAGTGTTCAATTGTTTCTAGCTTCCGTTAGACTTTCTGTCATGAAGAAACTGGGTTTGAGTGTAACAGCGGTCATGATAGGCATCTGAAGGGGTCGGGTTGTCAGGCTCTGCCATTGTTGAGTGTTGTTCATGATACCAGTCACGGGTTTATCTGGTCCACACTTGAATATTTGCTGTTTTATAGCATGACCATTGCTGAGTTGGTTAAGATAAACATTCACAGACAATCTGTTACACATCTGAAAGAAATCATCAAACAAGAATTCATTTTCAAATGTTTGTGCAAGTAAGAATGTTTCACTTAAATGCATGTTATGTTTGTGAATGAGCTAGCAGAAACAGACCTCCCATCTGATGATTCCAGAATTGTCTTTATAAAGTTTATGACCTTCTTACATTTTATTTGTAATTTTAAGTCATTTGATCTATGTATATCATATAAGTGTTTCAATGTGTGTGTGTGTGTGTGTATGTATGTGTGAGTGTGCGTATGTGTCTGTGAATGCATGTGTGTCTGTCTGTATGAGAGATTCTCACAGTGGTGGATTATTAGTAAAAGCAGCATAAAAGCCCAACTCATTCTCACAGTCAAAACTGTAACTGTAAATTTACTTTTTGGAATGGGCGAATTTGGTGTAAAGAATTTTATGACCATTCACAATGACCTGACCTCTGTTTCTTCCTCCCAGACATCGTCCAGCACTAGGAGAGTGTGTAGGGTCACTGGCCAGCTGTTTCCCCGTCGCATTCCTTGAGCCAGACAAAAACAAGTACAATCGCTACTCCATACTGTTTGGCTTGGAGGGGAAAATCTCCGAGCACTCTCTGGAAGCTCAGGGTTTGTGTCTTCATTTGAATTATTTCATTATGTTGCTGATCAGGGTTGTATGATGAATATGGAAACATTGTTCAGTTATTTGTTTGACAATATTGTTTGAATAAGATGTACTTATGAGTATTATTGTCCTCAGCACAAAGTGGGAAGGGGATATAGGTTTGAGGTCCGTCTGTCCGACCGTCCGTCTGAGATGATGGAGACAGATTTTCTCAAAAAACGTTATAGATAGGGAAACCAAATTTGGTATGTGTTTTCAGGACATGAATTCCTTGATTGAGTTCAAAAACAGAAACCATGTTACAGACAGACAGACAGACAGTATTTATTCAGTAAAGAGGCCCTCGCCCATAATACAATCAGACTGACATTGTGTTTAGTGGGTGCGCAAAAGAACTTTGCAGCTCTATGTCCTGGAGTTTATCAATTTCTGTACATGGTATAAGTATAGGCCAACATTGTATATGACAGCATCATTTTTGCTTTGCAAAAGATTTATGACAGAGTAATGAGTAAGTTGTTCTGTAGTGAACTTTGTTATATATTTCTTTCTAAGTATATCATAGGCATTACAAATAAATAGTACATGATATTCATTTTCAATATAATGCTGGCGTCTGGCTTTACTAAAAAGACATAGCCTTTCATTGTATTCAATTCCATTATACCTGCCACATTCAACAGCCGTATTAAAATTACTGCATCTAAACCTTGATATAGCAATTCTTAAATTCATAGGGATATCACAACACAAATATCTTTCAACATTTAAGAAAGTTTTGAACTCCTTGTAAAATATACATTTAGGAGATTCACTAATTGATGAGAACAAAAAGTGTTTTAATTATCACCTAGCTTGGTGTCCTCCCATTACGCAGACAGCCAGTTCGCAGACACCTTAAAACAACAACAATTACGGTTCAGTGAACAGATTATCTTCTACCTGTTACCTACACATTATAATAGAATAGTCCAAATATAATCACATGAACAAACTGAAGCTATATTATTTATTTTGAAAGATGGACGAAAAGACAGTAATTTGAATTTTTATTGCTGCAATATAAAAACAGTTTATTTATTAACAGGTTATTTATTTTCATAAACATTTCGGTTTAACCTTCTAGTCTAACGGGGAGTGGGCATCATCATATTGAAAACATTAGCTTGGCTATTAGAAATTGCGTCACTGTTGTATCGTATAAATCAAATATAGATAAATGTGAACCTAAATATTATTCATTTGGAATAAAGAAGTTATATGTTTTGCACACAATATTAAGATATATGACGACTGCACTTAGTTACGATTTATTTAGAATAAATATTTAAAATATGACGCATCATGTCAATATGGCCATGGATGTGAAAATGTTTTTCATTACCTCCTTGAATGTCTATTGTACACTCCTCAAAGACATAATCTGTTACAATCTTTAGAAACTATTGTTAAAATGAGAACACTGATTGGTATTAATCGTATCTTACATGGCAATGCAGGTGTCTCATTTACTGCAAATACGAATGTTTTCAAATATGTACATATCTATATCTCTCCAACAAAACGTTTTCTCAGTTAACTTCTGTTGTACATATGATATTATTGGGAGGGGACTTTTCTATCAATAAACACAATCAAACCTCTCAGTGACAAACCTGTTTTTATATTCGATAGTAATTGATAGTAAAATCAATTTTGAGAAGGGAAATAATTTAATCATAACAAAGTTCTATTTACCCACAATCAAACTTCTCAGTAACGAACCTGTTTCAGGCTCACCCTGCTTTACTCACTAGACAGCGGACTGTTCCATTATACCCGTAGGTGTTACCCTAACTAACCTTCTAGTTCAGTGTCTGTCAATTGGGTGTCTGTCAAATGGGTGTCTGTCAAATGGGAGATAACCCCTAGCTTTAGCATGAAAAGATACACAAAATATTCCACATTTTTAATTTCTTGGCTTAGCCAAGCATAACCAAATCCATATTGAAACAGGATGTGCCTAACTTTTGTTAGCCAGGTATTATAGCCTAAGCTATCTAGTGATCTTAACATTAAATAACTTTGATGTGGGAGTCTATTTTGTGGCATATGTATAAGTCTACACCAGAATTTAATCACTCTTGACATGTACAAATGCTGTAATGGCCACACTCTCCAAGAACCATACCATTTAATGTAGTTTTTTTCATCCTTAAGTATTGTTTACAAAATTTAATTTGCACAGCCTCTATTATTTTGGAGTGATATGTTTCCTCTGGAAACCATTTAAAGACATTATATCTTTAGAGGCCTGAGATGCAAGACATGTCTGGGCTTTACTCCAGACAAGCATGGGTGTGGACACTAATCCTAAATACCTATAAAAAGGAACCGTTTCAACAGGGGAACCATTGTAGAACCATTTCTCATAATGACGAAGAGGCCCCCCATTTCTAAAGACAATAATCTTGGTTTTGTTTAAATTAACTTTCATCACTGTACTATTACAAAAGCTTTCTAAAACATTTAATTTCTTTTGAAGCAAATTACATGTGCCAGATAGTGCTGAAATATCATCTGCAACCATAAGTGCACATAAATTAATGAAACCGTGTTACAATTCGTTACAGAGTTATGGCCCTTGTCATGTGTTTCTTGACTTCGTGCACGGTATCCCCTATGGGAACAGATTTTCTCAGTAGCTGTTATAGATAGGGAAACCAAATGTGGTATGTGTTTTCAGGACACGAATGTCGTAGTGGTGTTAAAAAACAGGAACCAAATACAAACGCCAATTATGATCAGAACACTTTGGTGGGGAAATTGATGACCATGTCTTCTTGTTATTCAGTTATGTGCTATATACCATAATGTTTGAATGAAATGTATGTATAATTTGCCTGAATTAATATATTGTTTGAACTAAATCAGTTTTCATGTTCAGTATAGACATGTACAGTTTGATGAAATCAAAGCCCTAGGGTCAACTTGTTATTGAGTTGTTTTTGTTTTATGTAATCTTCATCACAGAAATTCTATTCTTTTTACAAAGTTGAACAGAAGTCATATACAGATAGTGCTGATGTTGATTGGGAGATTTAACGCGAGCTTTCCGACATATTTCGCACACGGAATATACAGAATGTAATTACTATTTAAATATGTTGTGTTTGTACAGAGGTTATGGACCAACTGGCTGAGAACCTTCCGAATCTGGATAAGATCGTGGCAGAGATTGAGGAGCTGGCACACTCCGGTGGCAAATATGCCGAGGCCCCACATGTCATTGAGGTCACGCTCCCAATGTTGTGCAGGTAGGGTCAGTCAAGGCAGGAACCATGTTTGTCTCTTCAATTACACATTCCTAGGTGGATCTTTAGCCTTGGTAGAGATTACAAGATTAGAACAACTGTGTTGTAAGTGGAATGAAGCATGTCAGAATCCTATAATTTGGTGCACATAATCAGTGTGTGGGTTTTAAGGTAACTTTGGTTCAGTGTAGGGTTCATTTTTGGAGCATAATCTCATAAGACATTCAGTATTTAATAACTTTTAAAACACATTTCGACAACCTGTCTTCCGTGACATGCAGTGTTTATTATTTTTTATTGCCAAGACAAGATTAATTGAGAGTACATTTTGTTTGATTCAACAACATTCCATTATTTATCCATGAAATTAATATACCAGGGCCCTTATTCTCGAAATGTTCGTATCCCTAAGAATTCTTATCTTTGATCGTAGCCAATGTGTTAAGAATGGGCTTAAGAAGTTCGTAGGGCTACGAACGTTTCAAGAATAGCTAGCCAGATTATTTATGTTTGTTAGTACTGGTGGCTGCAATTTGTCACAGAATTTGAATAGAATTTCTGTACGCCATAATCATGTGTAAGTAAAGCAGCAATATTTATGTGGTCAATCTGTTTTCAGTTACCTGCCATTCTGGTTGAACCATGGGCCTGAAATGACATCAGATGGGTGAGTGTGCTTCTCAATAAGACATCTGTAGCCTCATCATAAGAAAATTTAAAAATAAATAATAATAATACACATGCATTTATAAAATGCATTAGTTTTGCAGAAGAAATATGTTCTGTGGGCTTTAGCAGCAGTGGATCAACATCAGGAGACAATATAACACTTGGAAGATCAGAATATATACTTGTATATTAGATGTAGCATTTCAGGCTTACCATTTTACACAGATTGTATGTTTGCCTCGTTCATCATGGGGATGTTTTAATGAAACCATTTGAAATATGCAACTTGACATAAATTATCATTTGTCAATGTCTGCTTTCAGAAATAGCGTGACGGCAGTGACAGCCAAGCAGATGAATGCAGTCCTGGGGAACGTGTTGAAGCTCATCCTCAATAACATTGGTTCAGAAGATGCTCCCTGGATGAACAGGATTGCCAGTAAGTAGACTGTTGCATCATATGTAAGCCTTGGATAGGTTCTGTTTATCTTGATTGGAATACTGCATGTAGACAATATATTTGAGTAAGCTGCAGTTGCCTCCCACTCATGACACAACATGGCATTTGTTAAAACATTTAGATTGACCGTTCTTGTGCTGTGCTTTGAGAAAAGTGACCAAATTAGTTGGGCAGAATTCTCCACCACAAAATATGAATTGTCAATGAAAAGGTCTCATGCAAAGAAAACCATCTTATGTTTAAATATGATATAATTTGCTTTGAATGATAGACCAAAGTGACCAGGTATTCTAGTGGTTTATACTTTTGCTCATCACACCAATGGATTCTCCACATGGATGAATATATGAAGCCTGTATTCCCCAAAATGATATTGCTGGAAAATTGCTCAATGACATAAAACCATACTTGTTCAATTACTGAATGACTAGCCAATTTCCTTAGGATATGAACTAGTATCCATAACATTGTATCTCATAACGAACAGATAGTGTAAACTCTAGATTTAAAATGTAGACATTTATTGACGGTATCCATGTTGTTAACAGCTCGCACCCAGCCCATCATCGGCAACTCCACCCCAGACATGATCAAGGATCACTTCCTGCCCATCGCCAAGAAGCTGAAGGAAGCATCTGTCAATGTGGAGTACTATGAGAAGCGACTGATCATCGACAAGAGGTCAACATCCGACAGTTCCGACATGGAGGCAGTGGTGCAGGAGGTATGACTTTGTAGCTTCCTCTCTGGTTGTATATGTATATAGAATTCTGCCTTATATTGCCATGGATACGGCAAGTTTTTCACCATAGAATATCAGTCCAATTTTAAGATATACTTTGATGTTTAAAGTTGTATGCCAATAAAATAATTTGTCAATTTTGATTGAAAGCACATCCAGCATTTCTCCAACAGGGGATGCATGTCCAAAGGCAATTTATTATGTAAGGTGTTAGAAACAATATGGGATTAAACCACCCCTGGATCAGCCATTGTTTTTCCTTCAATGTGTATGAACTCTTCCAGAAATACAGCGTCTTGACCAGAGACATCTACGCGTTCTACCCACTACTGATCAAGTATGTGGACCTCCACCGCTCACACTGGCTCAAGTACCCTGCAGTGGAATGTGAGGAACTGTTCAGTTATGTGGCAGAGATCTTCTCCATGTGGTCCAAGTCCCTAGTAAGTCTTTTTTCTCTAATGTTGGAATGAGTGAGTGAATGAGATGTTGCTGGTTTGACCAGATATCTCATGCTGTGTCAGCTTAATGTAGGGGAAGATTGCAAAGTAATGAAGGTCGAAAAAATTACCAGATACATATACGTTATGTAACAGTGTGTTAGCTTAAAGGTCACATGCAACGTAAAACACAACTTTGCAGATTCTGATACCTTTCGGTATGGACTTACCGAAACAAATCATCAAAAATGCAAATTCAAGTTATAAAGTTGAAAAATAACGCGATGAAAAAAAACGCGCGAAATCGGAGTTCAAACGTTTCACTAAATTTCCCCAGACTTTTCTGGGGAAAACGGGTTTCAACAGCTGGGCTGAAATAGGTTCGCGCAACTTGGAAGCGGGCTGTCTGGTGAATACTCGGTGAAGGCTTTGGTGTGAGCTATTTTCATAATGTTTTGTTGATATCTCACAGGCGCGAGCTTTTTATATGTTATGACAGTAAATAAACTGTTTATATAATTTCATTTGTCTATTTCACCACACGTTCTTCTTACTGAGTCACTTTCTCAGTTCGATACTTAAAAGCAATGTCATTATTTAGCGTTGACACAATTTCTAACTGTGATATAGATATGTCGTTGTCACAGACAAAACTCAATGTCTTGTTTATTGACACCTGTGTGTCTGCCTGCCTGTCTGCTAATGACAATATTCAATACACAACTGCTATCACTGACCACATGCAATTTGAACTTAACACCAATCAGGCTATACACCATAAACAAAACGCATTGATTTATGGCCCGAGTTCGGTCTCTGTCACATTATGTAATTACACAGACAGGCAGATGTGATACTTGAACACATGACATGTTATGATGTCTGTTGATTGCAAAATGTTATACACAAAAACTGATCATGTATTTACAAAACCCAACATCTCTATATATACACACACAATGAGCCGTGAACGCGGCATCTGCTAATGAACCAGCCGTTACACTTGAGTGCACACCCACCCGCTCTGACTGGGTTCGGTATCCCGGCTGCTTCGTTTCGAGGGAGGTAAACCCAAGTACAAAATATTGCACTTTTGATTTGCGATTATACGCTTATAATTTTGTTTATTTGTTTTTTCATAATCAGCAATGCATATTATATGTCATGAAGAAGTGATAATTGTGTTTTAATTATGTTTGATTTTTTGGTTGCATGTGACCTTTAACGTAGGAGCAAAGCCACTAGTGACACCCATCCATATGGGTGTTGTACAAAGTTTGACACATAATCAAGGAGAACAGGGACTCTATGTACCTGCAGATAGATCAAGATCAGCACAGCTGGTAAAATATGAGCTTGGTTGATGATTTTCAAGGGCTTTTGATCCTTAAAGCATCAATGTTTTTACGTGTTCTCTTTTTGATATTAAGGATGCTGAAAGTAAGAGAGTAGTTGTGTAATAAATCTGAAACCACTTGGCAACATTTAATTTAAAAATGTCAAAATGGAAGAAAAAAGGCTTCAGATTGCCATTGATATTGGTACTTGAAATATTTGAGGTAACATTTTAATTGTATTGTTTCCAGATGTTTAAGCGAGAAGAACAAAACTTTGTTGCTCACAACGAAATAGACAACATGGCCCTTATCATGCCCAGCCAATCAAAAGGCATGGCTGTATCCAAAATTGGTGCTCAAGATGGCACTTCCAAGAAAGCAACAGGCACTAAAAGGAAGGAAAAGAAACGTCTAGAGCCACACAACAGTTTACATGTTGCATGTCTCAAGCGTTTGGTGCCAATTGGTTTGAGCTTCTTTTCGGGACGGGAGCAAGAACTGCTCCAGCAAGCAAAGCAGAAGCTCATTCTAGTAAGTTCAAACTATTGACTTTAACTCTTAAAGAATATAAAATTTATTATCTGGCAGAACAGTTTTATTTCTTGTTTTACGTTCTAAGACATTGTGTATGATGTGAAACTACAAAAGTAAAAGGTGTATATTTATATTGAATAACCAAATACTTCAGGATATCATTTATTAAAATGAAAAGGTTCCTTTTATTTTCTAAGAGGAAGATTTTCAAGATAATTTAAGTAGAAAAATCAGTATTTCTCTATTGTATTTAAAATTGGGCTAATGTGAAGTTAAGAAAAAGTTTGTTTGTAAAACAAGAAAAAGATTGTTTGGGCCCCTCTGAAAAAAATAAGTCTAAATGATGTGAAATTTATGATTTTAGCATTGGTGTGTCATTAAATGTAACATATTATCAACTTTAAGATAACCATCTCCGAAAAGGTATGTCAGCTTGTTGCAAGTGACAGTGAGGAATAGTTAACTATAGAATAGAATCTTGTCAAGTTGATCAAAATGACTAGTTAACCTAGAGTTCTGTTAACGTAGTCGATGTGCTAGAATCTGTTCTTTGTAGTGTTCCTACACTGTCCACTTCCATGTTCACCTTCTGTATTGTCCCTCCCTCCCTTACTTTCACTTCATCTTGCCGTGCTGACCCACTTTTGTGTGTCGCCGTTTTGCTCATGCTGCTGTGAAATGGGCATGGATCTTCGATCACTTTCTTGACTGTACTTTGATTAAACTTTGAATTTGAAGAGTTAATTTCATGTCTGATTTTTCTAGTCTTACACTGTATGTAATTAGTTATTGTAAGTCACTGTTTAAATGTGGTTGCTGTGTTGTAGATTTCTTTTTTTTTTTGTCTGTCTCACCAGTAATTCACATCAAAAGAAAAAAGTTTTCAATTGGAAAGTTGTTATTTATATATTGTGCACAATTGTAATACTGGAATTGGGTTTTAATAATAATTGTTAGGATTGTGATTATGATGTTATGGGTTGTTTTCACTATGCATTAACTATGGTGATGGTTGTGTTATAAATTTATCATTCTGAAAGGACCTTACACAGTTTGATTTACACAAACACTACCCAAACCCACCCAAACCAACCCTAATTCAATCCTGAAAGTTTAACATTTCAAATGATAATAACATTATCGTATGTTGATGCAGAACTGTATTTACAGGCTCAGGTCTAGCAGTGCCCAGTTTGTCAGATACAAACACATCCATGTACTGATATTTACTGTTCAGTATTTACTGTTATGTAATAGTTTAAACAATTGATTATGACATGTTTTACTAAATTTTGTACTCCAAAATGGTTAGGATATAGAAATATAGTGAATGACATGAATACATTATCAATTTTTAAGTTAAGGACATTTAGGGTTGCAAACAGAAGCAAGTGCATCCAACTGTTCTTCAATTTAGTGCAATAACAACTGGTGTATTGAATTAGCATAAATAAAGCTGGGCTTGAATTATTTAGTAACAGTTGTTTCAAACAGTTTGTCTCAGTCCCATTCAACAATTTACAGTACATCAGAAACCAACACATCCATTTAGAGTTGCATCAGAATCAAATACATCCTAAGAATACTACTATGTGGTGAAGGACATTGTTTGATATATACAGCCTGCACTGTTGAGTGGCCACTGTTCACTATGCTAGTCAATGTCCCTATTTCACTCTTCCTAGTTTCCACTCCTTTCCATGCAAGCACTTTTCTGCCCTTCTGTCAACCTGCATGATGTGCTCTGAGCATGGTAGACTAACTGCCTGTGTCGGGTTTCTCACTATTCCTTGTTTTAGAAGGACCCCGATGGAGATATCGAAGAATTCCTCCTTCAAAGTCTGGAGACAGTGGAAGGGGTAAGCAACAACAAAATAACGAAGGCATATCATTCTGTTTCTGTAAGGTCGCAAAACAAAAAAGTAGTGAATATTTAAAGGTTCACAGTTTAATGGATGTAATGAAAAAGTGGTCAGACATTTCAAGTTGAGAGTATGGGGTCACAGACACAAAATGTTTGTTTTATCGAATTTCATTTAAGAAAATAATACCACACAGAATGGTTGATTTTGAAAGTCCCAAAGTTCTGCTGATTTATGGAAACTATTGGACATTTTCATTTTGAAAGTTTGGAATCAATGAAGTTTATGAAATATTATATATTTAGGATCTGAACAAATGGTATCAGGGGTCAGTGATATACTAAAACAATTCTAGTGAAATATGTTCGTATCTTATTGCACAACACTTATTTCATTGGAGAATGTATACGCCTTTCCAAGAATGTGTTGTGTTGTAACAAGAATAATAATGAAAGCGTGCTAAATATTGTGTAGGTAATTGATGAAGCCTCAAGATGGCAGAAGGTACTATACAAGAAGATTGGCGACACAAGCACAACAGGACAGAGCAAGTCAAGTCGGGACAAGATTATTGGCCGTATCATATCCATGGCAAAGGTCATGCATGGTCTTTACCTGGTAAGTCTTGCTTTGAATAGTTTACATGGAATATATATTTTCATGAACAGGTGTCTGTTTAAGAGTTGACACCTGTGTGAAATGTTAGTATTGTGTATAATACTGTGTGTCTGTGTTAACTGGAGTTGTACACTGTTATTATGGAGTCATACAGTCAGATCAGGATTTGATGGCATGTATCCTCAGTCCAGTCTTGGAGTTCCTAGTAATCCATTGATCTCTGGTGAAACTGTCTTGCAGCATTATGAATGGTTACATCAGAGGTTTGGGATTTTGTCAGGTCTTCACTATATGAATAACTCTGGGGATACAGTTCATGAAATGCTTCGGAAACCAAGTTTACATTTACCAGAATTAGATGATGTGTATTTAAGTGTTGCTTTTAAATGTAAGTACTTTTATTCTGCCATGAATTTTAATACTTGAGCCTAAATGGTAAATCAGAAATCACAAAAACATATTTCTAATGGAACACCTTTCTCCAAAAAGAAAGTTTTAAAAAGAACTTTTCTGTCGAAAACACAAATCTGAGTTCCAAGTTGTGATTTTAGCAATTGTAGATCGAGAAATGCAGAGGTCTAAGGTCTGATTAATTTTATTTAGGGTTTTATGATTTTAGATTTAAATTAATGACAGTTTTGGTCATCCATGAAATCTGAACTGCAAACATTTCCAACCGTCAGTGTATTTTACCATTTACAAACTAGACTGAGACTATAGCTGCTGTATCTTGAATTCTGTGCTGTTTTCATTTGAGACCTCTGAGTTATCGACAATTAGCACTTGAAGGTATCAAATTAGTGATAACAGCAGTACAAAAGTTCAAAACCGTGGCTTTATTGCCAATTTGATCATCTAATTCTGGTTGTAATGTAAAAACTTGGAAGAATACAAGGTTCCTCTTTAACAGCCACAGGGGTCAAGTATGGGCTTAGACCACTCAGTAATGATATCTGTATTAATTCCATTTCAAATTGAGGTGTCAATTTATAGCTAAAAGGTTGGTATTACTATGTAGCAAATAGTTTGATCAACTTTATTTCACATAGAAAATTTGAATCCAGCAGATGTTTTAACAACACCTGTGTGCAGTGGCTGTTAATGAGAATTTTGTTTGAAGGTAGTAGAATAATAATTTGCTCATTTTTTTATGACATGTATCCTAAAGTGCTATGCCCTCCTTGAACAAAACGCATCAAGATATGAGTATTGGACCTACAATCATTTATGAGCTACTGCTGGCATAAGTCTGTAAGTGTCAGAGTTTTGTCAGTTGTAGTGCTAAGATGATTACATGTGATGATTTGGGATCTGCTCCACAAAGCGATTTTAGCGCTTCAAAAATAGCAATGACTGTTATAACCTTAGTAACACTTTGTGGAACAGGGACAATATGTACAAAGAGATCTTAGCACTATGTTTGACATACCTCTGATGCTCTAACATAGATTTAGGATAATCTTAGTACTAGAATTGCATTGTGGAGTTGGGATTGGTGACATCCTTAAAATTGTCGTAGTACTATGACCATTGTAAATCAGTGTTAAAAGAACAGAAGCAACAGCAGTAGTACCTCTAGGAACACTTTATGGAACAGTTCCCATGACATACTTGTCATCTTGCTGAAAACAACTTTAGCTTAAACTGGACTTACTGGTCTGATCTAACCTAGAGTAATGAATGTAAGTCCAAGCTGCTTTGTACAAGGATCTGAGGGGAGGATTTGTGTCATCAAAAATTGATCCAATTGTTGTGAAATTTGTTTAGTCTTTATGTAGAAAGCAATGTTTTCGCTTAATAGCAAGTGTGATAATCATCTTCATTGTGATCTCACAAATGTGTTGCCTCTAGTAAGTGTGGATTGAAGGAAGATGCAGGCTTATCAAGACTGGGGTTTTGAGGTGGTTATATAGTGATTAAATATGAAATAGCTCATGAATAATCTCAGCTATCCTTGATTTCCAAGTGGATTATATCTATCCTGTTGTGATAAATATTCTGACCCTTCCCTTAGCCTTCTGACAGAAGTGACTGTCACTGTAACTCTTCAGTTCAGAATTACTCTCGGTCAGGTAGTTGGAATTAAGAACCAGTCAAACTCACTATTCTGATTGTGAGTTATGTATTGATTTACATTCAAAAGTGGAATGTGGTACAGAAATTGTCTTGGTCATGTGATTGGAATCAACAACCAATCAAACTGCCTTTTATCAGTTTGGTATAGATCTACATTCAAAATGCAATGATACAAAATTACTTTTGGTCTTGCGAAAAAACTTTCGTTGAAGGTGAGTTCAGTATTGATCTGACATTAAAAATTGTGGCCATTTATGAATAAGACCCCATACATTGAACTAAATCTGAATGCTGTTTAAATTGTAAGACTGGAAAAACTGTTATGAGGGGAGGGAAATCTGAATACTGGAGGACATATGCAACAACCTGCGTGCGACAAGACAAGAACAGTACTGGTGATACCAAAACATGACCATGAAGTGTCTGGCAATGTGTCAGTAGAACCAGACTCTAGGGAAAGTTATGCAGGTGAAGATGTCCAGGTTATATACCATCATAGGATGAAGACTGGACACAGGAGATAATCCAGGATTAATATCTGTATGAGTGAACCAAAGATGTAACAATTTAACTCCCTTTCCTGTCCATAATGGTTACAGCCCGTAATATTCCATGAAGTTACTAAAATGTTTACTGAAGACTTTTATGCAGCCAAGAACTAAAGCCATCATAGCAACCTAAGTAAGACCATTATTCTTCATGAAACATCATTACTGGATTATACTGAAATCTGTAAAGGTTGTGCTTTTTACAACTATTTAACATCAAAGGGGTTCGATGGACATACTCGCTTACTGAAACAGACTGAAAATTAAATTTTTAAAATTATGAAAAAATGGCATCAATTGATGTATAGTTACAATATGGTAAACAAAATTGTATGATATCAACATTCTGATTGGAGGTTTTCACTTCGATATGAAGGACCTATGAATCTTGTTCACAGGAAAATATTCAAAGCCAGGTAAAGTAAAGATGTATTTCATTTGCCCTGTTACAAACTCACTGCACAATGAATGCAGACAGGCATTCACAAGTGTTAGAATTGGTACTATCATTAGTTTGAAGATTGTCTCTAGCTTCAGACTTAAAGAATAGTCTCCAAAAAACTAAAATAGCATCTTCTCTTTCTCTTCCTTGATCTAACAAACAGTTCCTTGTGCACCGTTGCAAGTTGTACTAGCAGGGCGGACATGGTATACACATGTCCTGCCTGAAGTGTGTCATGAATCAGACAAGATGATATTTGATGTGGTTCAAATCAGAGCTGAGTGAATCCTTGATTCTTGAATAAAAAAATAAAACCCCTGCTACAAGGGTATGTAAAGGGCTTTTTGGTATGGTTCATGATACCTGTAGATATAAAACAATTTATAATAATAAATAAAAATATTAGTGGAAATGTTACCTTTGTACCATTGCTATTTTATCTTTGTAAGTTTCAAATACTTTGGGAACATATAAAATGAACATATATTTTTTAATTGACTCTTAATGAAACATGTTTACTAACCTGTCTGTGATATTCAACAAGCTCTGTTTTGGATGGTGATGGCAGGATGTTTTTGGATATTAAAGTATGTAAGCGGGTATGTCCCACATTAACCAGAGTCTGCAGCCATAATGCTTCCTTTTTAGAATGACATGATTCATGACAGTAGTTATAACTTATTCATTTTTTTTTTAATTCGAAGAATCCAACAGGCAAATTTTTCCATTTATATACATATTGTTGCTAAAAAGGAGCATTATAATGCTATTATGCATTAATACTGCTGCGATCATGATAATGTATCTATGGTGGAAGCATTTAAATGTAATGAGACAAGTTATCACGTTTTGAACTAAATATGAAGGATAGGTTTTGACATTGTATTCATAACCATATTTGAATGCTTTCACGATGCCCTGCTTACTTGTTACATACATTCCACTAAGTTTGTGGGTTTTCTGCATGGATGTTTTTTATTCTACTGAAACTGCATGTTTGTGAAGTTACAAACTTTATTTTGTCTATGTTTGTATTATTACTCAAGAACCAGTGTGTGGAATTTGTTTTGTCCTAACCTCAACAATAACCACTCATTAGTTGTACTGTGAAGATGAAGACGCCATACATTGTCAAGAGAAGAGAAGGTGGAACTGTCTTTGGTTCATTCTACTTGTGATAAGACTATACATGTACCACAGCCAAGTGTATAAACTATGAACTAATTCCTCAACTCCAGTATGCTCCCCTTATGCTGGGGCAGTGGGGTAGCCTAGTGGTTAAAGCATCTGTTCGTCACGTCGCAGACCCGGTTTTGATTCCCTACATGGGTACAATGTGTGATGCCCATTTCTGGTGTCCCCTGCTGTAAGCAGAATAGAACAGTTGATGGTGGAAGGTTCTTCATAAAGAACCTCATACCAATGTATATCAACATAGCTAACATTTTGTTGGCAGTCAACAAGTTACATATTTACCAACTAGCCAATTTTATGTTGGCTTTAGAAACAGATAGACAGTCTAATGTTGTCAATAATACATAAGTCATATAATTACCTACATAGCCACATTTAATTAATGGAAAAGAACAAAATAGCAATACACACCAACATTCCCCTGTTTTGATTGTAAAATAGGTTAGATCCAACAGTTATGGGCAGTTGTTTGACTGGTAGAAAGGTCAATACCAGAGAACAATTACCTTCAAATATCCAAATGCATGCCATTGGGTGTAAAAGGCAAAATAGTGGTGAAAATTTTGTGGATGAATTACTACAAATCGGTGATGACACCACGTGTTCATGAACACCAACCATTCCCAATATACCCACATGCCAAGTCATACTGGTACAATACTCAAAGGGAGAGGATTCACAGTGTGCAATGGTAAAATGCTGCATCAGGGCAGTGAGTATACATGTGGGCACAAGGAGATCTATCAGGGAGGTTGGCAGTAGTACGGAGATCTGAGCTGATGGTACCTGTTCTAGGTGGAGAATCCAGCAATGGCTGTTCATGAGAAGAGGAGACAAGCCCTTCATGGACACGTTTGTAGAAGTTGATCCTCAAACCCCCACTCCAGGCTTTTATGCTTGACATATGTATCAGCAATGACCTTCTTGGAATTCTCACACATTGTGATTGCCTGTGTTGATTGCTTGGGGTACAGCAATGATGATATATGGTGTTCATGCATATAGCATTCACCTGTGTTAATTGCTTTGTGCCTGCGGTGGCCTCTTGGTACTCATGTGTATGACATAAGCTGGAGTTAATGCTCTGGACATTGCAATGACATTCCATAGTACTCATTCATATGGTATTCACCACATACAAACTGTTTCGGATATTGCAATGACCTTCTATGGCATCTGTGTTGCCTGCTTGGGTTTTAGGAATGATCTTCCATTTTAAATGTATGTATGCATCTTTTCATCTTAAGTATGAACAATTTGTTTTCAGCTTCTGAAAGTGGTTCAGGATTCATTTAGAGTTAATGTACCGTGATTCTGCAGAATATTTGGCCTTTAAGAAGATGGTATAATATCTGGAAGTATAACAAACAGGATTTTGCGTGAATATTCTGTGCTAAATGTCAACACCTGTGATTTAGCTTACTGGACTGGTATGTGTCATGAAAGACAGTTAAATGTAGATTTCTTGTCAGCAAAGACAAACCAAAGTATTGTATTATTTAACAAGTCATTGAAGATGAATACATTTTCCATAATAACCCCTCATATTTCACCAGTGCAAACTTGACCTTCTATAACACTAAAGGTGAATCACTTGGAACTAACTCAACGTATGTTTCCCAAGCATGACCCAAGCCTTCACTATCAGTTGATTTTATGAGACCTCCACACTTCTGTGTACTTCTTTAAATAAAACTGGGAAACTATGTTATTTTATGCAGATGGAACAATTCTGAATGGTGAATTACCTACATATATGATCTAGATAGACATCTTTGGGAATATTATTTTATTATTTTAATTTTATGAAAAGTTTTATGGACTAATGAATTGTATATGCTGATCACTGAATTAAAATATTAATTTATTGTTAAGTCTTGATAAATGTCTACAAGCTGACAGCAGTGACCTCAACAGGGATATTGTACATGAGAGAAATGCTACTGTGTTAACCCTATGACTTATTCAGCATCAAAGAGCTTATATTCTGTTCATTTGATCAGATGATTTTGGTGACATTAGAGATGCTTGTGTTTCCTAGGTTGAGCACCCCCACCTTGGTTTGAAGAGTGCTTGGAAGAAGGTGATTTCGTCTCAGAGGAAGAGGGCTGTTATGGCCTGCTTCAGGATGATACCTCTGCACAGTCTCCCCAGGTACTTCTTCAGTTCTCTCATAACTATTCCTGTATAGAACTCATCCCCTGATATATGGTGGTTGTAAGGGGATGATGTTGAGGTCAGACCCGATATCTCAAAACAAACTTAAGTTTTTACTCAAATTTCAAACTGAGTTTGAAAATTTGAAACAGCTGAATCTTTTACTCAACTGCATTTTTAAAATAAAAAAGCCCAAACAACTTAAGTAATCTATTCATGAAACTCAAATTGTCTGCTATGTTCGACTTTATATCGATTTCAGTTCATTCTGGGAAATGCATTTTCTCAAATTTGAGTAAATACTCAAATTTGTTTGTTTCGAGAAATTGTGGCCAAGTTTGGTAACTTGGTGATTGTCTGCCATAATGTGCTGACACCATGGTTTGTTGCTTACAGTATCAATCTTTTGATTTTCTGGTCAAGTTTTGATTGTTTACAAACTTCCGCATTGCTATTTACATGCTGAGTTTAAAGGTAAATTTATTGATGTGACTTCTGCAAAATGATAAGTTTTTAGTGTAAAGGTAATGCTTCAAGCAGGTTATTGTATGTAACTTCTCCCACAGACATCGTGCCATCAACTTGTTCCTGAAGTCCTACAAGCTGCTGTGGCTAGAAACTGAGGAACTGGACAAGAACATCCTCATCACAGACCTTACAGTGAGTACTTTGCTCTAAAGTTACATCAGAATTATCCAAACATTAGTTTGTCAATTGGTTGTATGATGTGTATTCCAATTTTTCCTCTCTACAAACCTTCGTTTAACTGTACTTTCTTTAAAAAGCCATGGACTTATTAAATACTGATGTTATAGTGGATAGATATAAGGTAATGTAAGTATCACTGATAAAACAGAAGTGTGCTTCAAATATCACACATAGTTTTGTGTAATTACTGAGAATTGCCAATATGTAGGATTTAGTTTGTTCTGGTAAAATGGTGAAGTTGTATCCAATTCTGGATAATGTATGTTTGTGTTTAATTCTGTAAATGAAAGTGGATGTATTTGATTCTGAACAAAAAAATGTATATTATTCTGGAGAAGCATATTAAATTCTGAAGAAAATGTATGTATTTGATTCTGAACAAAAAAATGGGTGTATTTGATTCTGAACAAAAATGGATATATTTGACTCTGGAAAAAAAAGGATGTATCAGATTTTGAACAAAAATGGATGTATTTGACTCTGGAAAAAAATGGATGTATCAGATTTTGAACAAAAATGGATGTGTTAGATTCTGAACAAAAATGGATGTATGTTATTCTGAAGAAACATTAAATTCTGAACAAAATGTATGTATTTGAATCTGAACAAAAATGGATGTATTTGATTCTGAACAAAAATGGATGTATTAGATTCTGAACAAAAATGGATGTAGTTGATTCTGAACAAAAATGGATGTATTTGATTCTGAACATAATGGATGTATTGGGTTCTGAACAAAAATAGTGTATTAGATTCTGAACAAAAATGGATGTATTTGATTCTGAACCAAATCTCTGAAATGCACTGATTGCAAGCATATGTAACAATGCAGCAAGCCAGTGAGAAAGAAGATGAAGGGGAGAAGAAGGAGGAAGAGGAAGTTAAACCAGACCCTCTGTCTCAGCTTATCACATGTCTCAGTCGGGCAGCAACCAAGGAGCAGCAGAGCAGTCTTCCAGAAGATCCTTTGTACATGTCCTATGCTGAAATCATGGCAAAGGTGAGTACCACCTTAAGGTTCAGTGGAATAGTTTCTAGTCAGACATCACGCTGCTTTCTGTATAGGCAAGTCTTATTTTTTTATTGTTTTAACAAATGCACCATCTCCAAAATGATAATTGTGTATAAAATATGAAAGTTGATAGTGATAAGAAATCAGCTGAATGTTTAAAGAAACCAATGGTTTACTATTGTAATAAGTATGTATCATGACTTGTTACAAGTCAATAATGGTTGAGATGTAGCTCTAAGTATGTTTCTTTTCATTTCTTAACTGAACTTTCAGGAGAAATATAATTTAAATATGTTAATATATAGATGAATGAATGTAATCCTTTTAATGACCAACGTTTATTTTGGGGGAAAAATCCTCAAAATACAATACCTGGTCTTAGATCATGAGAGACACAAAACACACTTGACATTTTGTTTACCTAAATTTTGGAACAAATTTTTGTGAGACATTGTGTTACCTTAATTACATGTAAATCTTTGTAATATGAAAATATATATGTTTAATATATGTGTTTATTACTGAGTGGTATGCTTTTGTTCACAGAGCTGCAGTGGTGAAGATGAGGATGATGACGATGATGGTGGGGAGGACGAGGGTCCAGGACCGTCCTTCGAGGTGAGATATCTCGTGGTCACCTGCTTCCTACACTCATACATCTAGATCTATCTAACCACAGCGCTTACAGGCTCACTTAAACATTCCAGCAGTCACTATTTGTTTAGTACATGTACTTTGCAGTGTCCACAACAATCATAGCTTGCTGTTTAATGACATGATCTCCTTTAAATATGTTAATTATTCACATTTTAACAATTAAAACCAATTCAACATTGTCTTCCTGACAAAATCAGCATGTCAATGAGTATCTAAATCACTTAAATGTTAATGAAAATGAAAATGTTACAATGTTAGCAGCTGTTTTAGAGGATGAACATTACTAATGTAATGTAGTCTTTAATACTAGTGTTTTTTCATACCAAATTATTAACATTCTTTATCTTAGTATGTAGGAGTTTCATTAAAGGGGTGGTGGGTGTTCTGTTTTTAAGTGTGACCAAGTACTTGATCAGATAATATATCTGGTGTTTTCTGTAACACATTTGGGTTAACTGAAGGATTGTGACCACTAATGTATGTATGTGTATACGTAATCAGATTTTTGACCTAGTAATTATGACAAACTTTAGTACATGTATGATAAAACTATCACAAAGCACCTTTAAAATACCAGTTCGCTCCTTCCCCTAAACTTCGAATACTGAATTGTTAATATCAATGTGTATAATACTCATTATAATGTATGGATTACATTTTATAAGACAGGGGAGGTGGGTTAGGCAAGTGGTTGCAGGGTTTGCTTGTCACATTATAGACCAGGGTTCACTTCTCTGTTTTTGCTGATAGCCTGCTGTTGTTTGACTGGAAGATTGCTAAACAGGGTGTAAAGGCTTCCTTGTTCACTCACTTAGTGTAAGCACACAGTGCCTTCTAAATCAACTAGAATGATGGATAGTACACATGCTCATATTAATCACTAAGTTTAAATACTTTAATGATAATCAAGTTTTCTTTAAAAATATTTTTTTAGAAGAGTCTTTTTAAACATATTACCTGACATTACAATAATAGATGGTATAAGGTGTGATTAGCTTGAAATAATCTTCGGACTGTTTTCTTGCTGGGTCACTTCAGGCAACTAAAAACATTTTTGTTCACATGTGTGGGCTTTGCTTTGACAAACCTTGTAATGCAGAGATTTGTGAGATGAATTAATATTTACACCTATATTTTCACCATCTAACCCATATCTCTCTGTTACAAGCATTTTTAAATATTTCTTTGATGAAGTAACGCTTTTAAGTATTGCATTGCATTTCCATTCAGCAAGGTCCATGCTTTATGTGGAACTCTCTGGTGCTTTTAATCATCAACAACACTGCATCTGCATATATAACAGCTGTAGACGATTGTAAGGTCTCAAATATGATTTGAAAACCTCACAATGTTAAAGACTGCCATGGTACAAATCACCATCTTTATAGTTATGGTTGGACATTGTACACATAACTGATATTTTAAGTGAATCAGTGTGAATATTTGAGGGAAATACTCAATGCGAATATTTGAGAAAAATACTCAAAGTGAATCAATGTGAATATTTGAGTATATTTGATTTTGCTGTTTGCATCAGATCAAACTGGATTTGTTAAAGGTACTACTAGCTCTGCTGCAATTCAGATGTAATGTTAACTGTTGTTCCTGTTCAATATTTGTGGTAGAAGACACTTTCACTTTGTAGAAACCTAGAGACTGTTAGTGCTCTTATCAGATCAAGCTGTGTTAAATCAGTTTCTGGCTGTGTGGTAATGTTTTTCAGTTGTTTGAAATGCAAGACAAAATAGCTGTAATATCTTCATAGTCATTCATTTAATGGTATCTTTACATGTTTTGGTAAATTTAACAAAATAGGCAAGAATGTAAAAACTATGTACAAATGTCCTGATACAGAATTGTCTTAATTTTCCATTTAAATCTGTATTATTTTTTAAATCGAGATGTTGTTATACTGACTAAATGTTGATCGAAGAAAATGATTTTAAAAATTTGACAAATTATCAGGTGAGTTAGGAATTCGATATGACTTTCCTGTGTGCCCATTTATAATGTGCCCTATCCTGTGTGCCCACACATAATGTGCCCTGCCCACAATATACTCACAGCTTCATGATAATCTGCCGCCAGCCGTATCCTCGCACCACGTCCCTCTCCACCCCTGTATAGTGCTGTAGTTCCTAGATAGCCCTTAGATCTGTCTGTGGTGGATTGTATTGTGCTATATAGACGTAACCTGTACTGCACTCATATATACACTGGCGTCATATATCATACACACCTTCATAGTTTAGACATATACAGTGCTGTAGTCAAAACAGATGTTATTTAGTAAGAAAATTGTATTTTTAAATGAACAAATATTTTTATCTTAATTCCATGTTTTTATATATATTTAATTTTATGAATTAAATACATTTCCTTTTGACTTTTGTTGAAAATGGTTGCACTTTATTAACTTGCTAAAGGTATTATGTAAATATATGCACATGTATTTTATATTCTCTTGATACTGGTTTAATAATTTTCACCTTTTCTATATGGACATATTTTAACAGTCACTGCCTTATATTTTTTAAATATTTTTTTTTATGTCATTGAATTTTGTAAAATGACAATGTAATGTTTCTGTAGATTTTCTTTGTAATAGCACTATCACAGTTGTTAAAAAATCTTTCCTTGTCACTTTCATTATTGTCAATATGTCTTTCTGTTCGATCTATACTGGGAAATATATTTATGAAATCTATCCAAATATGATTTCAAATACCTTTAAGTTTTCAGACTTAAGTGTTTGAAAAATATTTTGATATGTTTACAACTGTAATTATATGGAACGAAATCAAAATAAAAAACAATTAGATATTAAAGAATGATATTGTAAAAAAAATGTACATTTGTATGTTGTAAAACAGATATACAGAAACTATATTCCTAGAAATAGTTTTGCGAAGATGACTTCATATAAAGTATCATCAGTAGATGTTAGAATGAAAATGTGAAATATATATCATTTCTATCATCATCATCATCATCAACACCTTGTACTTTGATTTGGCACCGAGTAGTGAATGCCAATGAGTCAAGTTGCACTGGAAGGTGTATCCCGGTAGTACCTAGCCACTAGTGAATGCCGTAGTCCATATTCTGCATGGTCACAAGTTGGGGAATTGTCCCGAGTTCTTTCTCGTGACGACGATGAAGATGCATCTCCTCCTGTCTAAACGTGTGTCCTGTTGTGTGGATTTAGGAGCAGGAGATGGAGAAGCAGAAGTTGTTGTCGGAACAGTCGCGGCTGGCTGACCGTGGTGCTGCCGAGATGGTGCTTCTGTATATGGACGCCAGCAGAGGTAGGCCCTGATTTCAGCCATTGTGGTTGGCAGTATATTGCTTCTGTATATGGGTGCCAGCAGAGGTAGGCCCTGATGTCAGCCATTGTGGTTGGCAGTATTTTTCTCATACAGGGATTAAGATTAAGACAGAATATATTCCTATTCTATCCATTATTTCTAAAACCCAACAGGGGCGGTGGGGTAGCCTAATGGTTAAAACGTTGGCTCGTCACGCCAAAGACCCGGGTTCGAATCCCCACATGGGTACAATGTGTGAAGCCCATTTCTGGTGTCCCCCGCCGTGATGTTGCTGGAGTATTGCTAAAAGCGGAGTAAAGCCAAACTCAGTCAGTCAGTCTAAAACCCAACACATTTTGTCATGAAATATAGTAAACCATTTCATCATTTTTGTGTAAATTAATACCTTAAAAGGAATAAAGTAAAAGATATATACTGAATATTAGAAACGCACCACACTAAATGCAACGACGATGCTCAGATATCATGGGTACATTTCAGTCTGATTCAGTATTTCAGTATATTTGGTAAGAGCTGGTTCACATCATCGAATAAGGTTGAAGTTCATGTTAGAATGATATGTGCACAGCTAAATGTCTCTATAAGTTTAGTGGTCACAGCTAAATGTCTCTATAAGTTTTAGTGGTCATCGCTGAATGTCTCTATAGTTTTTATTGGTCAACTAACTAGACCTTCCTGTTCTTCTAGGTGAACTTGGGCCAATGGTGACCAATACCATTGAACTTGGCATCTCACTACTTAGGGGTGGTAATGTGGATGTGCAAAAGGTGAGTTGTGTCACAGCTGATGGTTTCAGTATGGGGATCCTGGTGGCAGGTTCATCTTAGAATTAGTCCCCAGTAACCTATGCTTGTGAGTTAATGGTTTGGGTGGTCAGACTTGGGGACTCCGTTCAGAATAACAATCACTGGTTTATCTGGTCCAGACTTGTTAGATACAGGCCTTCATCAGATTGATAGCTTGAATACTGCTGAATTCTAATAATGACAGTTGAGTATGAAAGACTGGGTATTCTATTGAGACATGATATATGACAATGGTGTTTTTTTTATTTAGTTAGTCTTTAAATCAGTAAAGATATTTGGGACTCTCCAGCCACACATCCTTTTCTTTTCTGAACAAGAAATTTTGGAAATGAGAATTATTTTAAAATATATTTTTTCTTTTCAGAAAATGTTGCAACATTTGAAGGATAAGAAAGATGTGGCCTTCTTTACCTCAGTGGCTGGTTTGATGCAGCAGTGCAGGTGAGTAGCACTTCATCCGTGTCTTTTACAAGTGCTCATGATATCACTCACTAGTCGAGCTGTTAGGCAAGTACAGTCAGGCACTGTTATGTCAGGCTTAGGGTTGTCTCATAGTAAAAGCTAAGTACCTGTGTATTCCTTGTGTTGTCATCAGCTGGTTTGACTACTGATTAGTCAAGACATGGTGGGGTAGTCTAGTGGTTAATGTGTTCACTTGTCACGCCGAAGACCTGGGTTCGATTCCCAACATGGGTACAATGTGTGAAGCCCATTTCTGGTGTCCCTTGCCGTGATATTACTAGAATATTGCTATAAGTGGCGTAAAACCAAACTTGCTCGCTCTTAAGATTATGCATTTACCTTTTTAATTATATAAGAATAATATCTCTGTTGTTTGAGATTGAAGAATGATATTTTCATTTGAAATACCAGAATGTAATTTTGAGTTCCCATGCTTGCAACATGTCACTGATGAAAAATAAATAATATATGCGTGTCATGAAAGTCTTCCTTTAAATTCCTCTTTCCATCTATCATCTTACCGCCATTTTCAGTGTTCTTGACCTGGATGCCTTTGAACGTACCAACAAGGCTGAGGGACTCGGAATGAGCACAGACGCAGCTGCAGCAGACAAGAACGCTGCTGAATTTACCTGCAAGTTGTTCCGCTTCCTGCAACTGATGTGTGAAGGTCATAACCTGGAGTTCCAGAACTACCTGCGCACCCAGGCCGGCAACACCACCACTGTCAACATCATCATCTGTACAGTTGACTACCTGCTCAGACTCCAAGTAAGTAGGGCTTCTTCAAAGACTCCAAGTGAAGTGGTGGGAGGGCAGATGATTGGGCCCTTGTTCTTCTGTAAGGATTTCTGAATGACCAAGTGAGATTGTGGTGGGAGGTGATTGTTTGAGGAGATAAGCAGATGATTGGGTCCTTGTCATCATCATCATCTTTAAAGTTGCCTTCTCCCTCAGACTCAAGGTCAGTGGGGCATGGATACTTCAGATCAGATGTCACCTAAACAACTAGGCTTTAGTATTGTAAATATTTGAATCCTAAATATTTATGACATATATTTGTTATAGGTTCAGGTGTTTGGATGAAAGGTTAAATGCAGTTCATTTTGGTTAGGAAGTCTTTTGATGCATTATGTACAGAATTAATTTCAATATCTGGAATATATTTTGTCATTTGGTTTGGTATTGTGAAAAGGTATTGTGTATTTGGTTTACCATTTAGTATCATCTCACCACCAAAAGTAAACAAGGCCAAAGGTAAACATAGATGTCACATGGCAACAAGCTTGATGATTACCTCTGTTGGCTTCAGGAATCCATCATGGACTTCTACTGGCACTACTCAGGGAAGGATGTCATCGATGTGGCTGGCAAGGAGAACTTCTGTCGCGCCATCATGGTTGCCAAGCAGGTCTTCTGTACACTGTCTGAATACATTCAGGTGAGACATGATGAGACATACAGGTGAGACATGATGAGACATACAGGTGAGACACTTGTAGACAATGCAGGTGAGACATGACTTGACAATGAGACAGTCAGGTGTGACATTACCATACAATGAGACAGGTGAGACATGGCGAGACATACAGGTGAGACACAATAAGACAATTCAGGTGAGTCATGACTTGACAATGAGACAGTCAGGTGTGGCATTACCATACAATGAGACAGGTGAGACATGGCGAGACATACAGGTGAGACACAATAAGACAATTCAGGTGAGTCATGACTTGACAATGAGACAGTCAGGTGTGACATTACCATAAAATGAGACAGGGAAGACATGGTGAGACATACAGGTGAGACACAATAAGACAATTCAGGTGAGTCACAACTAGACAATGAGACATTCAGGTGTGACATTACCATACAATGAGACAGGTGAGACATGGCGAGACATACAGGTGAGACACAATAAGACAATTCAGGTGAGTCATGACTAGACAATGAGACAGTCAGGTGTGACATTACCATACAATGAGACAGGTGAGACATGGCGAGACATACAGGTGAGACACAATAAGACAATTCAGGTGAGTCATGACTTGACAATGAGACAGTCAGGTGTGACATTACCATACAATGAGACAGGTGAGACATGGCGAGACATACAGGTGAGACACAATAAGACAATTCAGGTGAGTCACAACTAGACAATGAGACATTCAGGTGTGGCATTACCATACAATGAGACAGGTGAGACATGGCGAGACATACAGGTGAGACACAATAAGACAATTCAAGTGAGACAGGACTTGACAATGAGACATTCAGGTGTGGCATTACCATCAAATGAGACAGGGAAGACGTGGCGAGACATACAGGTGAGACATGACTTGACCATGAGACAGTCAGGTGTGGCATTACCATAAAATGAGACAGGGAAGACGTGGCGAGACATACAGGTGAGACACAATAAGACAGTTTAGGTGAGTCACAACTTGACAATGAGACAGTCAGGTTGGACACTACATAGAGGCAGGTGAGACATGATGACACTTTAATGTGTGAAACGTGACCAGACACAGGTAACCAGGTTATAAGATGATGATAAAACAATATCATAACATTTGATAAATCTGTTAAATTAGAATATCTGTAGGTAACACATACTTCTTTTGTGCTCCTAATACATGTGGATAATGTGCTGTTATTCTTGTTCCAGGGTCCTTGCTCTTTGAACCAGCTGGCTCTAGCTCACAGTAGGCTGTGGGATGCTGTTGGAGGCTTCCTCTACATCTTCTCCCACATGCAGGACAAACTCTCAAAGGTGGGTGATGTTTGTTGTGGACAAGTTTGATACTGACAGCTGTGTATACATGCAGGGACATGGTTCACAATGGCTGTATTCCTTGTGTTCCAGGACCCCGATCAGCTGGACCTGTTGAGGGAGTTCATGAAGCTGCAGAAGGAAATGATGATCATGTTGCTGTCCATGTTGGAAGGTGGGTTGTGGGAGGACCTGGTTCAGTTTGGGAAGTGGGTGGACCTTGTGTGTTTGGGAAGTGGGTGGGCCTTGTGTAGTGGGGAAGTGGGTGGGTCTGGGGAAGTGGGTGGACCTATTTGTATTGGGGAAGTGGGTAGACCTTGTGTAGTGGGGAAGTGGGTGGACCTTGTGTAGTGGGGAAGTGGGTGGACCTTGTGTAGTGGGTGGACCTTGTGTGTTGGGGAAGTGGGTTGGTCTGGGGCAGTGGGTGGACCTATTTGTATTAGGGAAGTGGGTGGACCTTGTGTAGTGGGGAAGTGGGTGGACCTTGTGTAGTGGGGAAGTGGGTGGACCTTGTGTAGTGGGTGGACCTTGTGTGTTGGGGAAGTGGGTTGGTCTGGGGCAGTGGGTGGTCTGGTGTAGTGGGAACTAGGTGGTCATGTGGGAGTGGATGGGTCTGGTGTATCTGGGAATGGGTGGGCCTGGTGTAATGAGGGAATGTGTAGTAGTAGGTGAAGGATGGGCTTGGTGAAGAGGAAATAAGTAAGAATAATGTAGTTAGGGAGTGGATGGGCCTGGTAGATTGGAGAATATTGACAGTAGTGGGTGACCTAGCCAACAGGAACACTACAAGCCAGTCGGTCATTTCCTGATGAATGTATGTATGTTGTGTTATTATGTTGTTAATCAAAAGGAGAGATACAGAACTACATTAGGGGGTGGGCTTCCTCAGTTATGTGGCATCAGAAATGGAACCATGCCACCTCAAGCGGTAACTGGCATCTTCAGCATCTCATCTAGCCATTGTACGATTCAAACACATACCAGAAGTTTACAGAACATTCATAATTATCCATTTTCATCATCAGGAGGGTCTGGATTTCATTCAAGTTCCAACTTTACTGGTTGTAACTTCCATTTCAAGTAAATGAGGCTGCCATTTTGAAACACCAAGGGACATGACCACAAGTAGAATATTTTGGATGGATGCCGAGACAACTCTCAGCATGTAGAAAATCAGGGATTTACAAGCTGATGATATATAGATGGAACATTGCTGATTGCTGACACTTATGTAAAGCTAGTCTGTGCTGGATGTCCTAGGTTGACAGTACTAGTCTACTCCTTGTTTTTAAAAGTTTACATGGTCTAGCTCCTCAGTACCTCTGTGATCTGTTCCACCGTTATACTGCTGTACGTTCTCTCCGATCAAATGACCAGTGTCTTTTGACAATTCCTGTGACTAGGACAAAAACATATGGTGACAGGTCACTTGAGACGGCTGGCCCTCATCTCTGGAACAATCTTCCATCTCACCTCAGAACACAACCAGATTTAGCTGTTTTTAAATCAAATCTGAAGACATGTCTCTTTGGTGAAGCATTTGAACTATATGTGATATCTTGACCGTCTTAGAGCCAGAGCGCCTTTGAGCGGATTACGGATATTGGCGCTATATAAGTATTTGTATGTATGTATGTATGTATGTATGTATGTATGTATGTATGTATGTATGTATGTATATGTATGTATATTGCTTCTCTCATTCTAGGCAATGTGATGAATGGACCAATTGGAAAACAGATGGTTGACACTCTGGTGGAGTCATCCAGCAATGTGGAGGTAAGTGTTATGACTCCTGGTAGTTGCACATTGATGTGTGGTCCACTGTGTCAGGTACGGGCTTGTCTTGGTTACTCAAGTTACTAATCTACTGTTACATGTTTTCCACAGATGATTCTCAAGTTCTTCGACATATTCCTCAAGATGAAGGACCTGACCACTTCTGAAGCATTCTTGGTGAGAACATCCATCTTTCTATCTTATACTTCACCATTGTAGAAGAAACTGTCACAAAACACAATAACACTGAAAAAAACTGTCAAATATATGAAAAATGACCTAATAATGAAATAAATTAAATCAAAATATTCCTCTTCTATTTTTGGTTTGTCATATACAGTGCAAATTCCCATGAATTGTCTTTTGAAGATTTTAAATTTTGATAAAAAATGTCATTCATTTAAGCATTGATATTTCAGTTGTAATGTAAAATGTCTATTCTACCTGATCATGTTTTCATAAACATGCCTTTTGAAATATTTTTGTTCATGATATATGCTTTATTTAATGCAACATGAAGGAATTTGATACAAATCATGATGGGTACATATCTGCCAAAGAGTTTCGGAAAGCCATGGACAGTCAGAAAGCATACACGCGGTTTGTACACCTTTTGACATGGAGTTCCTTCACAGACCAGCCAGAGCTACATCAAGTGTAGATGTTACCTGCAGCACAGACAAGACTTGAAAGTCAACATACACAATGCATCCCTTGTAACACTTTCACAAGCATTGGATAGATGAGAGGTTAAAGTGTTAGCTCTTCCCACTAAAGACCTTGGTTTGATTCCCAATGTGGTGTAGTAGTATGGGATTCATTTTGTCTGTCTCATGACATGAAATGGTTTGAATATTGCTAAGATATTGCTAATATCCCTAAAATATTCAAGCAGATATTGCCTCAAGTTAAATTTATTTATTTGTAAAAATATTCTTTTATACAAAATTAATTTGGCTCTTTATTTCAAAGAAAAACAATGTCTTGAAGTAAACACAAGAAATTTGGACCTGATCAAAATTCCCAGCCCTCATCCCAATAAGAAAATGGCATCTTTCCATTCTGTTTGAAAATTGTAGAAGATGGTACATAAGGGTGCTGTGTATCATTGGAGGTATTATTACTGCTGCTGACAGCTCCACTTGCTACACTGTGGCTGGTCTGTGGTTATTTATCTACAGTACAATGTACATGTTTCTGTCTATAGGAGTTTGATACCAACAATGATGGTTGGATATCACATAAAGAGTTCCGTCGTGCTCTTGAAGCCCAAAAGTTCTACTCGGAGTAAGTGGGCATGAGTGTTGGGTTCCACGAGTGATGTTACATTATCCCATGAGTGACGTTACATCATCCCTTATGTTTCATAATCTTCCCTTCATTTGCTAGTCTAGAGGCATTAAAAACATCAAGAAAACCTGTGGCGTTGACATGACCAATGTTTTCCATGTTTGCTGTGAGTCACACCCTGTTTATCTGTATACACCTAGAATAATGTTAAGCAACACTGTGATATATTTCCATATAAAAATATAATTAATTTTGGGAAATCATATCATTTTAATATTTTGTGACAAAACACATATATTCTTGTTCAGACAACTCATATTACATACAACTGAAATGGATTAACTACTGACATGTTTTGCAACCGCTCCTTCCTAATAATAATAATAATAATAATAATAATACTTTATTCGCCCGAAAGGGAATTTGTTGTACATCAGCTGCTGTGATACATAGAGCAATATATAGTACATGTAACAGTATGAGAATCACCAAAACAACACAGTATTCCCACAAGGGGACTATGATGTGACACACATAACAAGTAATACATTCAACCACATCATTGCAATGATAACTGGTATAGACAAATGTACAGTTGGGTAAAGGAATGGTATGTTATGTGATGTATAATTTACATTAAAAGAATAAAAAAAATTAGCACTCTAAACAGGTTATGGAAGAAGAGCGAATAAAATAATAATGAGGTAAATGCCTGATGCAGAAGCTACACATTTAAAATACAAAAAATAATAAATCAACCGGGTGTAAGATGTGAGGTTCACGTATGAGAATAAAACCGATAAAAATTTAATGTAAATATACTGGTTTAAAATAGCGATGCTGGTTGGAATAAATGATTTGATGCCCTGTTAGTTCTGAAAAGTGGAGTTTGGAAGCGGCATCCGGAAGGTAAAAGTTTATATTCATTATGAAGAAAATGCTCGGAATCGGAATCAATTTTGGAAGCTAGCTTTTCAACATGTCGCGGGCCTAAGAGAGTTAGATTTTCCAAAGAGACTCCTGATAATATGCTGGTTTGATTGATGATTTTGGACAATTTGTTTTTATTTTGTAGTGAAAGGAACCCAAACCAGCTTTGTATGCTAAAACAAGAATGCTTTGAATAAACGTTTTGTGATATAAAACAAGTGTGAAAGAATTGACATTAAAAGAGTTGAGTTTCTGTCAAAAGTACAGTCTTTGTTGGCATTTTTTTTAGATTCTGTCGGTGTTCGCAGTAAAACTAAGCTTTTCATCAATGATGGTGCCGAGATATTTGTATTCGGGAACAACTTCGATGCTGCAATTTTCAATCAGAACAGGTCTATACGTAGGTTTCTTCATTCTAAAGTCTATAATCCTTACAGCTACTTGACTAGCCTTTCACGTGTATTAGCAGCAGCTTTGCATAAAATTCTAGGATGCATTACGCTTTTCTTGACCGAACTGCAGTGGAAAGAAGTATCAGAAGTATCCTCAACATTTTTCAAAAAGAGATCAATTTCATGTGAGGATATTTCCAAAATATTCATGGAAATAAATACATTTACCACATCCATAAGGAATCTCTGGATATGTAAAATATATAGGTGGTGCTTAACTTGTTTCCACGTGTGTAGATCCAGTTTGAGACTATGTTTCTACTGATGATCCAGAATGTTCTTGCAGTCCACATTAGTGAAGTGTAATGCACTACTGAGTTTCTATGTTATATAATGCTGCTTTGATTGACATACAGATAATGCTGTATGAATTCCCAGGGAGTATGTCACCGCTTTGTGTTACCTACAATCTATCATAGTTTTTATCGTATTAAGAGCTACCCAGTGGTGTTAGAATAAGTATCCTGCAATCTGTATTTGCAGAGACAACTGAATTGATCAGAGGGTCAGACTGGTTTCTTAGGTTGATTGCGTCATCATTCCAGCATGGGTCGTTTCTCATAATTTCAGTCACAGATTGTCGTCATATGAGCGAAATATTCTCAAGCACGACGATAAACCCAATTTCACCTCACCTTCAGTCACAGATTAGTCTGCTGAAAAGTCTTTGAGTTACTCTACCACCATGTGGCTGGAATATGTTGCAAGTGGTGTTAAAACCAACAAACAAACCCTTTACTTACAAATGAATGTATTTTGGTCAGTCAGCAAGGAAAAACAGAATGCACTGGATGGAATGAGCTTGTGAGAAGCATTCTTAGTTGCTTCCATTATGTGTATACCACATGCTGAGTAGTTAAGGGTGGTTGGGTTGCTTAGTGGTTAAAAGCATAGGCTCATCCTGCCATAAACATGAGTTTGATTCCACACCAACCTATATTATCCTGTGGACTATATCTCCATACTATTAACATAAATATCTTGGATGCATTTTCTACCATCACCAGGAGTTGAATGACTCAGTCCTAATAACAGACATCCAATCATATCAATCAGGTGCAAGAGAGCTCCAGTGCTGAGTTTATGACAGGAGGGATTGAGATGTTCACAAAGCTAGGGTGGCAAACAGGTCCAGAATATATATAGCAACAGAATAATGATATAAGTAACTGGATAACAAAATGATTCCTTATGGGGATATTATGTTAAGCCTATTAGGGTGCAGAATGTTTCATTCTTAAGAGGTATAGATCTCATCTCACTCAATATCTAATGTAATATACCACTTATACATGATTGGAAGCCAGTTAATCCCTTAACAATATACTGACTGTAAACTTTTTTATAAGCTGATTCTTTTTTTCCGTTTCTTTTTTTCCTGATTCTTTTTTTCCTACAATCATGTGTGGCATCTGAAGAGAAAAATTGTTCCACGTTCTACTTGGTTTGAAATCCATTTAAACTCTTTTGCCCTAGTAAATGATTCATCTGTTTTCAGACCAAATCACAAAAATACTTATGGAAGTTGAGGCTGTGTAATGCATGAAACAAAATTGTTTTGAGCTGAGTTGTATTCCGCTGTTCTGGCTGATATTTATTGTTTAGTTTTGAGATGATAACGTTGCTGATTGATGGACGTGTATGTTATGTACTTTTACAGAATTACAGGGTTGAATTTTTGCATGATATTGACCCGTCAAACAGGCTCTAACTTGTATGTACTCATGGCGAATAACCATCCATTATTGCAGGCTGATCTGTCGCTTTAAGTCATCATAACAATAAGCTGTGAAGTGTTTTTAGAGTTTTAATGTGGTTTATTTATCATTTTATATGTGAGGGGTATTCAGCTGCATGATAATATTTTCGTTATAGTTATTTTGGGCTTGCAGTGCTGAAATCTTATCATGGGATGGTGCCTTTTTAAACTAATGCCCCATTAGATATTGAACTTGACCAAGTGTTATTTTCGATGTTGCTCTATTACCAGGGAGGAGATCGAGTACATCATGATGTGCGTTGACGCCAACCATGATGGCAAGGTGGACTTCCACGAGTTCACGGACAGGTTCCACAACCCCGCCAAGGACATCGGCTTCACCATGGCAGTCCTCCTCACCAACTTGTCAGAACACATGCCCAATGAACCCAGGTCAGTATTGGATGCACACTGGTCACTGAGATAACCATGTTCTTCAATCTGATACTCATGTTTTTGCATTATAACCACTGCCACTACTTTAGAGCTTTGAAAGCCTCACTACTTTAAGCCTTGAAAGCCTCACTATGTTAGAGCTTTGAAGCCTCACTACTTTAGAGCTTTGAAAGCCCCACTACTTTAAGCTTTGAAAGCCCCACTACTTTAGAGCTTTGGAGCCTCACTACTTTAGAGCTTTGGAGCCTCACTACTTTAGAGCTTTGAAAGCCCCACTACTTTAAGCTTTGAAAGCCTCACTATGTTAGAGCTTTGAAGCCTCACTACTTTAGAGCTTTGAAAGCCCCACTATGTTAGAGCTTTGAAGCCTCACTACTTTAGAGCTTTGAAAGCCCCACACTCACCATGTTAGAGCTTTGAAGCCTCACTACTTTAAGCTTTGAAAGCCTCACTATGATAGAGCTTTGAAGCCTCACCACTTTAGCTTTGAAAGCCCCACTTTTGCTTTGAAGCCCCACTACTTTAGAGCTTTGAAAGCCCCACTACTTTGAAGCTTTGAAAGCCTCACTACTGTTAGAGCTTTGAAAGCCTCACTACTTTAGAGCCTCACTACTTTAGAGCATTGAAAGCCTCACTACTTTAAGCTTTGAAAGCCTCACTACTTTAGAGCATTGAAAGCCTCACTACTTTAGAGCTTTGAAGCCTCACTACTTTAGAGCTTTGAAAGCCCCACTACTTTAAGCTTTGAAAGCCCCACTACTGTTAGAGCTTTGAAAGCCTCACTACTTTAGAGCTTTGAAAGCCTCACTACTTTAGAGCATTGAAAGCCTCACTACTTTAAGCTTTGAAAGCCTCACTACTTTAGAGCATTGAAAGCCTCACTACTTTAGAGCTTTGGAGCCCCACTACTTTAGAGCTTTGAAAGCCCCACTACTTTAAGCTTTGAAAGCCTCACTATGTTAGAGCTTTGAAGCCTCACTACTTTAGAGCTTTGAAAGCCTCACTACTTTAGAGCTTTGAAAGCCCCACTTCTTTAGAGCTTTGAAAGCCCCACTACTTTAAGCTTTGAAAGCCCCACTACTTTAGAGCTTTGAAAGCCCCACTACTTTAAGCTTTGAAAGCCCCACTACTTTAAGCTGTGAAAGCTAGAGGATCACAGTTGTGTGGTTGCCATGATTTGCTGTGAAGAGTTGTGCTTCTATGGCCAGAACTCTGTTAGTCTGGGTTGAATCCCTTATTCGCCCTGGTTATTCTTGTTGGTTTGTATGCACCATACATCTGCTCATGGGTTTCACCAAAGCTTTAATGCCTTAGGGGTTGCAACACTTTGGGCTGCCTTACTCATTGAGATTGAGATGTCTTGATGTAATGGATACTGTTCAAAGAGATGTTCAGCCAGACACTCATGTTTTATCGAGACATACCTGACTTAGATGTGATTTAAATATGGAAACTATATGCAACAAATTGTTTCCACCCCAGACTTGAGCGTATGCTGGAGAAGGCTCGCAGCGTGCTGGACTACTTCAAACCCTACCTGGGCAGGATCGAGATCATGGGCAGCGCCAACAGGATAGAGAGAGTGTACTTCGAGATCAAACAGTCTCATATCGACCAGTGGGAGAAGCCCCAGATCAAGGTACTGCTCAGACACACAGGCTCATTTACAACACATGCATGCCCAGTTAACTCTTACTGGATCATTACTTTTGTAAAAAAATTATCACAAATCAACGGATCCTATTTTTCAAAATTGACACGTCAATCACAATTTGGACTTTGCTATGGTAGAAGCTGTGGTCCTGCATAATGGTGTAAGGTGGATTTGTGAAAATCGTTGACCTTATAACTTTGAAAACGTTGAGTAGATAACTATGTGCATTTCCTGGGTCCCTTTAGTTACTTGAGACCGCCTCCGTGGTGTAGTGGTTAGAGCATCCGCCTCCGTGGTGTAGTGGCTAGAGCATCCGCCTCCTTGGTGTAGTGGTTAGAGCATCACCTCACCTCACCTTTAGTTACTTAAGATTGCCTCCGTGGTGTAGTGGTTAGAGCATCCGCCTGGAGAGGGGAAGGTCGTGGGGTTGATCCCCGACCGCGTCATACCAAAAGACGTTAAAATATGGTACTTGTTGGTCCCAGCCTGGCTCTTGGCACTAATGGGTACAACAAGGACTGGTCAGCTCGGAGTCAGTATAATGTGTCTGAGTGGGGTATTCATGCTTCACTGGGGCATGGTATCTCAGTGAGCTAGCACTATAAAACCAGCTTAAGTCTGGGCTAGTACAAGCAGCCCCACATACACATACACATGCATACACGTCGTCATATGAGCGAAGTATTCTCAAGCACGACGTTAAACCCAGTTTCACCTCACCTCACCTTTAGTTACTTGAGACAGAACATTGATGTCTTAATGATCTGGTGCTGGGTGGCAGGCAAGTTATTATTTACATCCATGTCCATGATAATCATTTGCCAGTATTTCTGATTTCTGTAAATAATAACTGTTAGAAAGATATTGATCAAGGTTGAAATGTTCTTCAGCAACCAATACTTGTAGTGAGAAGTGACTGACAGGATCAGGTGTTAAGGTTCGCTAACTTGCTTGATGCTTGTACTTTACACAAGAATTCCCTCACGGGTAATAAAGTATTGTCATTGTCATTGTCATTGTCATCATATGCCAAGTGCTAAGATTTATGCTCATGATGTCAGTCATCAGGAAAGTTTGTTCAGTTAAATGCTTTGACTATGCTCTTTGAGTTGAAACTGAAATGACGGGATAGTTTATAGAAAATTAGATAAAATCAAATTGGCCACATTGGTGGATAGTATTGATCCTTCTGTTGCTGGGTCATGTCTGTGACCTATTTGATTCGGACAAGGACATTTGGGTAGTTCTTTTAAATGATGTGAGAGTGTTAAATGTATGTTTTGTGTTTCAGGAGTCCAAGCGATCCTTCCTGCACAGTGTAGTTAATGAGGGAGGTGACAAAGAGAAGCTGGAGAGCTTCGTCAACTTCTGTGAAGACACCATCTTTGAGGTGGGTTATATGGTGTTGTATTGGTAGATTTGAGAAATGATGTTAAGGGTAGATTATTGTTAGTAGATTTTGAAAGCGATGTAAGAGTATACCATTAAAGACTGAGTTCTGTTTCTTTTGAAGCGTTTTAGAAAAGGTGTTCATACCAAGGTTTATCAAGCAAATTATCAACAATTGGTAGAACATAGTTGATTATCTAAGATCACATAGACACACAAATTTACCACACAACAGCCAAGTTTAGACATATTATGATACTACACCATCTTTGAAATATTGGACAAGTTGGATGGAGAAAGAGATTTGGTACATCAACTGAATACCGGATACCTACCAGCCATATTGTTTAGTGTCATGTCATCCTAACCCTAACCCTAACCCTAACCCTAACCCTAACCTTACCTTAACCCTAACCCTAAGTAAACTCGCGTGCTTTCAAAGATGGCGGAAGGTATCTGGTATTCTGTAGTCTTACCAGAGATTTGACCAAAGATTGAGTTTAGGACCCTCTGTTTGGTGTAAGTCTGAGGTGAGTATTGACTGACGGTATGTTTGTGTATCTAACAGATGCAACACGCCACCAGCATCAGCGCAGAAGAGCAGAGACTGGCAGCCATGAGGAGTGGTGCTGGCATCTCAGGGGAGGGAGGGTAAGTCGTAATATACATTTACCCCAACCAAGGTGGACACCAGGAGTCGTGTAGGGTTCTGTATCCCACGGTTGTCGTATAACATGCACCAAATGTTGGGATCCCTGTAGTAGTCTGCAGCGATTGGTAACTACCAATTATTCCAGAAAGGGATCTTTTTGCTGTTGATGTTGCAACTTTATGTCGAGGTAGGAGAATTCTTAAATCCGTGACGAATGGAGTGGTTAAAGCGTTGGCTCGTCACGCCGAAGACCTGGGTTCGAATCCCCACATTTCTGGTGTCCCCCGCCATGATGTTGCTGGAATATCGCTAAAAGCGGCGTTAAGCCAAACACAGTCAGTCAGTCAGTCATACCGGTTACCGGGTCCCATTTGCCACAACAGCTTTGTTGTGAGTCTGATTTAAATTCAGATGCTAGAAATGGCCATCCAATCACATTACAGCAATGAATGAAATAAATTCCATGCTGCTGAGTTGGATGGAGACAATGGTGAAGTGTAGGGAATGGGTCCGGGGAGTTTATCATGACAAAGTGAAGATATAATTCCCTGCATTATAGAAGATGGTTTACTAAAGAATAATTAATCTAATTTACTATATTTGATACTCATTTGGCTTCGAATTTAATAATGAGCTTTTGTGGTATCAATTCATTGTGTATGTCCCATTAGTTAGATGTGTGTTAACAAACTCAGAAACACGTAACAATTCATTCCGTGGATCATTTTGATCCGTCATAGTTCATATGTGGATGGTGTGAATTATGTGGCAAAATAATCATCATTAAAACATAATTTTAGTATCAATGTGATTGTTAGCTTAGCTTATCATTTTGAATGGTGTGAGATACTAGTGACAAATAATATTGATCTGAAGTAATAATTGTAATGCTGTCAGCTTAGTGAGAGATAGTTTTTGTTTAGGCATGATTTGGTCATAGGCGTGTGTGTAAACGCTTTGCATTTTGTTGTCATTTGTGCCTTAAATTTTCAGTGAAGAGCAGCAACCTAAGAAAAAGAAAGGGTGTGGATTATCATTTATTTTCTCAGCATTAACACAATACTAATACGTACTGTTAACCCACAGTCCAACATTATCACATCGGGGATGTATTATTAACAAACATGGAATGAGTTCGTTAGAATGTTTCTCAAGGATGTTGAAGTGCATTCAAGGAAATGATGCCGACTGTAGCATGGAACCATCTTGAATACAGCCTCTCTTTGATTATCTGTATGAATGTTTATGTGAAGGTTGTGGTGGACAATGGTAAATGTCATAAGTGACCTGATTGTTATTCTCTCATGATGAGCTCATGTTGTGTGCATGGTTTCTGTCACAGGAGTGTACCGGTACTTCTATGACTCATGCTCCATGGACTTGTGTACCTTAACCCACACAATATCTCCTTGTCAGCACTTTTCAGGTTTATGTGCACTAGGTTCTGCCATCATCCATGATTGCATGTTTTAACCCACAAAACTTACCATTGTCTGGTTCCAATGAAAGCTCGATCATGTAATGTAGAGTCTGTCAAATCTGTTGATTCTACTTGAACTTGAGTGATTTATCTAACTGAGATCATGAGATGGTTGATATATATGATTTCTCTATTATTTGCCATAATGACCGAGATTTCCTCCAGTTTGAGTTGTTAAATGCATGTTCAGAATGGCTGTTGGTTTCATAGTATGATGTCATTGTTATGGTTTATCAAGGACATATATTATTTCTCATGAACATGTGCTACGATCAGGTTGCCATCTTAACATGTTAGGGTAGAGTGTGCACAATATTCATACAGAGAACGGTCTGTGTCAATCAATCCACTTCTCAGTGCAGAAAAGTTTTCTCAAATTTTACACACAAAAATAATCTTGTGCCATAAAAAAAAATATATTTTTCTGAGAGGAATCTTTTGTGTGTATTTATTTCACATTTAATATACTCCTGCCAATAATGGTTGTCACCCCCTTCCCCACCCCAACCCACACACACCTCACACCCCCTACCCACACCCCCTCTCCAATTAAAAAAATTCAAGTTGGTGACAACAATTATTGGCATGAGTATATGTTGTTGTTTTTTTCTAAAGATATAAATCAAATGCCTTTCTCTTCAGACTTTATATATTATTCATCACTATGAGAACACACATAGTTCTAATGTGTCCTGTGGAGGGGGATAGTGATGATGTTGTTATCTCATTACAGTTATGTGTCTCTACGATATTGCACATCAGGATTATAAAGGAAAGTAGTGTATACAAACAAATGAAGTATTGACAGTGCTCCTTATGCAGGCAGTACCATTTACCTAAATAATATGCTCATGGATACGAATAAGGGAACACATGAAAAGACAAGTGTTCCTTTATTCTTTTTCGGGTATGTATTCCACTGTGGATGAATTCTGGAAATAAATAAAGGAACACTTGTACTTTCATGTGTTCCCTTATTCGTTTCCATAATTATATTTCCCTTAGGGGGATTTCAGGACAGGTGTATATAGGACTGCATGGAATTACCAGTATACCTGTATATCACAATACGCTTTTCAAATGATACGTATTGTGACATTTTTTTCTGAGAACTGGTATACTGGGTAAGGAATATCTATGGAGTTTTTGTGATTATCTTTATGATAAAATATACACAGACTTCATTGACTATGCAACCTAATTTTGAGGTTATTGTTATCAGAACCATAACATATATTTTTAGGGACTTATAATGTAGAAATTAGGATTGGCATATACAATATATCACAATGCGTATCGCACAATACAGGTGCCAACGGCCCAACAGTGTGTGACTATACTGTGTCATCATGCCCTGACAGCATGCATCGTTACTCATACTATCAACCACTGGTTAGCCTGGGCCTACCTCCATTGTTTATTGACCACTGTGATATAGCATGACTATTGCTTGCAAGGGCATAAAACATTAACTATCCTAAAACAAGACAGATGATTAAAAAATCTTTGCTTTAACATTGCACATGTTATTTGGCTAACAACTAACATTTTGTTAAATAATAATGTTATTTCCTGATAACTAATCATTATAAATTCTTCAACCTATCAGCTCATAACAATATATATAATAAACAAAAAACATGTTTGTTTTGAGTATTTTCACAATCAAAATGAGGATTTTTCTATTTTTGTGAATTTTATGCTTAGGTATTCTTGATCCTTTCCATAGGAACATCGTTTTGAATGGATGTTCTTATGTTTAACTTCATTTTCATGTGTTGAGACTGCATGCTTATGCATATTGAAGATCACATCAAAAGCAAGTGACAATTTAAATAGTTTATTATAATTAAGACATCCATCTTCATTGCTTCGCTATTTCTACTAATTTGAAAGAGTTCAGAATAATACAATAGCTTTTAGCTTAGCTGCTGTTCTGTTTTTCACCATTTTGTTGTTGACTAAATATAGTGGGCATGGAACAGTTTATTAAACAGAGTATTGGGTTTTCATTCTTGTCAAAATATGTTTCAGATTTGGTGATTCTTTAATAGCTTGATATATCAGCCAAGCAACATCTGTTCTGTGGATTTTTTTGTTGGTTTTATGGAAATGTCTTTAAAATCCACTTCAGTTTTATAAATCCTAGTTTTATTAACATTTTGATGTTTTATTTTACAAAACACAATACTTTCATATTCTTCCTGTAAATGTAGCATCTTGTTGAAACACATGTCTGTATTGGATGCAGGTTTTACTGCTTGGTTCAATGAAGATTGAGCAAGAAAAACCCAACGTCTATTTCAAATAATTCTAATTGTATCATCAACATGTTTGATCAAGAATGAAAACCAAGGAGTTCCAAACAAAGTTTCTGAGGAATGATATGAATCTTACTGTAATGTACTACCTAATCTGTCCATAGGTTGTTGGAGCCTGTGATTCTGACATACCGCTTCCTACGGGAGTCTCTGGGAGCTCTCCTGTCCTTCTTGACCTGGTCCAACATGAAGAAGACCTACAAGACGGTGAAGGGCATGACCTACTGGCAGCTGTTTGTGGCATCCATCAAGCTCAGCTTCAAGACAGCCTTCATGTTGATCACCCTCTTCTTCCACATCTGCTGGTCAGTACTGGGCTTTGTGGATCTGAATTCTTTAAATTACATTTGTTGATGGTCATTTTGTGAAATAAAGAGGACAAGCATCATTGTTCTCCATGTCTGAAGTTGTAACGTAATGGTGCCAATTGTTACTTAATTTACTGGAATTTGCTGGACCTTGTCATGAACTAAGACTTAAAGATGCCCTCAAGAATTTGACTTGAAAAATGATGGTGCTTGTCATGACCTTGTCTTGAATGAAAATGTAACTGAACTTACTGTGACTTTATCTTTAACTGAAGTTTATTGGTGACCCCATGACCTTCACTTTAACTAAAACTTAAAAATGCCCACTGTGTCCTTGTCTTGGAACTGAATCTTATTGGTGCCTCCATGGCCTTCACTGAAACTATGCCAGACTGTATATTAGGACCCAACATGGACAAATACATAGAGTGAGCAGATCCTGACTCTTTTCTCCATGACTGATCACCATTTGATGTTACTGCAGGACACTGATGAAGTTCCTCATCAACCTGATGATGGGCGACCGCACTGTGGAAGATAGCAAGAAGCCCGAGGCTGAAACCACCATACCTCTTCCTGTTGGTCCTCTAGCACTAGCAGCTGCTGGGATACCGCCGGATGACACGAGGGAGCCCAACAAACAGGCTGCTCCAGCTACGGTTTCTGTCGACTCCAATCAGTGAGTACTTTTGTCCATGATCACATCTACTGTGTCCTGCTGTTTTGAGTACTGATGCAGTGTCTTGTGTATTATGAATGCCATGCCAAGCCATCTTGAACTGTACAGGATCATTTTGTTACATAGTAACCAGTGGATCTGTTTCTGGTCAGGAGAAGAGATTGGGAGTAGTTGTAAGCATCCATGTATAATGTGAGGCCATACAGTGAAGAGATACACTCTGTACAAATGCATTAAGGTTATGATGATGAATACTTCTTTACAGTGGGCGGTGGGGTGGCCTAATGGTTAAAGCATCTGCTCGTCACACTGGAGACCTGGGTTTGATTCCCCACATGGGTACAATGTGTGAAGCCCATTTCTGGTGTCCCCCACAATGATAGTGCAGGAATATTGCTAAAAGTGGCATAAAACCATACTCACACACTCTTTCTCACATCTTTACAGAAATATGAAGCTGGGAGACAAGCAGGCGACTGCAACAGCAGCAGGAGGAGCGACAATGGAGGCGACGATGCAGGAGGAAACCATGGAGATGATGCAGACAATGGAGGTACTTCTGAAGGGGAATGATGTAGAATGTTCAAACCTTTTCGTAAGAGGCGACTAAAGGGATCGGGTGGCCAGGCTCGCTGACTTGGTTGAAATATGTCATCGGTTCCCAATTGCGCAGATCATGCTGTTGATCACTGGATTTTCTGTTCCAGACTCGAATATTTACAGACCGCCGCCATATAGCTGGAATGTTGCTGAGTGCAGCGTAAAAGTAAACTCAATCATTCAAACCTTTTCAATTACTCTTGTAATATATATGTGTGTCTATAATAGGATTTGTATATTTGCTTTGTTTATTGTTCAGGGTTGAGGAGGAGGTGATTGTGTACAAGGAGCCGGAACCAGTTGTGGCACCACCCTCTCCAACACAGCCAGAAGCTACAAAGTGAGTTGTTTGTCCTACCAGTTCTGACATCCATTCTGGCCTTGCCTGTCATATATTGTCATCTTATTGGTCATAAGCTTGTGCAAGTATGATGTTAATTAATGCTATGAAATGGGAGTGGAACATCCATCATTCCTAATGCTGACTTAAAGCTATAGCTTGGACTCCATGTTGCTATTTGTTTTCAATGGGCCCATATTTCCAATACCTGTTCCACCACTGTACCTCCACGTATTGTCCTGAAGCTAAAGCTGCAACTGTTTGTCCTCAGCGGGCTCCCACCCAGCATGGAAGGAGAGAAGGAGATTCCCACAGAGGAGGATCCAGGAGCAGACAGTCAAGAGTTCGACTACACCAAATACATCCTTGTGAGTTACGCTAACCCTATGGAATACAAATCTCGGCAGTTTGCTAAACCAGGTTTAGTTTGTACATGGGTCTCAATCCAAGCCTGTTTCTAATTATGCACTGGAATAACTTTATCAACAGTTTTATAACAGTTCAATTACATTTTGTTTGTAAATATATATGTATATATATATATGATCGTACCTAGCCATAATGTCAAAAGAAATCTGTACACTAAGTGTTATTTAAAGAAATATATGATGCGGGTTTGAATCCCAGTTTGTTTGATTGTGTGTCGGTGTTCTGCTGGGCTCGTCAATGTGGTAAACGTCACAGATCCACATCCCTTCCCCTATAAGCTGACATTGCGTTATGGTTATTATGCTGTTATGTACTGGATTACAAAGCATAAGCCCCAGCTCACTGTCTCATATTGAATTCATGCTTTTTTGTATATTTCAGAGCTTGTTTGCCAGGAACTTTTACAACTTCAAGTACATCGCCCTTGCCCTTGCTTTCGCAATCAACTTTGTTTTATTATTCTTCAAAGTAAGTAATCAACTTTGTTTTATTATTCTTCAAAGTAAGTAATCAACTTTGTTTTATTATTCTTCAAAGTAAGTAATCAACTTTGTTTTACTTTTCTTCAACATTGGTACATTTCGTTAATCAGCTTTAGTCAAGAATAAGAACTTACTGTATGAGGTGCCCCCTTCTAGAAGAATTAGTGTTGGACATTACTCATGATATCAATCACTGGATTGTCCGGTCCAGACTCGACTATTTACAGACCGCCTCCATGTGGCAGGAATATTGCTGAGTGTGGCGTTAGACAACAAACTAACCAACCAACATAACAAAAGCTTTTTAGCCCATGTAATTGATACATGATTTTGAAACTCATCTGCATGGACATGAGTATATCGATAGTGTATGTATATATTGGGTGAAGGTACTTGAAGACACAGGTGGGTCAAACTATTAATCTAGATGGGTCAAACTATTAACCTAAGTGGGTCAATCTATTAACCTAAGTTGGTCAAACTATTGACCTAAGTGGGTCAAACTATTAACCTAAGTGGGTCAAACTATTAACCTAAGTGGGTCAAACTATTAATCTAGGTGTGTCAAACTATTAACCTAAGTGGGTCAAACTATTAATCTAGGAGGGTCAAACTATTGACCAAAGTGGGTCCAACTATTAACCTAGGTGGGTCAAACTATTAATCTAGGTGGGTCAAACTATTTACCTAAGTGGGTCAAACTATTAATCTAGGTGGCTCAAACTATTGACCTAAGTGGGTCAAACTATTAACTTTGAAAAGTATTCTCATGACCTCTAAAAGGCCTTAAAATCCTTAAATTAGTTGGCTTACGTTTTGTGTGCACCATACTTGAATTATTTTTCCATCTCTCCATTACACGTTCCAGGTGTCCAAGTCTCCACAGCTAGTTGCTGCTGCTGCTGCTGCTGCTGCTGCTGCAGGGAACGACACAGATGTTGCTGCTGGCGGAGCTGATGATGATATTCCTGAAGTGATGTTGATAGAGGGAGACTATTCCTACTTGGAGCCTGTGTTACGTGTTATAGCAATATTACACACTCTGGTGTCGTTCTCCATGCTGGTGGCCTACTATTGTCTCAAAGTGCCTTTGGTTATATTCAAACGGGAGAAGGAGATCGCCAGGCAGCTGGAGTTTGACGGCCTGTATATAGCAGAGCAGCCAGGGGACGAAGATGTTAAAGGTCATTGGGATAAACTGGTGCTCAGTACGCAATCATTCCCAGAGTCATACTGGGATAAGTTTGTCAAAAAGAAGGTTAGTAAGTTTTGTCAGTGTTTATATTTAATTATGAGTCTGTTGACACATGTCATCGCATTCCAATTGCATAGATTGATGCTCATGCTGTTGATCACTGGATTGTCTTAACCAGAGTGAGTGAGTGAGTGAATATGGTTTTACGCCGCTTTTAGCAATATTCCAGCAATATCACGGTGGGGGACACCAGAAATGGGCTTCATACTTTGTACCCATGTGGGGAATCGAACCCGGATCTTCGGCGTGACGAGCGAACGCTTTAACCACTAGGCTACCCCACTGCCCCTAGGATATTGCTGAGGATGGCATTAAGCAATAACCAAAACAAACAAATCAATGTACAATGCTCCCAAAGTGTCAAAATAGTCATAGAAATATACATGATTGAAATGAATATAAATGGCTATATCAAGTTAAAAATAATAGGTTTTGTGATACCTTTTCCCATGTGTATGTATGATTATCTGCTGGTTCCTTAAGGAGTTGTCAATCCAGTTTTTCATTTACTAAATCAGATCTGCTACATATGTTTTAGCCAGACGTCTTCTTGTTCCTTTTGATGTCAAGTTTTTTATATGTCACAGCAGTTATTGTATGATGACATTTTTGTCAAGATGAGGATGGTATGGTATTTTTTTTTTTCAAGATATCTAGTTCAACATGTTGTATTGTGACATTCCTTACAATCTGTAATCCCAAAGATAACACGGGTCACATTTGACCACATTCTAAATGGCATTGTGTATTCTTAGCTTTTGGCCCTGGGAGCCGTGCCAATTTACACTTGTCAGAGGGGTACACAAAGTCTGTGATCGAGACTACCAGCTCTGATTTGGTGGCTGAGTGGGTTAGATGGCTGACTTTGTGTGTTGACAATCAGTGTGGGTTTGAATCCTGGATGTGACTCAACCCAACAAAATTACTCGAACCTGTACTTTACTGAGAAAGTGTAATCCCAAATTTAACGTGTTTTACAGAATACAAATGGCGTGGTTATGTTGGCACAGTGATATTTCTCTAACAAACATGTGGATGTGTTGCCAGGTTCGAGCCCGCTATGCAGAACAGTATGACTATGAGCAGATCAGCAACTTGTTAGGAATGGACAAAGCAGAGCCTCTTGCAGAAGAAGCAGATGATAAATCTGGATATCTGCCACAGTTGTAAGTACATCTAGTGCAGATGAGTTGGCCTGTGTTGACGCGAAACAGGCATTTTCACATATAGCTCTTCTCAGGGAAATTTCCTGGAAATCCTAAATTATTGTCCTTTTCAAAAATATGAAAATGATTTTATTTTTATTCATTCCCTGACTTGAATATATGTCATCCACCCTTGAAAAACGTGATGAATTTTCTATTTCATGAAAAGAAAATCAAGGATCTGTTGATAAAGTGATCTATATTAAGCCCATTACTCAATAAACAGGCAACCATTGCATTTGAAATATAGTAGAAAAGATGGATGTTGAAATTATGAAAATTATTTTCTCATAACTTAAACACCATTTTTCTTGGGGCTTGTTGTTTTAACTAAGGGCACGTTTCCTTTTTTGATATTTTATATTTTCCCCTGACAGTCAACTGCATTGTAAACTGCTGGGAGATGAAACACAGACTACATCTATATAACTGATTGATAATTGATACTAATTTAAAACTTTTTGGTTATTATCCTATTGACTTGTTACTTGTGTAGTCCTTTTGGTGTAAGTATCAGGCAGGTGTTTGTATTGTGTTCTCTGTGTAGTGGATTATGGATGTGTTGGGCAACATGTCAGAAAGAGTAACGTAGTGACAATGGTATTGTTTCAGTTTGAGGACAATGGACTGGCAGTATCAGATCTGGAAGTGGGGAGTCATCTTCACTGATAATGTAAGAGTCTGTACTTTCAGCTGGTGATATATACTTCTCAAAAGAAGTTAGGGACATATTATGTTCATGTTTCATAAATTGTTCATCTGTATTGGCATAAATTATTATAAACCATATAATATTAAACAATGTGATAGTGCTCGACTTTTGATTAGTATGTCTTTGCTGAAATTATCAATATGTACTATTTGTATTTATGTTGTATTTTAATTGTCATTCTTTTAAAATGTATGAAATAATTGTTTTCAATTTATCATCACCTTTTTAAATTATTTGACACACACTGATGTGAAGGAAACAAGTGAACATGTTTTAAATTTCATGTACTTTGTTTCAGTCTTTCCTGTACATCGCGTGGTACTTCGTCTTCTCTGTGATGGGCAACTTTAACTTTTTCTTCTTTGCTGCCCATCTGCTGGATGTCGCAATCGGCTTCAAGACACTCCGGACCATCATGCAGTCCGTCACTCACAATGGGAAACAGGTACGCCATTGTTGGCAATATCGACAGTTGTACACTAGAAACAGGTATGCCATTGTTGGCAATATTGACAGTTGTACACAGGACACATGTATGCCATTGTTGGCAATATTGACAGTTGTACACAAGACACAGGTACGCCATTGTTGGCAATATCGACAGTTGTATGCAGGAAACCGGTACACAATTGTTGGCAACATTTACAGTTGTACACAGGAAACCGGTACGCTATTGTTGGCAATATCGACAGTTGTACACTAGAAACAGGTACACCATTGTTGGCAATATCGACAGTTGTACACAGGACACAGGTATGCCGTTGTTGGCAATATCGACAGTTGTACACAGGACACAGGTACGCCATTGTTGGCAATATCGACAGTTGAACACAGGTACACCATTGTTGGCAATATCGACAGTTGTACACAGGACACAGGTACACCATTGTTGGCAATATCAACAATGTACACAGGAAACCAGTACACCATCATTGGCAATATTTACAATTGTACACAGGAAACCAGTATATTGCCATTGGCAACATTTACAGTTGTACACAGGAAACAGGTACACAGTTGTTGGCAACATTAACAAATTGTACACATGAAACCAATACACCATCATTGGCAACATTTACAATTGTACACAGGAAACCAGTACATTGCCATTGGCAACATTTGCTATTGTACACAGGAAACAGGTACACAATTGTTGGCAACATTTACAATTGTACACGGGAAACCAGTACACCATCATTGGCAACATTTACAATTGTACACAGGTAAAAGTACACAATTGTTGGCAACATTTACAATTGTACACAGGAAACAGGTACATCGTCATAGGCAACATTTACAATTGTACACAGGAAACCAGTACATTGTCATTGGCAACATTTACAATTGTACACAGGAAACCAGTACACCGTCATTGGCAACATTTACAAATGTACACGGGAAACAGGTACATCGTCATTGGCAACATTTACAATTGTACACAGGAAACCAGCACATTGCCATTGGCAACATTTACAGTTGTACACAGGAAACAAGTACATCGTCATTGGCAACATTTACAATTGTACACAGGAAACAGGTACACAGTATGGACATTTGTACACAGGATGTTTTCTTGTTGATATGATTCTGTGACTTAACGTTGGCATTATTGTTGCTGCAGCTGGTGTTGACAGTGATGTTGCTGAGTGTCATTGTGTACATCTACACCGTGATCGCCTTCAACTTCTTCCGCAAGTTCTATGTGAAGGATGAAGATGGTCAGATTGACTACAAGTGCCATGACATGTTGACAGTAAGTCTCTTCTATGACTGTGTGGGAACTGAAACCTCCACATATTAAACCCTGAAACATAATGACAGGAGTTCTCCTTGCATAGGCGGATCCAGAGGGAGGGGTGCAGGGGTGCGCACCCCACTTTTGCCCTGAAAGTTTATTAAATGACCATTGAAACTCGGGTGAAAATGAAGTGTGCATCCCTCCTTTTCTCAATAGTGTGCACCCCCCTTTCTCAAAAAGCTGTATCCGCCCCTGCCTTGTATCATGAAACATTTCTCTGTACATCTGGAGCGACACTTTCTAGGAGTTGATGCAGAACTTGGCAACAATTGGACTACATCTAATTTTGAGAATGAGCAACTCTCAAGTATCACATGCTTACGAAAAAGTTGACAAAATAAGGATTTGATGGTCACAATATGTGGTCATTCTGATAATGCCAATTGTTGATCATGCTATCGGCCCCTAGTTTACCTGGTTCACACTTCATTACTGCCTTTTCTTATCCTCAGTGCATAACCAAGCGTATTTCAATCACTCCCATTTAGGGGATGCTGTATTTTGTAGAAAAAAAGATCATCTTCAGGTGACATTGCTCTCATGAAACGTTCACTCTGAGAGACACTAATGAAGTTCTATTATATTTCAGTGTTTCGTTTTCCACTTGCACACAGGTGTACGAGCTGGTGGTGGAATAGGTGAGTAGTTGTCGTGTTGACCTGAAAAATCATGTCTGCTACAAACATGGCAGAATGTTTGCATCTAAGTTTATACTTTAAGCCTTGTCTTCTTTTATGTCCTTTATTTCAGAGCACATGCATTGATTAAAAAAAGTTACTCCTGTTGCATCAAGGATGCATATCACCATGGAGATTTAGAATGGAATATTTTACTGGTACTTTGGCATTTTCTTTAAATGACCAGGAAGCAATTGAGTGTGTGTTTGTTAAGACTTGAGGTCTAAAGTTACAAGTTTGAAAACCTGTAGAATTTCGTATATAAATGTTATTAGTTTTGTATGTTTTGAAGTTAACTATGAGTTTATTGGTGCAGGTGACGAGATAGAAGCAGCGGACGGGGATGTGTACGAGGTGTACCGTATCCTGTTTGATATCACCTTCTTCTTCTTTGTCATTGTCATCCTGCTGGCTATCATTCAGGGTAGGTAACTGCTGTTGGTGTGAGTGCAAATGTTGTTTATAATTGTTTTGTTTTTTGTGGAATGTCAAACTAGGCAATATTCAAGCTATATAACAGCAGGTAGTAAATACTTGAATCTGAATCCTGCAGCAGACAAACTATCCATATTATAAACAAAATGTTACACTATCCGTGTATGATGACACACCGTCAAACATGTCAATGAGCTTGACCATATGATTTGGCTGTTACAACAAGTTTATTGAAGTATTCATAAATGTGATCATTTGTTTGTTAATGACTGATGTAAGGGAAGGTGTTTATCCGCATTTTAGCTGTAACCTGTGGTCGATAATGTGAACTTAAGCTTTCAGCAGCCATTTTGAACACCTGATTCTCATTTTAGTCATTAAACTACCAGAAAAAGTTTTGAGACTAATTTTTCTCTATTCTGTAACTTTGCTTAACAGTGTATTTTGTTGTTTTAGGTTTGATCATCGACGCCTTTGGTGAGTTGAGAGATCAGCTCGAACAGGTGAAGGAGGACATGGAGGTATGTAGCTGGTTGTCATGGAAACTACTGCAAATATATGTGGACTAATTATAAGGAGTATTATAGTAACATAATAATACACTTGTACTCACAGATTACAGGCATTCATTCATCACTTGACCTGTCTTTCCAAAAAGTTACATCTGTGCTTGAAAGATGCCCATATTTATCAACTTTTACAGCATTCATGGACAGAAATTCACTTTCTTTTTGTCATTTTAATGTTCAATGTTCTTTTTCTCCAGTCCAAGTGCTTCATCTGTGGAATAGGGAAAGAGTATTTCGACAAAGTGCCACATGGGTTTGAGACCCACGTACAAAATGAACACAATTTTGCAAACTACATGTAAGTATTTTGTCCCTCTGATTATCTTGTCTTCATCATACTGCAGCACTAGAGAATGGGTGGTTTGCTTCAGTTTCTGATTGAATGGATAGAATAGGTCTTCAGCAACCCATACTTGCCACAAAAGGCGAATAACGGGTTCTGGTGGTCAGACTCGCTGACTTGGTTGACACGTCATCAGTTCCCAATTGCGCAGATCAATGCTCATGCTGTTAATCACTGGATTGTCTGGTCAAGACTCGATTATTGACAGACCGCTGCCATATAGCTGAAATATTGCTGAGTGCGGCTTTAAACTAAACTCACTCACACTCACTCTGATTGATAATCATTTGGTTGGTTTTATAAGCCACAATCAGCAATATCACAGCTATAGAACGGTGGTCTGTAAATAATCGATTCCAGGCAGTGAGGTAGCCTAGTGGTTAGAGTGCTCCCTCGTCCCATCGAAACTGGATTGATTCTCCACTTGGATGAAATGTGTGAAGATTGTTTTAGTGTCTACAGGTGTAATTTTGCTGGAATGTTGCTAAAGGCTCACTCACAGTCAGGACCTGGTGTTTACAATAGGTCCTCTGCAACCTATGCTAGTTGTTGGAAGCAAGTTACTGGATTGAGGTATTAGGCTCAGTGACTTGTTGATAGTGTGTCTCCTACCCCGATGCTGTGGCTCATATGGCTTTAGCATTGAGTGTGGTGTTGAGCAGGAAAACGGCAAATGCTGACTAAGCAATAATTTAAGAATGAGGACTATTTTTATGGATAAACAACTTCTTTATTCTGTATAGGCGACGTTTCGATATAGATTCTAGCAAGTGGTACATGAGAGGTAATGGGGATGAGGCGAAATTGAGTTGTTTATACAATAGAAGAGGAGGTTGATAACACAGGATGAAGTAGGTAGATAGGAAGCCAGTAAAGGAGATGTACATGGTTGTATACATAAGAGATCTCTTATTTGTATACATCCATGTACATCTCCATTACTGTCCTCATTCTTCATCTACCCAACTTCTAGAATGCCAATCAAAGAAGTAAGTAATAATTTGTATGTCTGTCTCTCCCCAGGTTTTTCCTGATGCATCTCATTAATAAACCGGACACGGAGTACACCGGACAGGTGAGTCACAGCAGTGTATATACTACATGGTCTAAACCATGCAGGGTTACGACTGGTATTCCATCTACATTCTCAGCTTCAGGACTGGGCAGGCAGAATGACTAAATATGAATATTATGGTCACTTAAAGGATAATACCAGATGTGAATTGACAAATAAATGTTAAATAAGTTTGTTGAAAAATCATTGTAATTACAGTGTGCTTGTAATGTAACTTGACGTCTCATTTACAGGAATCCTATGTGTGGGAGCTGTATCAACAACGCTGTTGGAACTTCATCCCTGTTGGAGACTGTTTCCGCAAACAACACGAAGATGAAGTTTCTCCGCACTAAAACTGTCAGTGAATCGCAGACTCTTTTACTCAATATCTGTGCAATAAGAGACAGTGCCAATGGCCAATTTCAAGGAGTGTACTTTGTTCCAAGAATACGGCACCAAATCCTTGGTCTTGGAAAGATGGATGGAAGAAGTTGGTTCCATATTCTTGTGAGGAGGATTAAGATGAGAGTGATAATGCTCTCCTAAATGCTGAATTTTGTGAGAGAAACATTACCTGTGCCAAAGACACGTGAAGAGAATGTGGATTATTTTATTTCTTGTACAAACATTTATTCAACACTTTGCAGATGCTGCAGAGCCTGCTTGTATTAAATACCATGTTGCTATGACAACTGCCATTGTATCTGAAAGAAATAATCCTCTTTTCTACATCCTACTGTGTAAATTATATAGAAAGATACCCCATGACAGTTGACCTGACATTAAAATTTTTGTAATTGTAAATGTTTGTACATTTTGTAATATAAACTAGATATTAATACACGACTGTAAAAACACAGATCAGACATGACCTGTACAGTAAACATAGCGCCTGACCTCTATAGCGCCAAAGGTTCCTATGACCAGCTGTGCTTGGAAAGAGTAATGTACATATTTGCACTTTTATGGCGTCAACCAGAGCTACAAAGTACAAACCTGTTTTGTGACAATAACAAACTGATTATGGCAATGCTGTTATTTAATAACACTTGAATTATCTCAGTGCTGTGCCTTTCACTCAAGGTGACGCACAACGCTCGGAGTATTACAATGAGGCGTAGACAGTGTGATAGAAGAGTGTTGTTCTATTATGTTACTTAGCTAGTGCCGAGATGCCAACCATTTTCAACTTTCAGAATTATTACGAAGATTTACACCAAGTTCATCAATACAGTTATGGGAAATGACAAAGGTTGTCAAAATATCGGGATTATAATTATGACATCTTTACCATGTCATGGTGGTTGCATTGAATATAGAAAACATGTTGGTTAAAAACCCAGACAGTATATACATATGACAAGTTGTAAGCAAGTTGTATTTTACAACATCAACAAATGATTTTTATCCAGTGTAGTGCATGATACAAGGAGATTACCACATTCACTGGACATAGTTCTATCTTGTCAAGCTTACACATGATTGGAGTTCAGGTGATACAGTGTAAAAAATTATACATTTTGGCGAAAGAATTCTTTTCATCACACTAATGATGGTTACTATATTTAGGGGAAACAAGTGAAGGTAATGTTCTTTGTGGATCAGATATTCCTAACCACTAATCAGGGTTGGCATCTCCGTGAGTGAATGACGTTATATTCTAGTATGCAGAAGTGTGAGTCCATCCAATGCTTATAAATACATCTATTTGATGGAGATACATAATTGCTCTGGGGGAGAAGCTGATAAAAGAGATTTCACAAGCATTCATATAAGCTTGTTGAGTTTCTAATGCTTGAAACTCTTTTCACTGCTAGACACATTTTCAGAGTTTTGTGTAAAACAGATTTGGCAGTTTGGAATGTTATTTTCCTCCAGTGAATAATTTTGGTAACATGTACAGTATAAATACACGAGTTGTGTACAGTTTACATCCTTAATATAACGTTGTTGTACAGCAACTTCATGTTGGACATCATAGTTCTAGGTGCTGAAAAAGGCTTGTGTTATAAGGTTGAAGTGTTGAGCACTTACCTTTTGAATGTAATTTATTTCTATTTATTAATGGTGTAATCATATTCCCTAGTAACTTATTGTGGAGAGTTGATTTGCAAAGTGCAATAGCGTTTCCATATTGTTTTATTTACTAGTTGTTTTTAATAGGGCTTCTAGTACTAAATCAAAATGTTTTATATCAATGTTTTCTTTTACACCAAATTTGAAGTAGATGGCATCATAAATCTATTTTTCCAAATGTGCAATAAGTCAGCAAGATTTGCTTCACAACTGTTGATATATTTATATTTCTAGTCTTTTGTTACATGTAACCTGACATTTGGATCTTGTACATTTTTCAAAGTTGTTGTTTGGTGGCGCTGATGGCAGTGGGCTGTGTAGTACACTGTGAAGAAAGAACAGATTTTGCAATTTCAAAGCCAAATTTTGTAGCTTCTCGACTTGTCAAAACGGCAGTGTAACTATGTCTGCGAGGATGGTCTTCCCACTGGTGGCCTGGGCGAGGTAGAACTCTGTGTGTGTGCCATGTATCGTATGCCTTCATGTCATCTGGATTGTTGCACTCAACCTGCACTGTCTGGGAACCAAACTCTTTTGGTTTGATTCAAGAAAGGTTTGAATAATAAAGTTTGAAAAATAAATGTCATTGTTTTATTTGCTGAAGGTGTGTAGTAAGTGAGTATTGTTTTACGCTGCTTTTAGCAATATTCCAGCAATATCACGGCGGGGACACCAGAAATGGGTTTCACACATTGTATCCATGTGGGAATCGAACCTTGGGCTTCAGCGCTACAAGCAAATGTTTTAGCCACTAGGCTACCCTACCACCCCTTATTTGCTGAAGGAGTGAGTGCAACTGTTTGTTTGTTTGTTTGGTTTGTTTGTTTATTACGCCCCAGCCATATCCCAGCTATATGACTGTCTGTAAATAATCTAGTCTTGACCATACAATCCAGTGATGAACATCACAAGTATCGATCTGAGCAATTGGGGCAGGTGTTTAATATTTTCATGACATTGATATAATTTTGACCAGGCAAACCAGTGACTGATAGCAAGAGCAACCATCCACACCATCACGATATGATGACATAGTTTGAAAAGTCACTAAGTGTGCGAGTCCAGTTTATGCCGCTTTTAGCAATATTCAAGCAATATCTCAACGTGGGACACCAGAAATAGGCTTCACACATTGTACCCATGTGGGGAATCGAACCCGGGACTTCAGCGTCACGAGCGAACGCTTTAATCACTAGGCTACCCCACTGCCTCAAAAAGTCACTAAGTCTCAACACCTGTGGGGATCCAGGTCATATTACAACCCAAGCATCCCATTGGCTGCTCATCATATCATCCACCAATAGTAATTCATGTACCTCACAACTTATGTCCGCTGTGAAGTGTAGACACTTTTTTAAGTCAACAAATCAAGCCAAGGCTTAGTTCCACTGAAAAAGAAAACCAACTGGTACCAAGACCAATGAGCACTGCATGACATCACACAAACAGCTGAGATATATACTTCCCATGAAAAGTTTAGGACCGCCTCCGTGGTGTAGTGGTTAGAGCGTCCGTCCAGAGAGCGGAAGGTCGCGGGTTCGATCCCGGACCGCGTCATACCAAAAGACGTTAAAATATGGTACTTGTTGGTCCCTGCCTGGCTCTTGGCATTAATGGGTACAACAAGGACTGGTCGGCTCGGAGTCAGTATAATGTGTCTGAGTGGGGTATTCATGCTTCACTGCGGCATGGTATCTCAGTGGGCTGGCACAGATTCGGTCTGGGTTAGTACAAGCAGCCGCACATGCACATACACACACATGCACGTCGTCATATGAGCGAAATATTCTCAAGCACGACGTAAAACCCAATTTCACCTCACCTCACCTCATGAAAAGTTTAGACTCACTAGTGTAAATATAGCCACTACTTCTGGCAACAGTTCTAAATTTTGTAAAATACGGGGGTGGCATCAGGAAAATCTATTTTCAGCTGAAAACCTAATATTGTGTCACCGAATGGGGGGTTTGAAGTGATCAATTTGAGATAAAATCGGCGGAAATCCGTGGATCTGTTGAAAATTGCCATCCCTGAAAATATTCCATACTGTTTAGAGGTACTGTTTACACATGAACTGATGTATTGTAAAACACATTCGTAACGTTGAAAAGATTGTTGTCATGAGTTAAATAAATGATAAAAATCAATGAAAATTTGTGAATTCTTAACAAAACTTTACAGCAAAACGCAGCTGTTCACATGCACGATATTTGCAAATGCTTTTCAGCAATTTGATGCATGATCCTCATGCAATTCATCTGCATAAGGTTTGCAGTTGGTTCCCCCAAGTTAGTGGAGAAATCTGTCTTCGATGTAACCATATATATATATATATATACACACATAACGTACAGTGGGTGTATTAAGTGAGTCTAAACTTTTGATGGGAAGTATATATATCTCGTGCTACAGAGTTGCAGCCATGTAATGTCAGTATTGTTTCTGTAGATTGCAACAATATGTTTCTCACAACAATGTGTTTAGCAACAGAAAAGTGAAAGTTCTACGTTGCATTGATATCGTTGCAGACGTTATGGTAATTTACAACATAAAACTGTACTAGCTCAGAGTACTGGATATCTGTAGATGACCAAACATTTGAAACCTTGGTAAAAACTGGAACAACTGTTCAAGTTTGCTGTTCGGAAACCATACAAAACAACAAACAAATGGAAAATAAATGTTTATTAGTGAAGGTTCAAATAACTGAACATAAAAGATATATTACTTGACATAATCCCTCAAACCAACAGATTTCCCCTATCACAGCTGTGCTGACGAATGTAATCATAAGTAAGAGATCACTACGCACCAAGTTAGATGACAAATAAATGCCGACAAAGGTGAAGTTGGAGATGGGTGAGCTGGTTCTGATATTACATAAACACATTAGGATTACAAATTGTATTATGTGACCAATCACTGTTACACCATATTTTAGAAACAAAAACTATTTTGAAAGCCTTTAGCAAGAACAAGACATGTTTGATATTCCTTATACATGTATATGATATTTATGAAGAAAAACTCAAATCTATGTTTTAGACATAGAGTGAGTTAAGTTTTACGCCACACTCAGCAATATTCCAGCTATATGGTGGCGGTCTGTAAATAATCGAGTCTGGACCAGACAATCCAGTGATCAACCGCATGAGCATCAATCTGCACAACTGAGAACCAATGACATGTGTCAACCAAGTCAGCGAGCCTGACCACCCGATCCCGTTAGTCGCCTCTTATGACAAGCATAGTCGCCTTTTGTGGCAAGCATGGGTTGCTGAAGACCTATTCTACCCCGGATCTTCACGGGTCAGACATATCTAAAGTAACTTTAAAAACTGTGAATAAAAAACATGTTTGAAGTAACTGCTCAATTTCTGATTTAGGTACCAAATAATGGTAGCCATAAATGTCAGCCGAAACAGCCATGCACATTTGTAAACGCCCTTCTTATTGGGAATGTTGTCTTTGCAAGAACTGTTTCTGCCACATGACCTCATTTGCGTTTTACAATTACTTTTTTGATTAGTTATTGTAACTTTTCAATTTATGGAAAGATAAGAATATATTGAAGAACAACTTCTTTATTACAACAAATCAAAGATTCCCATCAGTCGTAATCATTCTGTTTATACCACAGGCTTCACCTGTTAACATTTTAACTAAGATCTTACTCATTGTGTAGTTAACTGGCTTCGCCTCTCTGTGGAAACTCTTAATTAATCAACTGTAAAACACTTCAACAAATTTTAACAAAGGCCATTCAATCCCTACTCTGTACATCACTTACTTGATATTGGTTTTAGAATCTAAACTGAAACGTTGCTCACATTGTGAAAGGGAAGTTGTTCCAAATATTCTCATCTTTCCTATGTATCCCAACTTCTTAATGCCTCTCAAAGAAATTCCTTCGTTACATGATAAAAGACACTGCTTCTTTGTACACAATTATATATCTACCATCCCTCTACATCTATCTACCCCAATCTCGGCAGCGAGGTATGTTATCAGAGTAAATGATATGACTTTATTGAGACTGTATCTACTGGTTTCCATGCTTGTGGAGTCGACACATGACATATAACAAGAAAATGATTCACCTTTACCATCCAAAACTGTGTTCCACTGGAGAAAGTGCTTGTGTGAGATCAGTGAGATTTTGTACAATGCCCTGACAAAAAAAACAAATGCTATGATGTCATGAACTTGATGACATCACAATGCTAAGATATCGCTGGACTGCAAGTCTAATGGCAGTACCATGTTCAGAAATGTACATTTTTCATTGAAAACTAAAGAAGAGTGACTTTTAATGATAAACATGAATCTCACCCTGTGTCTTCTGATATCAAGTATATCAACACTCGTTGATAAAAGTAAAAATATCCTCGGTAAGCCTCAGATATTTGTAACTTTATCAACCCATGTCGACATAATTGATATCAGAAGACCCTTGGGTGAGATTCTCTATTTATTCTACTCAATAGAAGTTAAGGAATGCCAATATTTTTATGTTCCTGTAGTTGGTCTGCATGGCAAACATCATTTTAGTAGTGTATATATATATCTTGTATAGTATACTGTTTCAATTTCCTAAAGAAACATTATTTGTGTTTCATTTTGACATACTCATACTGAAATAGACAAACAGACATTGATTATCAAATAAAATGCATTGTAACTGTTCAAAAGGAACAGATTTTTGAGTAGTCTTTCAATTACTTCCCTTGGCCATATGAAGACAGTTTTGGAGTGTTCCACAAGCCGTCTTTGATAGTTGGTGAATTTAACTCCCATGCATTACAATTGGTTAACATCCTAGAGCAAAGATTTGCTTTTTGGGACAGGGCCCATTTCTATTCAGCAAGTATTGGAGGTATAGTGGACATTAGACAAATGAGTTTCAGGGCTCCAGATAATTTTTCAACATCAGGAGTACGTACTCCTTATTTTTTCAATACAGGAGTACTGGAAAACTTTAAGATTACATTTAGAGTACTGAATGGGACTTAAAGGAGTATCAGTAATCTTGTGTTTCATTTCATATATGCACCACAACATTGCAATAATCAATAAAACAATATATTTTCGATAAATATGTCTGTAAAGGATTCTAAGACCGTACACCACTGCTGTGGTGCGTATCTGCTACGTTTTCTAAATTATTTCCTACCGTATCGTGCTTATTTTATATCCGTACATACGCCGATACGACCCTTATCTGGAGCCCTGAGATTAAAGACATATAGATATTTCAAAATGGATGTGGATATGTAAAATGAAGGGGTGTTCTTAAATCTCTTGCCAGATGTATGAACAAGTTTCAACTGGGAAATCAAATGAAAACTCTGGTAAGTGAGTGAGTATGGTTTTACGCCGCTTTTACCAATATTCCATCAATATTATGGCAGGGAACACCAGAAATAGGCTTCACACATTGTACCCATGTGGGGAATCAAGCCTGGGAATACACTTTAAGCACTTTTCTACCCCACAGCCCATGGCTTCTGGTAATTCATCTCAAGCCATCTCTTCATGACCAACTGCTGTCCAGAATGAGAACAAAATGTGAATAACATCCCTCATTGTGACATGGACCACGTAACTTGTGAATTCCATATGGCAACAAGTTTAATCTGTGTATATGTGGAGAGCAGTGCATGAACAACACCAAAAACTGAGTAAATATTGGACTAATTCTAATACAGGAAAAGACATGCTTGAGAAATTATTCATAAAAGTTTGGTGATAAAAAAATAAATCTTGTTGAGAAACATGCAATTTACTGAGTGACCTTGACCTTGTCACACCATGAAAGATGTCATTGTTCTCAACAACCACACAATGTTTCGACTATTTGAAATAATAGAATAATTAACAACAATTGTAAATAGAACTATGGTGACTTCATATCACTTGAATCCTATTATGACACAAAGTGAATAAACGGTGCTGGCTGAGTCTGTGGTGAGGCAAATGACGTCCAAGAGGGCGAGATAATCAATAAATCTGAGTTTCCAGGTTACTGTAGTCTACATATCGCTCATTGACACTTAATGAAATAAAGATAAGGGACTGTTGATAATTTATGGCTAGGGGATGATGATGATTTTTATGGAGAAGCATGTACAATGTGAATGACTCCCTCTAAAATCTTTATACAAAGTTAGTGCCCCCCACCCTAATTTTAAGCATACTTTTTTAAATACATGGTGTGGGTGACCACCCCTTCCCCTCCCCCCTCAATAAAGAAGAAAAATCATCACCCTCTAGCCATAAATTATGAACAGTCCCTAAAAAATCTTCAGAGATTTGTAGAACAACTTCCCAGAGGTCAGTCTATTGTTCAAATTATTTCACAAAATGAATTTGTGATGTTTTGAACAATGGATGATATCAGATTGTGCTGTTCTCAACAATGACATGACACCATATCACTTCAAATGAACAAACAAGTATTGACAATATATCAAAATGACCCACATGAGTAAATATCTTTCTATCCTTATGGTTAATACGTACATTGCACAACCAACATGACATACCACAATTCATAGGTATAATAATTTACTATATATACATGAGAGATTAAGGAAATATTTTGTTCATGAGACAATTCTTTTTCTGTTTTCAGTTAAACGATGCACCTTTTGAGAATTCAGTATCATTCCTTTGATACAGAAAATGGGACTTGTACAAAAGTTAAAACTTACATTTTCAAACAATAAAACAGCTTAAACTACTGATACAAAGGTGCAAACACAAATATGAACATGGCTTAAGAGCCTGTTGCTGATAGGTTTGTTCAAGCATCCAAACTGCTTATAAAAATCTTATTATCTGCACCTTTGCTTTTACACATAACAAACACTGGATGGAATATCATTCACAATAGTTTGACGACCCCGTTGCAAATGCTGCCAACAAGTTTAAATAATACCATGCCGTTTCCCACAGAACAATATATTGTCTAAGTATCTTCATCGTCACTGTGTCTTGGTGTCTAATTGTTTGGCCATCTTCACCACTGTAGTCTTGATCTGATTATACTCTTCAAGTGGGAGACTTGCGTCCGCGATGATGTGGTCAGCTGTTTCCTCTGTCAGACTTTGGAAGGAACTGTCATCTGAAATGAGGCAAGATGAAAACCTTAAGCCAAATATAATAACATGGGCAATAAGTGCTGATATCATGTTGCATACTATTTGACTGTCCACTAATCATATTGTAATAAACTTTAAAGATTTCATTAGTACATCATGGTGCATCAAGTTGAATTTGGGTTTATTCAAGTAACAAAGAGAATTGTTTCATTGTAAATATTTCTATGAAGTTGATGGATGACAAAGTAGGCACAATTTATGGATAACAAATTCTTTAATATAGTATTGTTTGAGTAGTCCTGCTTGACAACAGTATAAGGACCTATTAGATTAAACATATTTCATTCCTGAAGTAAAAATGATTGGGAACAAATACTTTTCTCTCTCACTCTCACACACGCACGCATGCACGCACACACACACACACACAAACCAAACAAGCATCTATTAGAAAGAGACACAAAGAGTGTCTGCAGCTTCCCTGCTGGAAGCAATGGACATTTAGCTCATAGTTCACTGGCTGAAATCAGGCGCAAAGGACAATGGTTATCAGACAGGTTGTACTTGTTTTGTTTGAAGTAAATACACATGCGTGAGTGACTGAGTGAGTATGGTTTTACGCTGCTTTTAACAATATTTCAGCAATATCACTATAGGGGACAGCGGAAATGGGCTTCACATAATGTACCCATGTGGGGAATCAAACCCAGGTCTTTGGCTGGATGAGCGAACACTTTAACCACTAGGCTAACCCATCGTTCCTACACATGTGTGAGTTCCTTACCTTTGATGGGTAGATGTCCCGCCAGTTCTACCACAGCTACGTTGAATTCATCAGGAACCTTGGTACCTGAGAACAGGTCAGAACTTAAGGTAAGCATTAGAAGTAGACAACAGTCATCAAATATCTCCACAGTTATTTTAGTCCGAGAACGGAATAAGTGTGACATACCGAGCTCCAGCTCTAAGAATGAGTGTGTGCTTTAATTACTGGTACAATGGTTTAGGGCAAACTGTACTTTATTACACTATACATGGGGATAGAGCAAACTGTGTGTCTTCACTATGACATGCCACAGACTACAAATAGAAATATGGTACTTGTTGGTCCCTGCCTGGCGCTCGGCATTAATGGGTACAACAAGGACTGGTTGACTCGGAGTCAGTATAATGTGTCTGAGTGGGGTATTCATGCTTCACTGCGGCATGGTATCTCAGTGGGCTAGCACTATAAAACCAGCTTCAGTCTGGGCTAGTACAAGCAGCCGCATATACACATACACACGCATGCACGTCGTCATATGAGCGAAATATTCTCAAGCACGACGTTAAACCCAATTTCACCTCACCTTACCTCACAAATAGAAATACCACAATAATAGAGAGTCGTTTCAGTTTTACGGTCAAGAGGGACAGCAGGGATTGCTGTGTATTGAACAATTAGCGACAATATGCCACTATATTCATGACAGAAATCAAGATTAAACATCAGTCAACTGGAGGCATATAAAATACCAAAAAGCCAATTAGCATTCAAAACATAGATAGCGAAAACACATTAACTATCGCAATAGTAGATGAAAAATCATGATGTGTCGGCTTGATGTGACAACGGTGATGCAGGTCTTACTTACATTAAACACTTTAATGAAAGCTACAAGCTTGTATGTTGCTGACAAATCTAGAAACATAAATCCGGTGAATCTGAGATTCCACCAAAATCATAGACATATGCCTAAGGGAAGCAACTCTGCACAGTTGACTGGACCACCAATGCTAGATCATGGAACAAGCTGCCTCTCTAAACATGATAATGTACGTGTACTTCTTACCTATAAACTTCTTCCTGGGCCACAGGTACATGCGTATCGTCCTGTTTGTGCTGGACTGTGGCTCACCAAACACGGTCCCTCGTGTGATGAATAGATTGTGGGCGATGTCGTTGTCATGGAAGTACATCGTTATGTTATGTATCAACCTGGTCAGACATAACCAAATTCAGTGATAACAGATGTAACGCCAGTCATGTCTATAGTGCAAACAAATACTATAATAATGCATGTTTACAAGTGTGGAATAACACCAGCATTAACCCATACACTACGCTACGTTCAATTAACAAACACCTTATTACAAAATCTGTTTCGTTTTGTTTCCATGGTATACGCTCTTCTGAATATATTGCAGTTGTCATCCAGATATTGTCTACTCCATCTGGTTCGATGTTCATCTTTATTTCCATCCACAACATTATTACCGGTGCTCCTGCTGGACACATTCTGCTGGGGAATGGTCATGGCTAACTAACTTTGCAGGTGCACAAGATCTGTGTTACCTGGCTATCTGTTTGACTGTGGTCCCGTGAAGCTGGAAGGCGAACCCGTGACACGGCATGACGGTCAGCTCATGTACATTGGGGCCGAGAGGTTCTACATCCTGAAAAGAACCCCCCCACATTCATCATCAATATGTGGTATGTGGTAAACATGTACGCTGTATCAAATGTATTTGATCTTAATTGGTGACACATATTTTGTGTAGTTTTACAGAAAATTCTGACACAACATGACACCTATGTATACTGACACTACATGACACCTATGTGTATGGAAACAACATGACACCTGTGTATACTGACACTACATGACACCTGTGTATACTGACACTACATGACACCTGTGTATACTGACACTACATGACAGCTATGTATACTGACACTACATGACACCTGTGTATACTGACACTACATGACACCTATGTATACTGACACTACATGACACCTGTGTATACTGACACTACATGACACCTATGTATACTGACACTACATGACACCTATGTATACTGACACTACATGACACCTATGTATACTGACACTACATGACACCTATGTATACTGACACTACATGACACTTATGTATACTGACACTACATGACACCTTATGCATACTGACACTACATGACAGCTATGTATACTGACACTACATGACACCTGTGTATACTGACACTACATGACACCTGTGTATACTGACACTACATGACACCTGTGTATACTGACACTACATGACAGCTATGTATACTGACACTACATGACACCTGTGTATACTGACACTACATGACAGCTATGTATACTGACACTACATGACACCTGTGTATACTGACACAACATGACAGCTATGTATACTGACACAACATGACACCTATGTATACTGACACTACATGACACTTATGTATACTGACACTACATGACACTTATGTATACTGACACTACATGACACCTGTGTATACTGACACTACATGACACTTGTGTATACTGACACTACATGACACCTGTGTATACTGACATTACATGACACAACATCTATGTATACTGACACTACATGACACCTATGTATACTGACACTACATGACACCTATGTATACTGACACTACATGACACCTATGTATACTGACACTATTATGACACCTGTGTCTACTGACACTACATGACACCTGTGTATACTGACACTACATGACACCTGTGTATACTGACACTACATGACACCTATGTATACTGACACTACATGACACCTATGTATACTGACACTACATGACAGCAATGTATACTGACATTACATGACACCTATGTATACTGACACTACATGACACCTATGTATACTGACACTACATGACACCTATGTATACTGACACTACATGACACCTATGTATACTGACACTACATGACACCTATGTATACTGACACTACATGACACCTATGTATACTGACACTACATGACACCTATGTGTATACTGACATTACATGACACCTTACATGTATACTGACATTACATGACACCTATGTATACTGACACAACATGACACCTATGTATACTGACACTACACACTTACACCCATATGTATACTGACACTACATGACACCTATGTATACTGACACTACATGACACCTATGTATACTGACACTACATGACACCTATGTATACTGACACTACATGACACCTATGTATACTGACATTACATGACACCTATGTATACTGACACTACATGACACCTGTGTATACTGACACTACATGACACTTATGTGTACTGACACTACATGACACCTGTGTATACTGACACTACATGACACTTATGTATACTGACACTACATGACAGCTATGTATACTGACATTACATGACACTTATGTATACTGACACTACATGACACCTATGTATACTGACACATGACAGCTATGTATACTGACATTACATGACACCTATGTATACTGACACTACATGACACTTATGTATACTGACACTACATGACACCTGTGTATACTGACACTACATGACACTTATGTGTACTGACACTACATGACACCTGTGTATACTGACACTACATGACACTTATGTATACTGACACTACATGACAGCAATGTATACTGACATTACATGACACCTATGTATACTGACACTACATGACACCTATGTATACTGACACTACATGACACCTATGTATACTGACACTACATGACACCTATGTATACTGACACTACATGACACCTGTGTCTACTGACACTACATGACACCTATGTATACTGACACTACATGACACCTGTGTCTACTGACACTACATGACACCTATGTATACTGACACTACATGACACCTATGTATACTGACACTACATGACAGCAATGTATACTGACATTACATGACACCTATGTATACTGACACTACATGACACCTATGTATACTGACACTACATGACACCTATGTATACTGACACTACATGACACCTATGTATACTGACACTACATGACACCTATGTATACTGACACTACATGACACCTATGTTTACTGACACTACATGACACCTATGTATACTGACATTACATGACACCTATGTATGCTGATACTGACACACTACATGACACCCTATGTATACTGACACTACATGACACCTATGTATACTGACACTACATGACACCTATGTATACTGACATTACATGACACCTATGTATACTGACACTACATGACACTTATGTGTACTGACACTACATGACACTTATGTACTGACACTACATGACACTTATGTATACTGACACTACATGACACCTGTGTATACTGACACCTATGTGTATGACACTGACATGTGTACTGACACTACATGACACCTGTGTATACTGACACTACATGACACTTATGTATACTGACACTACATGACAGCTATGTATACTGACATTACATGACACTTATGTATACTGACACTACATGACACCTATGTATACTGACACATGACAGCTATGTATACTGACATTACATGACACCTATGTATACTGACACTACATGACACTTATGTATACTGACACTACATGACACCTGTGTATACTGACACTACATGACACTTATGTATACTGACACTACATGACACCTGTGTATACTGACACTACATGACACTTATGTATACTGACACTACATGACACCTATGTATACTGACATTACATGACACCTGTGTATACTGACACTACATGACACCTATGTATACTGACACACATGACAGCTATGTATACTGACATTACATGACACCTATGTATACTGACACTACATGACACCTATGTATACTGACACATGACAGCTATGTATACTGACATTACATGACACCTGTGTATACTGACACTACATGACACTTATGTGTGCTGACACTACATGAAACTTATGTATACTGACACTACATGACACCTATGTATACTGACACTACATGACACCTGTGTATACTGACACAACATGACAGCTATGTCTACTGACACAACATGACACCTGTGCCTACTGACACAACATGACAATACATTATGTGTCTACTGACACTACATGACACCTGTGTATACTGACACTACATGACACCTGTGTATACTGACACAACATGACACCTATGTCTACTGACACTACATGACACCTGTGTATACTGGACACTACATGACACCTGTGTATACTGACACTACATGACACCTATGTATACTGACACTACATGACACCTGTGTATACTGACACTACATGACACCTATGTGTAGGGACACAATATGACAACTATGTGTATGGACACATGACCTAGTTATGTCTACTGACACTACATGACACCTATGTATACTGACACTACATGACACCTTTGTATACTGACACTACATGACACCTGTGTATACTGACACTACATGACACTTATGTATACTGACACTACATGACACCTGTTTATGGACACAACATGACACCTTTGTGTACTGACACAACTTGACAACTGTGTGTATGGACACAACACGACACATGTGTACTGACACAACATGACACATGTGTACTTACACAATATGACACATGCATACTTACACAAAATGACACCTATAAGTGTGGACACATGACACTTAAGTGTATGGACACAACATGACACACATGTGTATGAAGTCATCATGACACCTATGTGCATGGACACAACATGACACCTATGTGCATGGACACATGGCACCTATGTGTATAGACACAACATGACACCTATGTATATTGACACTTTATGACACTTATGTGTACTGACACAACATGACACCTATGTATATTGACACATATGGATACTGACACCACATGACACCTATGTGTACTGACACAACACGACACCTATATGTACAGACACTACATGACACCTAGCTACACTCACACAGTGTTCCACAAGGAGCTGTTGTTCCAGGTAGTAGGCATGCATGTGTAGGTGGTTCACGGAGGCGTAGGCACACAGACTGTTGAAGCCGATTCGAAAACCCCTGCAAACAGAAATTAATTCCTTACATGCACATACTGGTACATAGAACATCATGTCTATTCTATTTTTCCCTCAGCCATCGCGGCTTCCACAAAAATGGAAGTCTGACAACTGGTAGTCTAGACTGCGGACTTTGTGTACCCCTCTGATAAGTGTGAATTGGCACGGCTCCCACAGCCTAAAGCTATGAAATACACAATGCTATTTTTAGAAAGTGGTCAAATGTAACAAATGTTATATTTAGGATTACACTTTCTTAGTAAAGTACAAAATTCTAGTACTTTTTGGGTTGAGTGGTCCATCCGAGATTCAAACAACTGACACTACATGACACCTGTGACACCTGTGATTCGAACCCACACCCTCAGAGTCTGGCACCGAATCGCCAGCACACAAAGTCAGCTGCCAAAACCGCTCAACCACCGCTACTTCCACGGTAGGTGCCTGACTCTGAGGGTGTGGGTTCGAATCCCGGATGGGACTCAACCCAAGAAAGTACTAGAATGTACTACACACACTGCTACAATCAAACTTAGGTCATAGTTATGAAAGACCGCAGCAGGTCTTATACATTTACCTTTGTGAAACCCACAGCAAGGAGATGATAAACAAATGAAAGGAGCCAAGGTAAATCACTGGGACTTTTGAATCTGCAAATGAGTGCCTACCTGTGGCTACTGAGAAGCATGGACTCCAGTCCCACCTTTACAGCAGTCTCTGTGAGAACCTGGAACATCACACACATATCAACATGGTTCATCATGTTCATAGTATAATGTTACCCAGTAACTTGTTAAATAGTACAGCTAGCTCACTGTCTTTGTAAACCCCATACAAGTCTGTTGATGGGTTATAATGAAGTTTGTTTGTTTATTTTTTTATGCAGCACACAGCAATATTCCAGCTACATGTATATGACGTCTGTCTGTAAATAATCGAGTCTGGACCAGACAATCAAGTGATTCACATCAATAGCATCAATCTGCGCAGCTGGAATACGATGAAGTGTGTCAACCAACCCAGTCAGCATGACCAGCTAATGACAAACATGGGTTGCTGAAGGGTTAGGTCCCATACTGCCTACATCCCACACTGCCTACATCCCAAACTGCCTACATCCCAAACTGCCAACAAAAATATTGTAGGCAGCGTGGGAAATGATTTTTTGCCCTGTAGAATAATGGAACAGCCCAATTATCAATGAAGAAGGGATGTGCCGTTTGGAGTAAGGTAATAGTAGTTATTTGCTTTATTTAATGTCGCACGCACAACTAAGGTATTTCGTCGACGGGGTAGTACAGTTCTTAAGAAATGAGGGGAACAAAAAATAGAAATTTTGAAAGAGTGGTGTTACTACAAAAAAACACCCAACAACTGAGTATTATGGGAAATTTGAATGGGATGCCAAATTAAAAAGGTACAAAAAATAGCCATGGCAATGAAATGAACATCCTTGTCAGTTGTGTGTAATTGTGAAACCAGTAAAAGACTGTAAAACCAGTAAAAGACTGTAAAAAACCAAAACTTGTCATTTTTTAAACTTCTCTAGGCAGAGTGGGAAGACACCATAGAACAGGTCAGTTCATTAACCAAGTGACTGGTCAAGTTCATTTTAGCAGGGGTAGTACAGGTCAGATCGGGTCATTATTCTGCAAAGCACCACATGTTCACCTGTAACCCCCCACCCATGAAGTCTCACCTGTGGGTAACAGCGGTTCACCTGTGGCACTATAAGCACATGTCCATACTCCAAGGGGCTGACGTTGATGATGATGATATGACGCTCTGGTTCCTGGGAACATCACCCAGAGAGAAATATTTAGTAATAAACACCAAACATATTCACTGAATCTACAAAATAATTAATCAACACGATCATATCACCACGTCACCTGTATTATCAGGTATCAATACCTGACTACAAATGTAACCTTATTTCGGTTCTTAATGTGGTAGTGTCACTTGATGCTACTTTGAAGAGTATTTCAGTATACTGCGTCAGCCCTATGTTGAAGGTAAGATGGTAGTAACCCAGGCCATAGACATCTACCACTCTGATGACACCCACAGTCATGGGGACTGTACTGACAAACCTAGATACATAATTCAGTCAAATCCCAGAGTCTTAAACTTGATCAGATGGTTCATGAAAAGCAGTAGGTTCACTCACAATTACTCAGCCATGAATTTCAATGTGAACTTTTGACAGTGAAATCACTCACTCACTCGTTCATTCAGTTCCACAACTTAGTATCGGAGAATGACTGACAAGGTATTCACTCACTCACTCACTCCATGTGACTACTCAGTACCTGTGCACTATCAGTAGTGCCATTCATGGTCGCTCCACTGGTTGTAGATTCATCTGTATTTTGCAGACCGAACAATATTTCTTTTGTGTGGACTTTAGTGAAGTTGAAGAGGTCTGGATTGAAAGGCTGACTGACACTCATGATTGTCTGGGGCTTCCTTCTCTCAGTGGCCCGCAGACTGTTCAGCTGGAGGAGACCATTATGGTGAACATTTTAATATCATCATGATACCATACAATAGAGGCTATAGTCCGTTTGGCTCAAAAGCGGACCGATGAATTGCAATCTAACTCGAAAACTAATAAACATAAAATACTCAATGAAACGCTGATCATAATCAAAACATCATACCAACTCTGTGAGGTTTCAGCCAGGTGTTCGAGAAGCACGTTCACAGACAAAGTTATTTATTCATTAACCTGTGCTGTGCTGTCTCCATCCGTTCTCGAACACCTGGCTGTCCCTTTCTCTGCACTCCTCCCTCGTAACAAATAGTGAACTGTGTCAATATTTTAATGATAGATTGTTAAACAACTCTTTTATTTTTAGGACAAAAATTCTGCAAAAACCTCACAGAGTTGGTATGATGTTTTGTTTATGATCAGCGTTTCATTGAGTATGTTATGTTTATTAGTTTTCGAGTTAGATTGCAATTCATCGGTCCGCTTTTGAGCCAAACGGACTATAGAGATGCTGAAATGAATTTGTCATGGCTTGCCAGATCCCCAACTTAGCTACCGCTCCTAATATTATGTTTAGTTTGGAGCAATGTTTTCTAACTCCAATATTGGTTTTGCATTGGTTTCTGATTCATTGCCCACATCACATTCCCAATATGTCAAACTCCCATGAAAACCTATCCATGATCACCTTCAGTGTTATCTTGAAGTGCAGAGGATACATTCACATTAAAATACAATCAAATACTGTTGTGTCCAAGTTGAATCGGCCTATGAGGTTCAACACAACCAAAGATGACGAATAAAGAAAGCTTACAGACTTTTCTTTGTGACAATCGTTTGACTGATCAAAGTTCTACAGAGCAGAGTTTGACTGTATAAAACATTTGCCATTGAAAAATTTCATTTTTGTTAAGCTACAATGTTTCCCATACAAAAAATGAATATTGTTTTAGTATCGACAACTGAGCTGGCGTACCTGTGCGACGTATGCCTTGTCTCCAGGAATCACCCTGGTATCCAGTTGCTGCATGTTGTACCGGAACACTCCATTCTCCATACAATTGTCCCACCGACTTGTCAGCTCCCTGTCAAACTGGGGCACATCAAAAAGCAACAGTGACTACAAAATGGTGGCATCAGTGTTGCTATCTTACACAAAATGCAAGAAAAAATGCAAGACAAAAATCAACAAAAGTGCAGACAACATTAAACCTGTACTCATACAGCATGAACTGAGCTGCATCACTCATACAACAGTGAGTGAGTGAGTGAGTTGGATTTTACGCTGTTTTTAGCAATATTCAAGCAATATCACAGTGGGGGACACCAGAAATTAGCTCCGCTCTCTGTAACCATGCAGGGAATCGAACCCGGTCTTCAGTGTGATGAGCGAATGCTTTAACCACTAGGCTACCCCACTGCCCTGGAACAGTTAAGAGGCAAAAATAGGCAAAGGATATTATATACAAAACCATTACTTAGAACTATTCATAACTGTGTCAGTATTATTACTGTCATTGGCATCAGGGGCAGATTCCCCTCTCCCCCCGTAAAAGAAATTCCCTGAGGATTCCATGAAATTTCCCGACTTCATGAATTATGTGCACAATTCTCCAAAATTCTGGATCCACCACTCGGCATAGGAAATTCAGAGATGATACAACCTCTTTCAATCTTCAGTGAGAGTAGGGTCTTGTGTGAAAATAAGATCTGAACTTAACAGTCGACAGCAAAACTATACAAGAGGCTTAGGAATGATACTGCGTTGCCTCTGTGCTCATGCTGATAGACAACTTAATACAAACAACTACACTAACTCACTCTCTTATAAACACAGAAACAGCCAAACAAATGCTCAAGCTTTACCATGTTTTCAAGATGTGACAAATGACAATGTTGTTTTCTGCTACAGTCAGCTATAGTTCAGCTATAGCATGTCAGTCTGCCAATGCACATGGACCAAGCAAACAAATGGTTGATAGCATGAATACTTTGCAATGGGTGAGCAATTATACTGCATCTCCAATCCTGCATCTTTCAAGGTGTACAGTCAGGTCTCATGATATGACACCCAAGTGGTGGGGCCAGTGACAAGCCTGAGTAGACCTAATCTTAGGAGAGACAATGAAACTCACCTTGCTCTTTTTGCCAGCATGGTCTCCCCATCGTGTCGTCTGGGGCACAAAGTCGTCACTAGAATATTGCAGAACAAAGGAATCCTGAAAATAAAATGGTCCATGAGTAACCATTATGTTGCCAAGCATTCTGTTTGTTGTTTAATGGTGCACTCAGCAATATTCCATCTATATGGCAGCGGTCTGTAAATAATCAAATCTGGACCAGACAATCCAGTGATCAACAGTATGAGCATCGTTCTACGCAATTGGGGTACTATGACATGTCAACCGACTCAGCGAGTCTGACCACCTGATCAAAACAAGCATGGTCACTGAAGACCAATTCTGACATGGATCTTCATGGCTAGCCCGGCATAGTAAATTCCTTGACAATCTGAATCCATACTGAATTATCCAGAAACTGTTAGGCATTTTGGGTAGACATGTAACATGGATGGATGTTAAGTCAGTGGCAGTGTTTATTGAAAGAATCTTCACTATTACAGTTCAGCAATATTCCAGCCTAAAGTAATAGTAGCCCATAGTAAATTCCTTGACAATCTGAATCCATACTGAATTATCCAGAAACTGTTAGGCATTTTGTGTAGACATGTAACATGGATGGTTGTTAAGTCAGTGGCAGTGTTTATTGAAAGAATCTTCACTATTACAGTTCAGCAATATTCCAGCCGTATCATGGCTGGGGACACCAGAAATGGACTTCACACATTGTACCCATGTGGGAAATAGAACCCGGGTCTTGGGTGTGACCAGTGGACGCTTTAACCACTATGCTACCCCACCACCCCCAGTACTTTTAAAACAGCTGGAAACAGTCACCAAGAAACACATATTGTACAAACAGCTGAAATTACATGTTATCATTGCTGTAACTATTTTGACTACCAAATTTGAGAAACTTTGCAAATATCATAGGTTTTAAGCAATCAATTTAATGAAAAAGATAAAAAACATAAACAAATATATATATATACAAAAACATCAACTTTTTTATGTTGTTATTTACCCTCAGACAAATGAAGCTCTCAGTTGGAAAGAGGCACCACAATGTCAGTGGTTAGACCAAATTGGGCATGCAGTGGTAGACTTATCAAACTCACCATATCAGCCATGTTGGAGGTGATTCTCAATCCCCTCTGAAAGCTTTTGACTTCTGTAAAAAACAAGTTTACAATATGACACTGTAAAAGAATTCTTACCAAATATATCATACACACAACACATGCAAACCAGTTTTCATGCGTTGAAGGATCTAGGCATTATTTCATTAACTAAATAAAGAATATAAGTAAATGGTTTTACAATTCATCACTGTGACAGCAATATGTTTAGTCACCTTATTATAGAATACAGCTCTGAGTCCATGCATTGTAAGCTAAGTAGTATTATTAGCATTCTAATCTGTGCCTACACAATTAAGGACACACTTGTTCTGACCTGTTTATACACCTCTTCTGTTAACCTCCCTTTAGCTAATTAAACATGCTTGTTCAAAACATATTAAAGTACTAATCAGTTCTTTTTACTATTATCCACAGATACATACATAAGGTTGCCTTACAAAACAATACATTTGACACAAAGTCAGTTCTAAGCCACCATATGCAGAAAGAAATACAGTGGACATTTAGGCCAGTTTGATGTGTTCAGTGAAGCATGAATAATTACCCTGCAAACAACTTATTGCATGAGGGCCCTAGGACTTTGATGTATTATGTATGACGAGCAAAAGCTTTAGCTATCCTACCTGCAACCGGGTGAGTGGGTCTAGTTTTACGCCGCACTCAGCAATATTCCAGTTATATGGCGGCGGTCTGTTTATAATTGAGTCTGGACCAGACAATCCAGTGATCAATAGTATGAGCATTGATCTGTGCAAATGGGAACCGATGACATGTGTCAACCAAGTCAGTGAGCCTGACCACCCAATCCCGTTAGCCACCTCTCACAACAAGCATGGGTTACTGAAAATTAATATTCTAACCCCGATTTCACAGGTTCCACCTGCAATTGACCTGATAAAAACAGAGCATTGAGTAACATCAGTTGTCATGGTTTCAATAAAAAGATACATGAGTTATACATTCTTAGAAGCTTCTTTGCATGAATAATCCGGCAAAATTAGTCAGTTTGTTGTCAAAGTGCAGCACTAGTTTGCTGCTAGTGAGGTAGTGTGAACAGTGCAGTGGGTTTCTGTCTAACATCTGCAACTGAATCACCAATAACCTCTATTGTTATTTTCGAAGCTTTGTTACATTAACTATCAGCAGTTTATTAAAAATATCTGATACAAGATTCCTCCAACACTTGTTAATAGCTGTACATGCAATAGGAATTAATTGGATGTCTGCTTCCGAAGTAGGTACTTGAACTGGCATGAATCTCCTAAATCGTAATATGTAGCATGGCATTCATGACAACTTCAGACAAAGATCACTCCACCATGTTGACTTTCATGATCATAACTCTCAATATTCACATTCCTGCAAACATTTGTTTCTCCATGCCTTTTTCTATGATCTAGAACCCACTATAATAAAAACTCGCAGCGTATTCAGTGGTGAAAATAACCCATTGCCCGACGTCCGAGTCCAGTGCTTTTTCTGTCGGGCAAGCAAATTTGTATATCACGCTGTACCGGTGTCCAGTTGACTTTCCAATGTTAATAATGTTGTTTATTTAAAAAATGAACAAGAAAACGTCCGGAATAGTGGAAAAATGATCAGGGCAAGTGATTTTACATGTGCCACTGTACCGGAGTACACTGGCAATTTTAAAGTTATTTCCACCCCTGGTATTGAAAGGATCGTCTGACGTTCAAATTTATTTGTGGCTGAGTATCTCCCTCTGTGAATCTCAAGGAAAAAGATAATCGTCTCAAAAGTCCCTAAACCACATTATCTTCCCTTATGTTCAGCCCTTTCTGCAATGCTTAAGTTCTATTTGAGACAAGGCTTTCCTTACGTTCAGGTTCTCTAATTTGATTATATAAATATTCATAGTTTCATAAATTCTTAGGAATTTTGAAAATAATGTCCAGATATTTGTTTTGTCAGGACAAGTGTCAAGGTTGTGGTAATTTAAGTCTTTTGTGGCTTTCTTCTCTTAGATACACATAGAAGAATTTTGAAAATAATATTCAAATTGGATATTAATATTTCCTGTCATATGCTGCAGATGTGGGTATGAATAACAAATTCGGAGCAGATCTAAATAAATTTCCTTCATTGTCTTTTCATCATGAGCTCGATAAACACCAGATCATGGCAAGCAGGTGTAAATTAAAACATCCATCCATTTAATTGTTATTTTTCACAACCTATTCCATTTCTGAATCTCAAGGATTATGTGATGAATCCTACCACTGGTAATGCACTAGTCCACATAGTGTGGGCTGTCACTATTAGTACTGAGTATATATAAACAAGGAGCTCAAGACTATGTTCGCCAAAATCTTGGTTATTATCAGGTTCAAACTATCAAGGCAAGTCTTGTCGGCTGCATTCCTTCTCGTGCTTCACTCTAGGAGGGACACTAAAAGTGATATTTTGTTGTGAAGAGATTTGAATTCCTGTGGTATTGCAGAGCCAATACAATGGCCTGGATGTCAAATGCAGTGGTCTCAACAAGATAATTCCCTTTCTAGGCAGATAGTCTGGCAGCATCCCCTACATAACAGACCTCAGGACCTCTCCTGATTCTGAACACAGAACATGGTAATGGCATCAGCACATACCGGAGTAGACATTTTCTTGAATTTAGTAGACCATGTTTAGATTCAGTCAATTACTTTATTCGCTGAATGAAGACATCTATGCTACACTATTATAGCCATGTATATAAAAACATTTCGTCATATTTCTGGTAATGTATGACAGACTAGTCTGATCAGGTCATTGTGTACTGCTTCATGTATCATGTGTGTATATATATAAAGTTTTCTGCACCGAGCATATTTCTACTGCTTCTAGCATGATTGCTATAATAATGTCTACACCATATTCTATGTGTGTACTGAATAGCTAATGTGCTAACAGGCAACTTGATGATGGACAGTTGTGTTTTGAACAAGTCCTAACAAGCAGAAACCAGCTGATATTACTACATTGTGTCAGATTCTACCATTATTTGTTTTTTATCATTGTCAATTACCTAAATCAAACACAGTGATCTATTCCACGAAGCTTAATTTCTATGACATATGTCCATTAACCTATCTGAAAAGTTGACAAATTTATTGCACCTGCAGATGTACATTTTTACATACACGTAATTAGAAATTTCTATAATGGAAGTCTGACTATTTCAAACGGAATTCTTTCCTGAGTGGTTTTACATGAATACAAACACTATATCCTAACGTAATAAAATCGGCTTTTTCGTGCCGTCCAGAGAGGCGTTCTAAGTAAAGATTCTCACCAAAATGTACTTGATTTGTCAGATGGCACCTCCTTTCTCTTTGACTTTGATCCTCGCGAAGAGCGGTTGATCTCCACCTGTTAATGTTGATGTTAACCTATTCAATGAAGGATCGCCTTACAATAAACGAAGGAAAATGTGTACGTACCGGCTTTTATCATCAGGGGAATGTACCTTTAAGGCTCTGAGCATGGTTGTGTTTATGTATTTATAGCAGTAGCGAATCTTTCGATACTGCATGGAGCTTTGTCGTTTACTGTTTCTGGTATCCAGTTAATCTGGTATCCAGAAACAACAAAATCACAGGGATATTTGTCTGGATCATTGGGGAGAAACGAAGGGACGTAACTCTTCATTAGATTCTTTAGAATGCCACAAATAATATGCATTCGTTATAATGTAATTTTTCTCTGTCATTGAAACGTTGATATCTTACAAATTAGAACTATTGCCGGTGATAATCTTATACACCCACGGTGACAATGCCGCCGTGGTCTGTATGGAATGGTTCTGAAGTGCCTGCGGAGTTACTGAATTCGGTAAGTACGCCCAGAGACCATATAATATTATATGATCTCTGGTACGCCCAATTGTACCCAATTGTACTGTCCGAGGTAACCCCATATGAGACAAAGTTATAGTGAAATATATAGAGTGGAACACATGAACGAATGATTCATTCGAACCAGTATCATTCTTTATTCCAAACCTGTCTGTACTGGTATTAACATTCTGAATAACCTTTTTTTCTGCTTATAACAATTTCTATGGGATCGTTAACATATGTCGGTATGGGTAATTGATCTACGTGTATTGTATAAATTTATTTGTATTTTACACTCACGTGTTGTTTAGTAGTTCCCAGAATTCCTGATATGTTTTGGTTTCATTTTTATTGAAACCCTTACATAGGCGGATCCAGACATTTTCCGGTGTGTGTGTGTGTGTGTGTGTGTGTGTGTGTGTGTGTGTTTTGGGTTTCCGCCATTGCAAAACATTAACTTCAATGTGGTCTTTAGTCATTTTCAAAAGGGGGGGTTCGAACCCCCTGAAACCCGCCTCTGGATCCGCCACTGCCTTAAATGAATGACATGAGTTTAACAAAGATTTCACGCACCTGCATGTCTTGACGTAATAGGACATTGTTGAAGTTATATGTCGTGACGTCAGAATAAGTGATGACGTCATAGCCTCCTATTGTTGACCTCATTTGAACACAATAGGCTTAACTACACGGTTTTCACGGAAGCACTACAACGAAGTTGTTTATCATAAATGTTGGCGTTGTTTACAAACTTTAAAATGTCACGTTTACGTTTATTTTTCTCGTGCATAACTAAATCCGAAAATATATAAATATGCAGACGCTGTCCAGTCACGTTAGGGACAATAGAAGGAATGCTTGAAGCAGTCCTAATACATTCTCGTTGGTTTGTTTTGTTTGTTTAACACCGCACTCAACAATATCCCAGTTAATGGTGGCTTTGTATAAGCAATCTGGTGTGGACCAGACAATCCAGTGACTGATACCATGAGCATCTATGCAACTGGGATACGATGAAAACACCAGACAAGTCCGGACGGGACTCAACCCAACAGAAGTACTAGAATCTGTACTCTACAGAGAAAGTGTAATCCCGAATATAACGTGTTACATTTGACCACTTTCTAAATGGTATTGTGTGTGATAATAACCAAGTTAGTGAGCTTAACCAAATGCTGTCTTAGTCGCCTTACGACAAGCATGGGCTGTTGCTTTATCATCTTCATTGTATTGTATTTTAGCCTGCACGTGATTTATCAAGGGTCTTTGTGTATAACGTACAATCACGATATTGTGTATCATAGTACATGTTACTGCATATCCCATTTGCGCAGAACGATTCTCATGATTTCCAGACCAACGATAAACAACAACAAAACAACCCAAACAACATGTAACTGCTCGATGTTTGTAATAGCATCATACCCTGTAGAACTTTAATCTCTAAACGATATTGCCAATGTGATTGACACCCAACCGGGTAATGTCACACGGCTACGGTTAAGTGCATACGTTTACAGAATGTTCAAACAGATTAACATAACATATAAGCATCAACTGCAATAAAGACATATAAAGTTAAACGCTTAATCATTAAATGAAGTCCTTATTTTCTTGCACAGTTGGCGCACTGACGTCACACAATGAAAGTATTATTAGAGAATTAAGGGTCACAGCTTGGCTCCAAACGAATCCCAGCTTTATTATATAGATAAATACATGTATGTCCATTACCAGTGTATGAAATAAGCCAAAACCCCACCCAGACATTAGGGCTGGTAACTTCAAAATGTTACCAGTCCAAAATGGATTTAACCAGACCAGACACCAAGATATGACACAGATGTATATAACATCTAAAGTTTTTAACAGACCATCAGGCTGGCTAGCTGTAAATCTAGACCGTCCGTCTGAAATCTAACCCGTCTCGGGCGGTCGGACAGGCCTTATTTCATACACTGCCATTACGTTAAAGTAAATTTATTCTTGTCGATTTAAATATAAAAGTAAAATGTTCATTGCATGCTTTGGATAATTACAACATTTACATTCTCACATGTCTTCTGGTAATGTAACCCATCACCACATATAAAACTGGATTCCTGTGCTTGTATTCAAGGACGGCCGGAGAGGTAGAGACTCACGGGACTTGGGAAACTCTGTTCCGGGTCAAAAGAAGATGTGAGATTCTGATCACAAGAAGTGGGATTTCTTGCTGGAGGGCCTGTGGTTACATATCCTTGTCATAAGGGCGCCCTGGCTGTGCTCTAATATAACGGTAAAGATGAGCATGACCCCACACTTGTTTCTACAGGTGATGTGTCTGGTTCTATGAAGTCTTGTGTCCAGACTCCAAGGATTATGTTGGAAGAACGGTAGTACAACTGGAGAGATTGGTCAATGTAGCTGTCCAGTGATGTTTCCTCCCAAAACCAACAGGCGTGTCTTGACATGCATGGCCACAAACACCACATTAACATGGTTGATGATACCGCACTGACTTGGAATATGATGCCGCATTGACCAGGGAGACTATATAAGGTTGTAGAGTATCCCTGCATTGACTTAGCTTAAGAAGCCACATCGGCTTGACCTAGGATGCCGCCTCAAACTATAATGCTGACACCTCTAAAGGTTACCATTCCTTCAGTCACTTTCCAATGTTTCACTTCAAAGTCAAGTTCAAGATGTGGGCACCACAGCACTTACTCAGCAAATTGCTTTGTCCGGGTTTGGGCGAATGCTTTTCAACCATTTTGTAACACTATTCGGTGTTGGGACCCATTACGTTTAGTCTTTAGCTTGGTAAAATTTCTTTTGTTTGTTAGTAATGCTCTTTTTGTCAATCGTCCACAATCATAAGAATTGCAAAGTACATTCCTCCAGCAAGTTTGAACCAAGATGTCAAATAAACTAGTTTTCTGTCAATTTGAAGAAAACTACACCCAGGTCTTTTGCTGCATATATGGCGATATAAAAAGTAGAAAATAGTCTTTTATTACTTTTTTTTATTATAAAAACCTGCATAATTTTACTGCTTTTATTTTACAATTACTGTGGTTTTATTCTGTGAACGATGAGGAATGTTCTACACAGGTTCAGTTTGAAATTATCTCCACTCCCTTCCCCCTTAGACCACGTATTTGAATCTATGAATGAATGGTTTATCTTCTTTTGGTCTCCAGGGTTACTCAGCGTACAAGGGGGTGAACATTCATTTAGTATTGAAACATATCCATTCATATGAAAAATAACATCATTTCGAAAGTTTTAAATAAAAATTGAACTTCGATTGTTGAAACTTGTGCATGTGTGTTCAGCAGTCAGGTGTGATCTGGTGAGAACTAAAGGATGATCAACACAACACAGGTCTATGAAAGGATGGTATCAAATATACAGCTTGGGGATTGATGGTAAAAAACCACAGGCCCCCACTGCGGGTCAGAAAATCGATAAACTAGGCCCCGGTTTAGTATCAACACCCCCTACTATATAATACATATATAGTAGGGGGTGTTGATATTAAACTGGTTAAACCCCAGTTTAGTATCAACCCCTACTATATAATACATATATAGTAGGGGTGTTGATACTAAACCGGGGCCTAGTTTATCGATTTTCTGACCCGCAGTGGGGGCCTGTGTGAAAAACTTAACAGAAAATTCACTGAGATATTGTGTTCTTATTGGTATGAGCTAAATGTATGAATCGTGAGGTTAAAATAATGATTGACATGCATTTGAATAGAGAAGTCTTAAAAGACTTGAATTATTCAAAACCAAATTAGTTTGTCTCCTCATTCAAAATCTAAGTAAACATTCTCTCTTAGTGTGGTGCTGAAGTGCTACGGTGACATACTTCCGGCGGAAGTGGATAATGTGAAAGTGTCAAGGTCACACAGAAACAGCCACCGTGTTCGGAGAGAATAGGTATAATGTACCGTATCCAAGCAACAACATCAAACATTTGGTCAACCTGAAAGTTAAATTTGGTTTTATATCAACAACAGATGCACAGTGTACATATATCCGTATGTATACATAAGTCAAGTCTTACATGCTAAATAGACCCACTACTGTGGTACAGGGGACATCGCGCCTGCCCACTGAGCGGAAAGTCGGTGGTTTGATCCACGGCCGACTCGTATCAAAATACGAGAAATGGTATTTGTTGTAACCCCGCCTGGCGCCCGGCATTAAGGGGGTGAAACAAGGACTGGTCCGGTATCCATGGTAATGACATGGCCGCACACATTTATACAAAACAGCACACACACATGCACACATACACATACACACACGCACGCGCGCGCAATAATCATGAAACCAAGTTTTACCTGACTTTAAGGTGACTCTGGTACAGCAGCTTTTAGTGTATTTCAGCATCAGAACAAATCACACACATTCTACATACAATTCATGCAAAAGAAGATATATTTTAATCAAAAGTCGATAAATGTTTCAGATTATATTGCTCCGGTGCTTGTCATTCACGCATCAATATTCAATATAGCTATAGTCTTGGATATGAATAATGTTCATAATCCCCGTGACCTTGAGATAATCCGTTGTTAGATGATTGGAGAAGCGCGTCTTGACTGCAACTTTCCGTTAGGGGATTCTGTTGTACCGCTAATGCGAGTTTTCCCTACAATGAAAAAATAATTCTGACATTTCCGTTGTCAGTGCGTCCATGTCAAACCAATGTACCACGTATCCCTCTTCAGATAAGACTTATGGCAAGAGTGGTGTCATGGTATTGATGAGAATGTTCAAAATACATTTTACCATCATTACAATTATGAGAACTTTATACAAAATAGAGAAGTATCAATGTATGGTTTGCGAGATATGACGTCGTCGGCTTTCCCTTGACGTCCGTACAGAGAATATTCTAGCGAGCATCAACCGAGGAGGGCGAATGCGTAAATCGTGAAAATGAAACTGTATTGTTTGTAGAACTAAAACTACCACCAATAGGTACAAGATCCTAATGCTACTGTTTGTCTCTGACATTCTTGGGGCGGTGGGGTAGCCTAATGGTTAAAGCGTTAGCTTGTCACGCTGAAGACCCGGGTTCGATTCCCCACATGGGTACAATGTGTCAAGCCCATTTCTGGTGTCCCCCGCCGTGATATTGCTGGAATATTGCTAAATACGGTGTAAAACCATACTCACTCCACTCGTAATTTAGATGAAGTTAAATGTCAACAAAAACATGACCAGTCAACCTCTCTTGATATCTTGTTCTGTAGTTGTTCAAACGCACCTTGACATGAATGTCTTAGTGTATGAAATATGCAAAAATAGTAATAATTGCTTATTGAAAAACATTCAAGGGAAATCTTGCAAGTCCATGGAGAAAATCCAGTGAACTGTTCTTGAGATATCTCGCTGACAATCTTAACATGCAGTTTAACATGTTGAAATCTTCAAAGTGTCCCTGTGACCTTGACAATCATGTGAAGGTCACCAAAATTGACTGGACCTTGCACCTTCCCTAGATGAAGCTTGGTGTCAAATATGAAGAAAAGCCAGTAAACGGTTCTTGAGATAGCTCTCTGACAAGCTTAATATGCAGCTAACATGCTGAAATCTTCAAAGTGTCGCTGTGACCTTGACAATTCAGTGAAAATCGACTGGGCCCTGCGCCTTCCCTAGGTAACGCTTGGTGTTGAATTTGAAGAAAATCCAGTAAACGGTTCTTGAGATAGCTCGCTGACAAGGGTAAACGTTAAAGTCCCCTTGTGACCTTGAAATGAAGGTCAAGGTCACCAAACCTGATTGGGACCTTTCTTATACTGTGATGAACCTGGGTACCAAATATGAAAAGAATCTAGTCAACAGTTCTTAAGATATTCCAATTCGTACGTAAATCTATACTCACTCACTCAAAATTATTAAATATCGACTGAACATATGTGGACTTTGATGGGTATGTATGTAGATGATGAGGGTACGGATAATAAACAAGTGACCGGTGCCGGTCAGGCTAGAATTGAATAGGGACTCATACTTGTCGTAAGAGACATTTAGCGGAATCGGATGGTCACGCCCAATGACTTAGTTGATGCATGTCATCGTATGTGTAGATTGATGCTTATTGTATCAACCACTAATGCACTCGGCAGTATTCCAGCTATGTGGCGGCGGTCTGAAGATAATCGAGTCTGGACCAGACAATCGAGTGATCAACAGCATGAGCATCGCTCTACACATGTGGGATACGATGACATGTGTCAACCAAGTCAGCCAGCCTGACCACCCGATCCCGTTAGTCGCCTCTTACAACAATCATGGGTTACTGAAGCTCAATTCTAACCCGGATCTTCACGGGTTGTTAAATAAGAAACAATCCCACATAACCTGTCAGTACGTCATTACCATTATGTGCTGCTGCTGTTGTAGCTGCTGATGCTCTATCCACCACGGCCTCGTCTGTTTGCTGATAGTGTGGGCTAGGGTCATGGAGCGCCTCAACCCCTGTAATTATCAAATATATACATATACATGTATTGATATGGTCTATATCAACTGGACTCGCGTTACTGGACACACAGTGTTGTCCACAGGGGCGTGTCACGCTTAGAAACAGCGTTAGAAAGACATATAGGTATATAGACCCTATCCTAGTACTATAGGGTAGGGTCTATATACCTATATGTCTTTCTAACGCTGTTTCTAAGCGTGACACGCCCCTGTGGTGTTGTTATTAAATCCATGTTTGTATCCTGACTCAATGTCATACCACACCAATAGTATGGTTTTATATGATCTTTATGTCGTTAAAATCAAATTTAAGTAATTCCCAAAGGCTTCTGTTTTGTCACAATATTATCTTTGTTATACCAATCAGCTATATGTCACTATATCCATTGTACAACATCAGTATGAAAATACATGTCAGACTTCAGGGGTTCAAAAATCCCATCGCCCGACGCCCGGGACAAGTCAGTTTTCATTTCGGGCAATCAAATAATGGTATCTTACTTGTCCGTGGGCTACTAGATAATTTCCACTTATGGTTTCAAACTGCAAATAAACTTGGATTTAATTTCATATCTGCTCAAAATGTAGCTTTTAATTTGCGCAATGATGATAAAGTAGAGTTATCTTTCTTTGCTATTTATCACTTTTCAATAAATAGTCCAGTAAACATTAACATCAAATACCATGTTGATTTATTCTTTCATAATTACAACATCATGATTATGTCATAAAATCAGGGCAAGTGGAAAATTGGCCAGAAAAAGTTACTAGCTTTAAACCACTTGCCCTGTGCAAAAAATAATTTTTGATAATTCTGTCATCATGTACACCATCAAAATGAATTCAATGCCATCCATATAAACTCTATGTGATCTGTATCAGCTCTCATGTCACACATTTTAATTCCCCGTGACTGCATCAACATTCTAACATATGCATGCATACCTCTGATCATAAATACCCCGGACAAAGTAGCAGATGGAAATACGGGTATTGTTTATACGCTGCACGTTACTTATTGTGGCAGCAGTATATATATAGCTGTGTTTTAAAACCATAACGAACGTGGAATGAATACGAACACGAAGCAGCAAGTTGGGAATCCAACATGTCATATATTCATGTCAGCACAGTGCTGCCTGTGTTGAAACACACTGGACAAAGGGAACAGCAAAACGGCATTACCTCCGGAGTCTCAATATATAAAATATTTTCATTTGGAACATTTGATGTGGACTTGAAGTCACTGAGATCCATCTTTGCACCCACGAGGACAACCTAGAATCAGAATATATATGAAGTATTACATCTCTTTCTGCAACACATACTGCTGTGATAATGAGCAGAAAATTGATTTTCAGTAACCCATGCTTTTTATGAAAGGCGACTAACGGGATCGAGTGGTCAGGCTCGCCATCGTATCCCAATTACGTAGATCGATGCTCATACTGTTGATCACTGGATTATCTGTCTCGATTATTTACAGACCGCCGTCATATAGCAGGAATATTGCTCTTTGCGGCGTAAAACTAAACACATTTACTGACTCACTCCTCCATTGTCCGTGAATACATATACGGCCACTGTGTATTGCAGTGGTGACGTGTTTGTGTCAAGCAAGTTAATACGTCAAAACGTTGTGTTTACATACATCAAATGAATTGTGTAAGTAAATCATATTAATATTGAAATCACAGCGTTAATCATACAAATATTCAAATTTGGAAAAACGTGGTTCTGATTGGTTGAGGGCGCGGACGTCGGTGTAATCACGTTCAATGGGCGAGTCCAGTAACAAGACAGTTTCAGTTCCTTGTCTTTAGACATTTAGACGGGGCATTTAACCGTGTTACCTTCATGTTGGCTGGACACCGCATTTGGTCAGTTCCCAAAACTGTTTGACCGCCAGCGGGAAGGACGACCAGTAGGTCAACTCCGATCATGGCACGGTGGAGATTGCAGTTTGTAGATATACCTACAGACGAAGATGGAGTATTACACCATACATAGTGTATTGACAGTGTTAAAGTCTGTGCATAGAGGCCGCTTTGCCGCGACCAACATAACTAAAGACATACACCCATGTATATTTTAGTTCGCAATACATGTACTTTGTACTTCATACAGTCCTTCATCTAAGGTTATGCAATGCAAACTGATTTATGAAGGTTGATTGATAAGTTCTGCGCCTATCACAGAAGGAATTTCGTTACAGTGAGATACCCTGTACTGGACATAACATAATGGCATAGGGGTACATCCACAAAATATTGAGACAATCTACTGTGTTGTGGCAAGTCAGTAAAATAAACGGGAGTCTGTGACTTTGGAAAAGAGAACTTGCAGAAAAATGGCTTAACACAAAAAGCAGTTCATAAAAATATGAATAGGCAAAACAGCAATTGCTGTGCCACTGTAAAAGGAGGCCAGCAGAGTGCAACCGTTTAACGGGGCGTCTGAAGACTGCCCTGTCCTGGAGGCTTGGCTTCAGTAATGGTCCAGAGAATCAAATATGTCGTGATGGCCGACCGGCAAATGGCTGAGGTTCATATTTCTAGCCCAATATGCATTTGCAAGGAGACAATACATTCCATTATCACGGAAACTGTGAAGGAAGTATCAGTTCGTTGGGTCCCAAAGCTTCTGCCATCTGATATCGAGACAGTCTCGTGATAACCATGCTCTGTTTGAAGCTGATTCAGAAAGGTTCTTGTACGATATTTGACTGTGGATGTAACCTGGATTTGACAATGTCAGTTCAAACAACAATCAACACAGTAGAAGCGTTTGACAAAGACCACAGCAAATCAAAGAAAAGACCCATCAGATGGACAGGTTATGACCTCTGGTAATCAGAAGCGCTATGGTGGTAGACAATAAAGGGGACATATTATTCTACATTTTGAGTCAACCAATATACGCGGGCTACTGAAAGTGTTTGCTCTGCAATCAAGACAATGTTGAACAAAATGTCTTAAAGTCTTTTGGTCTGTCAGTCAACCTTCCTAACTGCATTTAGCCATCAGTTAGGGCCACATTAGCCTGGGCAACTGTGCTTTATCTGTAATATCATCAGAGCTAAGCGATCAGACAACTTCTATTTTGTATAAGGAGCTAAAGGAAAGTATTAAAAGAAAGTGTTTAGAAGTTAAAGTACGGATGTTGTTGCTTACCTCTGACGAGGGGGTACGTGCAGTCCATAATCTCCATAGCAACGCCCCTTATGACGTCAAACCTCTCCTCGACGTCGTGAAGGACGATCTCGACTCCCTGGAAATATGAAATGACTGTTTACATTAGAAGAGACAGAAAGAGGGCATGTAGTGGTATCACAACAAATAGTCCAATAGTTACAAAGCCACCTTGCCTTTACATTACAGCTACTACGTATGGCATATGCTGTAAGTGTCTATGAGAACTCCGGTTAGGAGTACCAAACACCTTGTAAGTGCATCGGACCCCGATTTTTCGAAACATATTTAAGGTTTTACTCAAATGTCAAACTGAGTTTGAGAATTAAATATACTAGTTTCGAGTGAGTGAGTGAGTGAGATTAGTTTTACACCGCGTTTAGCAGTTTTCCAGCAATATCACGGCGGGCTCGAGTTTCGAACTCAGTCGTGTTTGTAAAAACAAAAGAGACAAAACAACTCAAGTAATCTCAAATTGTCTACTAAGTTTGAGTTTAATATCGGGATATTTAGAGGAATGCATTTTGCTGAGTTTTCTCAAATTTGAGTAAGAACAACGTGGTTAGACTTGATTTATTACATCATATGGATATCGATGCTCGTGATATTAATCACTGGATTCTATAATCCAGACGGCGACGAATAGTGAAATAATGCTGAATATTTTGTTAACATCCTTCAGACATCCAAACTAATGGAACTTTGAATGCGCTATACAATGATCATTTTCATCGTTTGGTGATAGGGCATAAACACCCGATATCAGGAACTGGGAACCTGGTCTGACCCGAAATTCATACAGGGTTTATATTATCTTAAAGGGTTCACTGACGAATCCTTCACGTTGGGAAGTGTTACCAACCGATCGCCATTTTGTGGTTGTGTGCTGTGTCAGTCAGGGGACAAAACTGGGGACATAATCTTCCGCGGAATTCCAATAAGGCGCGTGAAAACAGAACGAAGAAAACTGTTACGCACCTGTTCAGGGCCCGTCACATACCCTTGTGCTATGTAGGGAATCAGGGAGTATGCCGTCGGATATGACGCAGGCGTCACTAAAATCCGGGTTACTTGTGACGTCATAGTTCCTATTGAAGACAGAAAAAAGACAAATTCAAATTCAGTGCCATAAAAAAATTATTGAACTCCCCCACTCAATACATATATTCCAGGCATTATGCGGACCATGAACTTCATAACAGAATACATTAACATGGTAAGCAGGGGCGGATACAGCTTTTTGAGTGTGTGTGTGTGTGTGTGTGTGTGTGTGTGTGTGTGTGTGTGTGTGTGTGAAAAACCACGTGTGTGTGTGTGTGTGTGTGTGTGTGTGTGTGCGCACACTATTGAGAAAAGGAGGGGTGCACATTTCATTTTCACCCGAGTGCACCCCTACACACAAACACCCCACCCCACCCCACCCCCGGATCCGCATATGGTAAGTCTCATCTCCGAAACAACAAATCATGAATCATACAGTAGTATACACATGCCGTTGAATCTTTAGAGGCCCAAAGCGACGTGAACGACATGCTTTATGGTAGTTAATGTAGAATAATAATAACTGGAACAATGAAATCTGTAATATTTTGCATCACCAAACTGTTTTCTGTCAGAAACACGCAAACACCACACACACATCTTTATATATCTATCTCTTTGTATATATATCTATATCTATCTATCTTGTGTACATTACATTATATATATAAATCTAACATCTGTGTATCTCTTTCTCTCTCTATATATATATTATACACACACACATACACACCATCATCGATGTCTTTAATCTCTATCCATCTAGGGGCGGTGGGGTGGCCTAATGGTTAAAGCGTTGGCTCGTCACGCCGAATCCCCACATGGGTACAATGTGTGAAGCCCATTTCTCGTGTCCCCCTCCGTGATGTTGCTGGAATATTGCTAAAAGCGGCGTAAAACCAAACTCAGTCAGTCAGTCAGTCTATCCATCTAGTGTACATAAATTATGTTTTACAAACACGAAATCCGTAGTGAGATAAGTTTGTGTTTTCCCGTGGATAATACTAGTACATATCATAGCAATATCAGCGGGGTGTAAGTCCAGGACCCAGAGGGATTTGGGGTGGGGTGTATGAGAGCCTCCACACCCTCTGGGTCAGTGTGTAACCCCACCCCTGTTTCTGACACCGTAAATAATGCCCACCCATATCGCATGTTTTAGTTCAATCCGAGACATTTTTGTCGTCTGCTCCCCATATTTCCCAAACCCTTGAATCTCCCGTTTCGCACCATGTGGCAGATGGGTCATTCAATGTACACAGACATGCAATGTTTTCAGGATCTACTGATTTTACTGCTCATTCAGCTGTGTTAACAACAACTCACCTCGTTTATGTTTAGTCGCCGACGTTCGTTGTGGTTGTTGGGTCCAAAGTACAGGTATGGATGACACAGGTGTTTCTACCAATGTCACGTCCAGGAGAGCATTATGGGTCCAACTGCATTAGCAGGCTGTAGGGTGTTCACTTCCAGGGATGTAGTGGGACGGACAGTGAAGCTGTATATATACAATGACGGCCTATATAGGTGTGTAGGTTGGCTTGGTGGTAGTGGGGGTAGACTTGCACGAGTCTCTAAGGTAATAATTGGTAGTTTAAATGATAATTTCTATAAAAAACACATAAATAACAGACTGGGGTCCGCTTATCTAGACTTCCCTCTTTAAAGGATACAATTACTATATATCCGTGGGTTTAGCACTCGGTACGGACTTGGAGCAAGGCTAGTAGTGGGGTTATTGGGTGTTCGGAGAGGGTCAGTGACAGCATGGTGTTCATTGTGAGGATCTATTCTGCAGATTACTACAGTTACTCAGCGGTGTACGTGCACTTGTGCGTGTGCGTATGCGTATGCGTGTGTACCAGTCGGAGCTTGACCTGCACTTTATGATAAACCTACGATTTTTATTATTCCTGATCACAAAAAAAATATCGGAAAGGTTGCACTGAGCAATGTTCATGTACAAAACAAATTAAAGACAGACACAATAATTCCAACTGACTGGCGCATTTTAAAAAAAATAAAACATGAGAGTTGATCCAACTCCTCTTACACAAAGAAGTACATGTTCAGCCCTATCACAGCGTGAGAAACCTCTTGTCAGTACATACTTCCCACGTGACTGTCACGTGCCCCGCTTTACCCGGTAGTGTTTGGAAGACCGAGGTGGGTTCTTAGATCGTCATAATCAAGTACATTCATTACGATTAGTTTGTAAGTCGATATTACCATGTAACGTACAGACAGTTTATTGAAACAAAACTCTACCATGCACTGCCTTGAAAATTTTAGAATTGGTAGCCCTTGGCTGGAGATTATAATCTTGGCTGGAGATTATAATTTAAATCATTTTTGTTGGCGCTGCGAATTACCCAAACCCAGGAAAGGCTTCAAGCACGGGTGACCGACCGAAAATAATCTTTCCTTTTTGTATTGGGAGATGCTATGTTATGGAGTGTTGTTGTTTTGTTATTGTCATCTTGAAACTGCAAGTCATGGCGTTAGGAGCACAGGCCCCCACTGCGCGTCAGAAAATCGATAAACTAGGCCCCGGTTTAGTATCAACACCCCCTACTATATAGTGTTGATACTAAACCGGGGCCTAGTTTATCGATTTTCTGACCCTCAGTGGGGGCCTGTGGTCAGGAGTTGTAAGTGAAACGCTTGATATCCCCGTGTGACCTTTGTCGGCGTCTTCAAAGGAAGTGGAAGTATGGAACACCGTTAACGTTATAAATTCTACTTATGTGATTTTTACGTGTAGTGATAGCATTACGACAGTATTATATAGTTTTATTTTAACCCAAAGTGATCAATTTATGTTATTAGGGACCGTTCATAATTTATGGCCTGCCAGGGTGTGTGTGGGGGTGAGATGATGATTATTTTTATGGAGAAGCATGTAGAACGTGAATGACCCCAAACACACCCCCACACCCCTCGCCCGCCCCTATCATTTATGTACAAAGTAAGTGACCCAAATGTACACCCCTTATACTGTTGAAGCATAATTTTTTAATATTTATCTGTACAAAATTGTTGCCACCCCCATCCCCCCTAGTACATGTGTACAAAATTGTTGACCCCCTACCTCCCCAGAACAAAATGGGTGACCCACCCTTAAAATCATCATCACCCAGATGTGAAGGATGCAGCACAGTGGGACTAGCCATAAATTTGAAAGGTCCCTTAACTGTCAAACCTGTTTTAGTTCATTCTGTAATTAATCACAGGACCATATTGTAATATTTCTAAACTTACAAAATTTGTCTTCCGCAACCCTAGCATGTTGTAAGATGTGACTATAAAGGCATCGGGTGGTCCATCTCGCAGACTTATTTGATGCTTGTCATTGTATCCCAACTACATAGATCAAAGCTCATGATGTCAGTCACTGTCTTGTTGTTGATTGGGTGGTCAGACTCGCTGACTTGGTTGACACATGTATTGCTTAGATTGATGCTCCTACTATTGATCACTACATTGTCTGGTCCAGACTTGATTATTTACAGACCATCTCCACAGATGGAAAATTGCTGACTACAGCGTTAAAGAATAAACTACTTACAAACTCTCAAACCCATTGTTCATTTGTATTAATGATGACTTCAGTTGGAATGGGGTTGCCGTTCATGTTTTTTGTATGCTGGCACTGAAGTGAGCAATGTGGTTGTTTTATAGATGATACAACATGGCAGGTACTGGTGATGCCTGTTCCACTCAGTGCATGATCACAATAACCAATAAGATAAGGGTGAAACGGGTATTGTTGATGACAATATATATAGTGCATGATGATATTGTAACATATATCATATTTGGGATTACACTTTCTTAGTAAAGGACCGATTCTTGTACTTTTGTTGGGTTGAGTCCCATCTGGGATTCGAACCCACACCCTCAGAGTCAGGCACCTAATCGCCAGACTTTGTGATTTTGAGTGCTTGACAAGCGTTTGCCCTTATTATGATCTCTGCTTTAACAACTTAGTGTGAACATGAAACACCAACATCGCTTGAGGCTGCAGGGTTTTACGTGGCAAAATGTAGAGAATGGACAACCCAAAATATCACACCCGGAGAGACACACAAAAATACCGAGAGAGTACCTATATGGCATCTGTGTCTGTTACTTCACCAGTCATCATTGTCCTCATGATCACTGATTCATTCGACCTGTGAAGATCTGGGTTTGAACTGATCTTCAGTAACCCATACTTGTCGTTAGAGGCGACTAATGGGATCGGGTGGTCAGGCTCGCTGACTTGGTTGACATGTCATCGTATCCCAATTGCATAGATCGATGCTCATGCTGTTGATCCCTGGATTGTCTGGTCCAGACTTGAGTATATACAGACCGCCGCCATATAGCTGGAATATTGCTGAGTGTGGCGTAAACTAAACTCACTCACTCACTGATTCATTCCAGGCTCTGAAGTAATTATCTGTAGGTACAGACCCTCATATTCCAAGCAATGACCTGTGCAATTTATTGTCAGGGGTCCCATGGACCACCACTTTTGTAAGTCAAGGTAATACCCTAGGATGTCCTTGGTCAATATGCCGACATGCAGTGATTTAACTGTTCAGAGAATCATTAAAACCCACAGCCTCCAACATTTTGTATGACATAAACCATCTAACTATTCACAATGCTACATTGTTGTGACAGATTAATGTTTACGATCTCATAATGCTGTTATAGTAGTTATTACCTGGATGATACATCATGTTCATGTCACAATGTTGCAGATGATTGTAGTTTGGGTAGGGAACATTAACATGTATTATGTTGTGTGGCAGTGTGATATATCACATCCAGGTAACAATAGTCGGTGTACCAACATGAACATTGTCGGAAAGAACCTACATTGTGTTAGAAGCTTGAAATGTGTGGTGACACCATCATCATGTCTCCAAATAACGTTTTCAATTTTATGTCTCCTGTTCATGTAATTTGAGACATAAATTTTATCACGATGAATTAGTTAGAAATAAGGAGTAACTGCATGAGTGGGTGAGTATGGGTTTACACTGCTTTGGCACTATTCCAGAGTTTTGCTAATGGTGTATACATGGAATGGAGTTTACACTTTGTACCCAAGTGGGAACCTTTGGCCTTGGGCATTATTATTGTTAAGCTGTTGTTTATGCAGCACTTAAGGACTGTTCATAATTTATTGCTGGTGGGAGGAGGTGGTGTGGGAAGGGATGATGATTTTATGGAGAAGCATGTATAATGTGAATGACAAACACGCCCCTAAAATGTATGTTCAAAATAAGTGAGCTCCCCTGCAGGTCCTGTACACAATTGCTGACCTACCCCTGGTACCTGTGTACCAAATTGATGACCCCCACCCCCGTACCTCCCCAGAACAAAATGGGTGACACTCCATAAAATTCATCATCAACCCCCTAGCCATAAATTATGACTTTCCCCTAGTAATATTCCAGCTATAGTAGGAGTCTGTAAATAATTGAGTCTGGACCAGACAATCTAGTGATCAACATCATGTGGGATATGATGACGTGTCAACCAGGTCAGCAAGCCTGATCACCCGATCCGGTCTACTCCCATTTGTGAGAACTCCCAATTGTGAGACTCCCAGTTATGAGACAGCGGAGTAGGTAATTAACAAAGAAAACACACCATACTCCCCGGTCTGATAGAATGGATTAACCCTAGCTACTTACTGATTTGCTATGTAACTGAATCTTTTGGAGGTAACTTAATGAAACTTTATAAGATAAACTGATTAACATACTCCAGTAAATGTCCTTAAAAATTAAACACTTTGATAATGATAATAAAATATGTTTAAACCAAAATGACTTTCAATCTTCATAATAGTCAATAAAAATGTGTTATCATAATTACATATTCTTCTGAATAAATAAAATATTTAATGAACTATTTCTTCTTTGTAAATAAAATCTTTGATAATCTATTTCATTAATCAACTCATCAATGAACTGGGCTGATCCCACTTTCATTGTGGGGATGTGGAAACACCACCTATGTGCACTGAACCATTAATTAATGTGTCTCACAACTGGGAGTTCTCACAAATGGGAGGACACCCCCGATCCCATTAGTCCACACTTGCAATAAGTGCAGGTTGCTAAAGACCAATTCTAACCTGGATCTTCACAGGTATTTGTTTATGAAACAATATACATGATCATGAGGATACAATATGGACTGGGTCAGTTATCATTTTGTTGAAATTAATCAGTGCATATCAGCCTAAGTGGATTTTAGAATGCTCTGTTTATTATCAGATTCCAGCAAAATGGCGGACCAATGGGCTGAAAGACTGCTGGATTATTCTACAGGGGCAACAGCCACATTGTGTCTGGCTGTGGGTCACGAGGTGGGGATCTTCAAGGTCATGTCTGATGCTGAAGACAGTCTCACATCTCAAGACATTGCTGATAAGGCCAGTCTCAAAGAAAGGCAGGTTTTATCAAAAGCATTTTGTGTATTTTATTCAGATAGGTTACTACCACCTCCGTAGTGTGTGGTTAGAGCCGGGAGAGCGGACGCTCGCGGGTTCGATCTCTGACCGCGTCATACCAAAAGACGTTATAATATGGTACTTGTTGGTCCCTGCCTGGCGCTCGGCATTAATGGGTACAACAAGGACTGGTCCTCTCGGAGTCATATAATGTGTCTGAGTGGGGTATTCATGCTTCACTGCAACATGGTATCTCAGTGGGCTAGCACTATAAAAACCAGCTTCAGTCTGGGCTAGTACAAGCAGCCGCACATACACATACACATACACACGCATGCACGTCGTCATATGAGCTATATATTCTCAAGCACGACGTTAAACCCAATTTCACCTCACCTCACCTCAGATAGGTTACCATGTGGTTAGGGCTGACTATCGATAGAGATCATGGAGAGTAATAATCGTTAACTAAATGTGAATATATGGTGGATTTATGCATCGATAAAAACATTATCCTGAACATAAGTAAAATGCCAAAAAGTCTGAAAGATGTGTATATATTTCTTACCATTGGTGAGTGGTGCCAAGTTTATGAATGAGTTACTAACAAAACATTGTCCTGAACATAATTTAGATGCAACCCATGAATAAAAACCTAACTTTGTGTATTGTGTGAGTAAATTATGACTATATTCTATCACATATGCACCCGTGAAGATCCGGGGTAGAATAGGTCTTCAGCAACCCATGCTTGCCTCAAAAGGCGACTATGCTTGTCGTAAGAGGCGACTAACGGGATTGGGTGGTCAGGTTCGCTGACTTGGTTGACACATGTCATCGGTTCCCAATTGCGCAGATCGATGCTCATGCTGTTGATCACTGGATTGTCTGGTCCAGACTCGATTATTTACAGACCGCTGCCATATAGCTGGAATAATGCTGAGGGCGGCATAAAACTAAACTCACTCACTCACTATCACATATGTTTTTCTTTCTATATTATCAATGACACTATTTTCATATCGACAATATTTCTGATTATTGATCTTTTAATTAGCCAGCCCTACATGTGGTAGACAGTTTTGTGTATGTCTTGAAAGTACAAGATCCAATATACTGTAACCCATTTCATTTCTGAACACACTGAAACTTGTAAATTGAATTATTGTCTTAACATGATGAGCAAGTGAGTAAGCAATATTCCAGCAATATCATGGTGGGGGACACCAGAAATGGGCTTCACACCTTGTACCCATGTGGGGAATTGAACCCCGGTGTTTGGCATGACGAGCAGATGCTTTAAACAATAGGCTACCCCACCAACCCTTAACATGATGAATGTACCATATCACTGTTAATATACATCAGTTGAATCCTTGCTTTTGTACTTTCTGTACAATCTGTACTTTACTAAGAAAGTGTAATCACAATATGACATGTTACATGACGAGAGCTGCACATGCAGAAAAGGAAAGGGGTTCTAGTACTGACAGTTGTAATTGTTGCTAATTAAACATCATGACACATTATTCCACAACGTCTGATGTATCCTCATGGCCAAGTAACTAAATCAAAACTGAATCCAAAAAGTTGTTTCTTTGTCAGTTGATGTTTTACTTTCCTTTAGTAGATATGTCTTTATAAACAGATAACTGAGTTAGTGTAATATTCTCAAGGCAACTGGAATTAAAGACTTCTTACAGGCTATTGTAATCATGACCATGATGTTTTGATGAAGATTATCGTTTGCTTCCATTTTCCAATGAAAGTGAATATTTTCCAAAGTGTTTAGAGAACTAGGACACCAATGAGAGATGTGCTTGTGTTAATGGAAAAGAGGGGAAAAGAATTGTCCAAATGTTTGATGTTTCTGTCCTCATTCCTGCTTAACTAAGGTGCTGTCATTGTTTTTGTGAACAAATAATGGTCCTTTCCCAACACACACCAGTCCCAGAAAAGTACCCCTCTCCAAAACGAACAACCCCAAAACAAAACAACAACAAAACCAAAAAACCCCAAAACAAAGAAAGAAAAAACAGACATAAAATACCAAAAAACAACAACCCAAAACAAACCAAAAAAGAAGAAGAAAAAAACACACACATAAAAATAAAAACAAAGAAACAAATAAAAAAATTCAAAAAGGCAAAACAAACAAACAGCAACAGACAAACAAAAAAAAAAGAAAAAAAAAGCCAAAGCAAGACCCCATCAAATCGAAACAAAAACCTAAACAACCCCCATCTTTAAGCAATTCACAGTGTAATAACTATGGGAGACAAGACAAAGTGACTCAGTAAAACAGAAACTTGTCAATCCAAACTATTAAAATCCTAGCTGTTAATTTTGTCTGTTGTTTTTACAGGTATGTGAGGGAGTGGTTGGGATGTATGACAGCGTGTGAGGCTGTCGAGGTCACTGGCGACGACCCACCTAGGTACTACATCCCAGAATCACACAAACCATTTCTACAGACAATTGGGATTTCTTCAAGTTTGTTTGCCAACTATGCCACAAGATACGATGCTGTGAAGGCCTGCTTCCACAAGGATGGCCCTCAAGGTTAGTTTGTGTGTTTGATGATTAACACTTCACACTGCAATATTGCAGTCATATCATCGAGGCATGTTAATAATTGAGTGGATTGAAACAACGTGTATCCCTGCTCTAGATATAGTATGTGTGTACCAAAAGTGCTTGAAGACACACCTACCTTGACAGGGTGTGATTTCACATGTTCAAATTCGTTGGTGCAGGTTGCCTTAAGTATCAGGTTGCACCTGGTGCAAGTAACAATAAACCCTTCCACATCGTATAGCTGTCATCGTGTGCTTTAATTGGGAAGTGAGTGACTTAAGTAATGCGATCTTTCCGCTAGACTTGTTACAGGCACAAACATTTGTGTACGCATTAATCAGTTTCATAACAGTCCTTATATAATTGAGATTTATGAAAAAAAGGTAATGCAAACTTGAAACAGAATCCTTCATGATTATCATCATGGGGTCTGGTTCTGTTGAGTGTATCCATGTAGTTGTTATGTATCTTGCTCAACAAGTATATATGTAATGTTTTAGAACCAGTGACATTATTTTATGGTGCAGCCAAACATATAAGCCTGGTTGCACTCGGTGCAGGTACTGGAAAAACCCCAAAATTGCACCCTGACTTGAGTAGAGGCGATCAAGCAAAAATCTTTGAACAAAGATATTTCTTTAGATAGTCGGTGTGTGTTGGCAATTCAGTGGCTCACTCGGAGAGTGTGGTTTGAATCCTGGATGGAACTCAACCCCAAAGTACTAGAATTAGCACTTTACTTCGAAAGTGTAATTAGGAGATAAACCTACTGTTTGTATTTGAATTTAGAGGTAGTAAAACAGAATTTTAATAGCCCTAAATTTTATTTAAAACCAACACGTTTTAACAAACCACAATCCAGTATTTACTGAAGTCATGGTAGATTCCTAAATAAAACATACATTACATTTGACCACTTTCTAAATGGCATTTTGTATTCATGGAAACAAAGTGGATCTTTACATTGTGTGAGTGAGTGAATTTGGTTTTACGCTGCTTTTAGCAATATTCAATCAATTTAACAGAGGAGGACACCAGAAATAGGCTTCACACATTGTACCCATTTGGGGAATTGAACCAGGTCTTCAGTGTGATGAGTGAACACATTAACCACTAGGCCACCCCACCACCATGGAGTTTTACACAGCCACAGATATATTTAATGTGACCTTCCTGTGAAGAAATCTAAATGAAAGAATTTTTGTTAAACTGAAAATGTTGTAGGTGTTGGTCATGAACAGTTTCCTGGAATCTTCGCGGTGTTCAACGAGATGCGCGTTGTGTCCCAGAAGAATAACATGGAGGAGGAGCTACTACCAGCCATCAGCGAGCTGCTCCCTAAACTAGGTACGCTTACAATACTGGCTGGGGCATTGTAACATCTAGCCCTGTTCCAGACAACACACTTAGAAATTGTGGCAAGTGTAGGCTTCAGGAAAATGTCATTTGATTGTTTTCATAAATTTCATTGGACATGTTGTCATAAAACTCTTTTTCAAATTGAGTTATAATTATCTTGTGGTATCTTGAAGGATATTGACCTCTAGATTGAATTTGTGTGCAAAATATGATCATCACATGAACAATGCAATGTTCTTGTATTTCCATCCAGTGTATACAGCCAATCAAGCATCGAGCACTGTTTACAGTGTTGGTTTGGAATTGATGATACATGTGAGGGGTTAATACATGGGATAATATTCCACTGATGTACTGATGTTCATTTGGGTATCTCCCAGCTGGAAGGGTACATTTACACTCATTCGCCTGATTCAGACTGGCTAACGTCACAGTCTAGTCTTTCAGATGAGATTCTCGTATCACTGCGCCTGACTGGATACCACCATAGCAGCACATAATCTTTTATGAGTGAGATCTGCTATTAGCCAGGATCATGGTGCCAGATGCCCTGTTCAGATCCAGGGCCAAACCCTGTTTGGTAACTTTGCATAGTTTTTATAAGACTATCTACATTGGCGGATCCAGAGGGGGGGTTTCAGGGGGTTTGACAAAAACAACAACCCCCAAAACGCCCCCCCAACCCTTTTAAAATGAAAATGACTGAAGACCACATTGAAGATTTATTTTTATGTTAGGCGGGCCAAAACCTCTGAACACACACACACACACACACACACACACACACACACACACACACACACACACACACACACACACACACACACACACACACACACACACACACACACACACACACACACACACACACACACACACACACACACACAATTCCTGGATCCGCCCATGATCTAGACGGCTTGGTTAGTGGTTGTTGTTCTGAGTGGTTTCTTCAATACAATGTCTAGTTTGTCAATTCCCCTTGTTTATTCTTGAGCTGTGAGAATTCTCTAGTCATTTTGAGATGCGGAGTGGAGTGCACCACATCAGTTTCAGTGGTTCATATACATGTATCAGATTCCACTTCGAGGCAGAGTCGCCACTTTGTCAAATGCTCTGCAATTTCCCATGCAAAAGTACATCACTAGGGCATGCCAGGAACCAACATCTTAGGTTTGAATCCAAGTTTGCAGTGATTCTTGATTTGTCAGCACCATCCCCATGCCAATGGATTTCACCCAAATGAATAGTGTACAAAACCTGATCACTTTGGGTTGTTCCTGACATAAAGATGACATGCCACATTTCTTTCACTGACTGACTGACTGACTCACTCACTCACTGACTGACTGACTGACTCACTCACTGACTCTCACTCACTGACTCACTTACTCATGTCATTATGTCTTTTCCAGAATCTGGAATTGACATTGGGGAAATAGGCTGTGGAACTGGCATTCTGTCTCGCAGCCTGGCCGAGAAGTTTCCTAACAGCCGTGTTCACGGTAGCGACATCTCCGATAAAGCTCTCAGCATGGCAAGGGAAGGATCCGCCTCAAGGAACTTAGAAAATGTCACCTTTGAAAAGGTAGACATCTGTAATATTCCAGACTCAATGGTGGGAAAGTTTGATTTGATGGTTTGTTTTGATGTCATCCATGACCTGAATGACCCGGAGAAGGCGTTGACGGAGATACGACGTGCCCTGAAAGATGGAGGGTACTTCGTCATGGCAGACATACACACTAAACAAGAGAGAATGGATATAGTTGGAGATATGGGTGCATGCTCATTGTATGGGATGAGCACCTTCCTGTGTCTCCCAGCAAGCCTGGAACAAAATGGCGGAATTGGACTTGGAGCTGCTTGGAGTAGAGAGCTAGCTGGAAAGCTGCTAAAAAATGCGGGTTTAAAATTGATCCGAGTGAATCCCAGCAAACAGAGCACATGTCTGTTTTATCATGTTTGTGTGAAAAACTGATTATCTGGTGTTCATAATCGTAACTAAGCTGACATACCCAAGAGGATGAAGAGTGTAGAGCCAAAGTATTCTGCAGCCATTAGAGGCACATCCCTGACTTAGTGTCAGTTAATGCTTGTAAAGAGAGCTTAGCTGTAGATTCTCTTTCAGATAACAATAATGTCATGAATCTGAAGTAGTCATTGGAATACACACACATATATTGACAATGAATGAGTTACAGAATAGTCATTGGAAATAACTTTAAAATTGCTGGTGTACTCGGTACAGTTGCACATGTAAAATCACTTGCCCTGATAATTTTTCCACTATACCGGCCATTTTCTTGTTGATTTTTTAAATAAACAACATAATTAACATTGGAATATCAACTGGACACCGGTACAGTGTGATATACAAATTTGCTTGCCCGACAGAAAAAAAACACTGGACTCGGGCGTCGGGCAATGGGTTATTTCCACCCCTGGTCATTATAAGCAATGATTTAATCATTTATAGGAGTGTTCATTAGTCACTGTACAATGCCATGTTACTCTTTATTAAACTTTTTTGACAATAAAACACTCTGTCTTCAAATGCTTCTATGTCATATTTGTTCTACCATAGATAATTTGAATCCTGCAACTTAAAGTTTGGTGGTACCAAATAGCATACAGTTTTTGCCACAAGTAGTTGTTTCTGAATGTGATTTGTCTGTACACAAGATGACCGATTAGGCCAATACAGTTGCTACATATATATTTTTGGAAAATTTGCAGATGGAATCAAGTGTTGCCTCTACATTGGATAAACCTGGTGTCAATTCTACTGGTTTTCTAGGCTGGTTGACGAACATTTTGGTGATTACACAATGCCATTTTAGAAAGTGATCAAATGTAACATATGTTATATATGGGATTACACTTTCTTAGTAAAGTACAAATTCTAGTACTTTTGGGGTTGAGTCCCATCAGGGATTCAAACCCACACCCTCAGAGTCAGGCACCTAATCGCCAGCACACAAAGTCAGCCGCCTAACCCGCTCAGCCACCTGACTTCCACGGAAGGTGCCTGACTCTGAGGGTGTGGGTTCAAACCCGATGGGACTCGACCCAAAAAGTACTAGAATTTGTACTTTACTAAGAAAGTGTAATCCCAAATATAACAATGTTAAACATTTTGGTATATACAACTGCAGCATGCTCTCTAATTTACGATACAAATATAGCAAACCTATCGGCAAACTGTTTATGGAATAAGAAAGGTCCATCATCGCCAATGCTTTCAGTGAGTTGTGTGTCGAAAACAAAAAGATGAAGGGTTATTAGTAATGTATGGCCTCATTTCAAGATTTTACGTACGCTTCAGATAAAATTCCCCGCGCTCGCGATATGACGGCAGCCTGAAAACAGTCGAGTCTGTGCAGTGATTTGTGTTCTGAGTAACCTCCCCTGACGTCGGGGTGCCTGACACACACGCACGCAAGCAGTTAATCTTTCTTTATTCACTCCAAAACCACTTACGGTGGTACAAGAGCAAAACACAAAACAGTATATTACACATAATACCTGCGTCATAGTAACTATTTCTTAACAGGATTTGTAAAATATTTATGAATCTAGACAGGCATTTCAGTTTTTTTGTGCATTTAGGTGACAAATTTTCACAAACGTAATATACATTTGGGTATTGATAATATAGTTTGGGAATATACACTAATCTGTTTGGGAGAAGAGCTCCACATCTAAAGATGTACATCTCCCATTACATTTAGGTTGGGAAGTTTACATAAACGAACGTCCCTCGCAATGTCCTTGCCACCGACCAGTCTCTATGGGTAAGTTGTGATTTGAAGTGCGGAATCTTAGAATAGGGACAGAGACAGATTTAGGTAATAGTAAGTATTGTTCAAATTGTATTAGACCCGTGAAGGTCCGGGTTAGAATATTGATCTTCAGTAACCCATGCTTGTCGTAAGAGGCGACTAACGGGATCGGGTGGTCAGGCTGGCTGACCTGGTTGACACATGTCATCGGTTCCCAATTGCGCAGATCGATGCTCATGCTGTTGATCACTTGATTGTCTGGTCCTGACTCGATTATTTACAGACCGCCGGCATATAGCTGGAATATTGCTGATTGCGGCGTAAAACTAAACTCCCTCCCTCTCTCACTCAAATTTTATTGATTTCTTACAATGTTTATAAAGAATGCCCTTAGAGCTAGATTCAATGTTTTCTCTCCACTTTTGGTAGAACTGGTCTGACAGAATATCGGACCGCCATGTCAGACCGCCAGGATCGCGTCACACACAGCGAGTTAGCCCATACTTATTTACACTGGCTTACTATAGTTTTTGTGCTGAGATAGCGCGGTGGTATGAGACAAAGTACCCATTGTATCATACAAGGTGTGTTCGGTTGGGGGCGAAGTCTAATGGGAACTAACACGGTGTTTAAAGCCTATATTCAACAACACACAACATGTATGTATGTAATGTACGACAACCCCAATCTCCTTCTTTCAGAACTCATGGAGGTGAACTCAGTCAGTATATGGGAGTGGGTGCTGTTGTAGGCGCTCTCTTATTTCAAGTCACGATCGCCACCCGACAGAAGTATGTAGTTAAGACGAAAACAAGTGTTTCGTGTGTTGCCTAGGCCGCTGTTCTAGTTTTAAAACAAGAAACTGAAGTTCCAGAAAATGGAGAGACACTTACTCGAAATATTTGAATGTATCTCCCTATAGTCTATGCATACATAAGAGGATATAATTGAGGAAATATCCCATAATTCCTTATGTGAGGGCGGGTGTGGAATGAGCACGGGACTCTCTCAGCACGTTATTGTGAAAGAAGGGCATTGGGCTTGTGTTCGTGATATGTGGGCTAGTAAAAGCGGAGGTCGCAGCTACGACTTTAATTAATATACGTTAGTGTATTTCCCAAGCCTTGAGCACATAATGCATTGCAAATATTTCATATTATTGTGTTTTCACAGAATAAGTGATTGCAAAATCACCCGGTCGGTAAACTCACATTAGACATATACTGCTGTTTGTACCAACCTTCACGCAGATTGATTGGTTGTATTGCAAATTGGAAAGAGTAGCCAAAACTGAAGTAACAAGTGAATGGTGATTGTCTTTTTTGTGTATGTAAGGGGAACAACCCTGTTGCCTTACTAGGATCATAGTTGCCTCCCCTGGACTGCTGACAGAGTTGATATTCTCGCAAGTCAGTTGATATAGATGATTCATCTGATCTTGACATTCATCTATGCAGACATACACTTCCAGGGAATGTCTGGACATTGCCTGTCGGGGCGCAGCCGTGTAATGGGTGTAGGGACTTTTGTTATACAGCTGGAATTCTAGCCCTACAGCTGCAAGCGTGTTGTGGGAACTCAAACTGTACTAAAGCTGTAGCCATGTACTCGATCTAAGGTCCGTGTGGCTCTACAGCTGCAAGGGTTTTATGGGGATTCAATCTGCACTACAGCTGTAGCCATGTAGTCGATCTAAGGTCCGTGTGGCTCTACAGCTGCAAGGGTTTTGTGGGGACTCGAATAGTACTACAGCTGTAGCCACTCAGCCGTATGAGGAGAAAAAACAACTGTATGAGTAATACAATGTTGTGAAGCCTTCAGTGCTCATCTTCAAACCAAACACTAACCCATAACACCCAACACCCACCTGCTCTTTTACAAAATGGTGCGGTGGGGTAGCCTAGCGGTTAAAGCGTTCGCTCGTCACGCCGAAAACCACAGGTCCGATTCCCCACGTGGGTGCAATACGTGGGCTTCTCCAGAATATTGCTGTAAAACCATACTCACTGGATATCATGACTATATAGCACTACGGCTACAAGCGTGTAACACAGAGCAAGTATAGCTCTACAGCTGCAACCATGAAGTAGATTTCGCTAACCAAGTTTTACAGCTGCAGGTGCTATTTTTATATATCGTGAGTCTATACATATTTTGCCCTACAACTGCAACTGTGGGCTTGATATCAAAACTCCAAAATCCTTCAACCATACAGTGGATATCAAGATAATAGCTCTCACGCAACCATGATATTGAATTTTGTGTTCCTATAGCTATGCAAGCATCTTCAGCCGAAATTATGATATTTGTATCCAATAACTCTACAGCTGCAACCCTGCATTGAAGTTCGGGATCCTGGCTATGCAAGCATCTTCAGCCGAAATTATGATATTTGTATCCAATAGCTCTACAGCTGCAACCCTGCATTGAAGTTCGGGATCCTGGCTATGCAAGCATCTTCAGCCGAAATTATAATATTTGTATCCAATAGCTCTACAGCTGCAACCCTGCATTGAAGTTCGGGATCCTGGCTATGCAAGCATCTTCAGCCGAAATTATAATATTTGTATCCAATAGCTCTACAGCTGCAACCCTGCATTGAAGTTCGGGATCCTGGCTATGCAAGCATCTTCAGCCGAAATTATAATATTTGTATCCAAAAGCTCTACAGCTGCGGCAACCCTGCATTGAAGTTCGGGATCCTGGCTATGCAAGCATCTTCAGCCGAAATTATGATATTTGTATCCAATAGCTCTACAGCTGCAACCCTGCATTTAAGTTCGGGCCCTGGCTATGCGTGCAAGCAATATATCGGTATCCAATATGCATACTTGTATGTGATATGCGAATATAATACATTTTGAATGATAATTATTATGGCTGGTTTACTGTCATCGTTGGCACATTGTCTGTATCAGATACATCGCTATCAAATAACCATTTCGCTTTGGTTTCATTTCCAGCCACAATCAAACATGTGTGTATACATGCTCGACAATTTAAAAGATCAGGAACGTTTAGGAAGAGTAAATAGAATAAAATGCATGAGGGAGCAATACAATTATGTATACAGCTGTATACAGCGAGAATCAACTTTAAAATTCTGTGTATGGTGTACAAATGTCAAAATGATATGGCACCACCATATCTTCCTAATATGCTAGTAGACTACATCCCTATAAATACTCCTCGATCTCAAAATCTGAATCTTCTGAACACACCAAAGTATAATCTTACCAGCTATGGACAGAAGTCTTTTAGCCACGCAGCTCCTCGACTATGGAACAAACTTCCTTTGGACATCAAACTTTCATCATCATTAACTGTATTCAAATCAAAACTCAAGACGCAACTATTTTCAGGCTATTATTCATAGACTTTATTTCACCCTATCATTCATGAACTTTAATTCATAGACATTTTCTTCTGCTATTATTCATAGGCTTTATTTCAGGCTATCATCATAAGTTTTATTTTATACTATTATTTCACTACCTGTGTCTTTTCTCTCATTTTATGCGCTTTGAGCATGCACCTTGTGGATGGATACAGC